TTTTATATGAAGTTCCATAATTTTTAAGCTATAACAGCAAGCAATTAACAAAGATTCTCAAATTTTAACAAAAATTTTATTTGAGTTGAAATACCCATTTTTCAAGACTAATTTATCTTAAAATTAACTATGGAAAAATAATCAATAAAATATACTGAAATAATAATTTTTCAAAAAATAAATTTATAATAATCATGAAAAATATAATAAGCAGAAACGTCAATTGCCACTTTATATAATGATATTATATTAAATATTTATTTCAGCACAAATAAATTCTTATATATATTTAGATCTTAATTAATATTGTGTTTTTTTATATTTAAAATTTTATGGGTATATTTTCTAATTAATTTGAAGTTCAATTTACATAAATAAATTAAAGTGAGATATCTTTTTTTAAAAACAATTTTGGAATAAAATGTTATGAAAATTAAAATAAAAAAAACTAAATGACATAAAACCTTATTTAAATTTTAAATTCAAAATATTCTATATATACAGGCTTAACCCCCCCCCCCTCCCAAATTTTTACATAATATACCAACATGTTAAAATTTAAATGAAAAGTAATTGTTGATAAATAAGAATTGTACAATAATCCCGTTTATCTTGTTCTGAATCTACGGGCAAAATAAATTCTTCTCATGAGAAATTTGGAATACGATGACCGTCATAATTTTTTGGGGCACAAGACCCACAGATAATTTATATCGCAATGAGTGACTCCGATATCATATGCCCTATAAAGGACCCACACTGTGATAATTTTTTCCGTTTCTATTGGTATCTCCTGGCAGTCCCTGTCCAGATTTTTTTAGGAATTATGGGCAATGGTAGTAGCTTACTTGTACTGGTAAGATTAAATTCGAAATATGAAAATTACTTCTCCTTGCTATGGTCCTGTGTGTGTAATTTTCTACTATGCCTTTTCTTCATAGTCTGGCCTTGCCTCGAAACCTATGGTGAATACTCTAGTTATTTTGCTTTCAGGAAATATTTAAAACCTCTGAGTGAGACATTAAGAGATGTGCTGGCTCCTCGCCTCTTTAAAAATGAGATTTATTTATGGACTGAGTATTGGTGCAAATGCAAGAGTCTAACTACTTTCGTCAAGTTTGTAAAAGGAAACTACAAGGTATCTACCCCCATATTCTATGAATCTCTCGACACTAACCTTAGAAAATTAAATTTTCATATTGAATTCAACAAAACTAATCAAGACTTGCCTTTAAATTTAAATTTTAACCACAACCAAAATCTTTGTGAAAGTATAATGATAAACCTGAGCCATAATTTTTCGACTCCTATTATCAACTTATATGCCAAAAACTTGTATCATTCTTACGAATTTTATCGTACCTATAACTGGAACATTTACTCGTCATTCCTCAACTCCATCTTACTCAACACCCTGTCTCGCACCTCCATAATATTTATGGTATTATTTTTGTGCGATAGATATGTAGCGCTCGTCTTACCTCACTTATATTACAGAGCCACGGCTAAATTTAACCTCTCTTCGGAGATATATCAAAGATTTACCAGTTTCAAGAGTAGTAAATCAGTAAAGGCTAGATTTAATCAAGCTCCGAAGGATGGTAATAACACTAACGATAAAAGTAAAAAGGGAACTGAAAACGACCTTTTGGGTACATTCAAGCAAAGCGAAAAATTTAAAATTAATATCGAAAACAAAATTTTTAGAATCTCGAATAAAAAAAACAGGAAAGACGTATCATGTTACGAAAACTATTCTCAAGCCGGCGCATATATAAAATCGGATGAAAATTTAAAATCGGATCAAAACATTAGCGGATTAAAAATGACCACTAAAAGTCTGCTTGCTATATTCATAATGGACGCAAAACTTTTAAAATACTCCCCTTTTATACTCGTAATCGTAAGTAGCTCGCTAAATATTTATACATTCAAATGGTCGGAAGTAAATCCATGTAAAACTTGGTTTACGGGGAAACCCGGCTACTATATAACTCGCATGGCATCCTATAGATGGCAAAGCCGCCTTTTCATTATGGACATATTCGAAGAACTAATTTTGGCCATTTTTCCTACCCTGTTTATCATATACTTAGTCGTTGGGATGATAATGAGTATGAAGAAGTTTAGAAAATCAGCCAAGCTGAGAAGAAATAAAACTTGCAAGGACAATTCAATTGGAGTCGTAGAAGTAAACAATAATAGCCAAATTTATGGCAATACCTCTAAAGCGTTGTTCCGACCTAGGGATTTTCAAAATTATGAACGTGCGACAGGCTCAGATGGTAACTCAAAATTTTTGGGTCACTGTTCAAAAGGGATTTTAATCGATAGCAAAAACTTAGAACCCAATCAGCACCCAAATCCACGAATAAATGGCGGTTCGAGGGGACACAATTATCCAAGTATTTTCTTGTTTATCAAAAATATACGTAATAAAGTTTTATATTTCCTCTACGATAACAATAACATCAGTTTAAAATTTACCATCATCGTAGGTTTGTACTTTTTTCTGGTTCTATCCAATTCGATCATGAGTCCATTCAAATCTAAATATGCCGCCCGTTGTCGACACAAGCCTTGTATCCTTTTTGATTACCTGGAACCCATATTCAATTGGCTCGAGAATTGGGCTTACGTGTTTTTCTTTTATGCCTATTGGTTCTTGGATAAGAATTTTCGTGTCGAGTACATAAATTTCTGGGGCAGGTATATAACATCTTGCCGAAAATGGGCAATCGATGGCGAGAATTTGGATTCCCGATTGGATAATCTCAAAAACGATATTAACGTTATCGAAGTCAAGACGAGCACAGCAATGTACTCCTGCCACCAAACTGTTTCCAACAAAATGAATGTGCATAACCAAGGGCGTATAAAATTTCTTCCTAAAATGTTTCAAAATAAGAAAAATAGGGTTTGTTCGAATGAAGTTACTATCGAATAACTTTATTTCAATATTTTTTAAAAAAAGAGGGCTAAGCTAATGATGCAGGCAAATTCATTAGCTTTGTTAACGGATATTTTATGTGGTACATAATTATTAAATATAAATAATAGTATATAGTATATCTTTATTTATAAAATTTTAAATAAATTGTATATATAATTTTGAAAACTTTTGTTTTATATATATTTGTTATAAGTTATATCACTTAATTAAAACATGACGATTTCTTTTGTTAAATATTTAACTAACTTGGCTCCCCGTATTAATAACATAAAAAAAATAAAATGAAATAAATCGGATATTTGGCTCAAATTTTTTTTATCGAGTTTTTCAAGTTTTACAATTTGCTTTTTCCCAAATAGCATTTTAACATTTTAAATTAACTTCATATAAATCATTAAAGTCTGATAAAATAAAATATATCTAGGAAGCCATTTTGTGTGGATTAAAATTTCAAACAATGATCAAAATTCTAATATAATTATGGACAAAAATCTATTGAACCTGCTTAAAATTCTATTCACATAAACTTTTAATTGTTTCGTAAAAATATTGTTGTAATTTCCTATCAAATTTTTATTTCTTTATTATGTCACACTTCCAAACTTTTGATTACACCCTCCACAAGTCAAAAATCTAGGAATAAAAATTAGTTTCTTCAAATAAAAATAAAATATTTTAAAATAGGAAGAGGAGGGATAATTGTTTAATTTTAGTTTCAGATAATCGTTAAGTTTTTCTTTCTATCTCTGTATCAGGAATTTTTAAAAAGGCTATGTCAGAAGATTTAGCCTTGTTATAAATGTAATAATTCAGGGTTGACAAAATTCTAAAATTTCAGGCGATAAAAATGATGTATATGGTTATAAAAATAGCTGAACTTAGAGTGTTGTTTAAATGGCCAGATTTGGGTCGATTTTTAAAAACGTCCCGAGTTTAATTTTGGCTAAAATAATATTATATAAGCCTCGATTTGGCAAATAGGGGTCACTAGCTGAACTATATAAGCAAGAGAATCATTTGGACTAAATATGGATTTTGAAGAAATTGATTAGAAAAAGAAATATACAATTTTAATAAGTCCGGAGGATATTTATCAAAATTAAATATACAGTTATCCAAATTAAAAATTGGCATAATGAACATGTTTTAACATAAACCTCTTGTATTTTTGCTACCTTGGCGAACTCGAATCTATATTATTTTTTTAATTATAACATAATAAAAAGCATAATTTATCTGCTTCATTGTTATAAGTGGAAATTTTTTATTTTCTTCCCTTGAGAGCTCATAGGTTACTTTTATTCTTTAAGAGGGAATTTTATCAAAAAAAATCTATGTGAACTTTCGAATTTTGAAATTATGATCTTTGCTAACTTATTATATTATAAAATAGGTTTGTTATTGCGCTAGACAGTTTATATAGGTGAAACTGGGGTTAGTCAACTGAATTTTGTAAAAATGGCTGTAGCTCCTTTTTTAGATAATGTAAAAAAAATATGTGATTAGATATCTAAAACTATACCCTGGAAAGGCGCCTTATAAAATATTTTAAGAATATAATCATTTATTTTTAAATTTATTTTTTGTAAAAGTGAAATTTTTATCCAACAAGCCCCAATAGTGGGGCAAACCACTCATTGGGTTATTTAGGCCATAATAAATTGAATCTTTATTTATTAATAATGTTACTTATAGAATAATTTTATGGCTTTATTATTTAAAAACCTTTAAATTCTAAGCTAATTAAGGATAAAATTTTAACCTTCAGTTGTATTTAATTTTAAAATGAGATTAAGTGGTTTGCCAAGCCCCGGGGTTTACCTAACGCCATTCTCCCTGCTTTATAAGTACCAATATTTTCCATTTAGAGCCAAATCCCTTAGGTATCGAAATCTGATCGAAATAATTGGCGCATTTGAATTGCATACAAATATCTTGAGAAACCTTGTGCAACTCTTTAAATTAAACATTTGCAGATTGAGAAGAATTAGTTAACGGATATGTATCTCTTTAATTAGAAATAATACATGACAAAATACATATCATGTTTGTACTCCAACCAATTTATTTAGAAATAAATATTATGTACATTTATTGAATACAGACATTAAATTCATTCTTATAATTAATACCTATTTTTTTATATTGAATTTTTTCAGTTTTTACATTAGTGCAAATTTTTTAATTTAATAGAGAGATTTTTACAAAATATAAAAATAAATATTAAACAAAGAGAAAAGAGAATATATATATAATATTTTTTTAATAAATGGTAGCATCACATTGTAGTTATTTTACAATCGTTTCCTGACCATCCAGAATAGCATAAGCAGCTGTAAGAGTTAGTAAGATTCCCCATGTTATCTAGAATTCTTTTTTTGTAAATGTTGAACCTGTAAAAGGAATCCATATTTATAGATGGTGGATTTTCAGGGTCCAAAAATTCTTTCCTAATGCATCTACCATTGCCTGTACATACCTGTTGGCTACATACTTTTAATTTTTGAAATTAGTAACAAAAAATATTTTTTTTTTCTTTCTCTCTTTTTATTTCATTGAATAATGTGAATGAATTTAAAATCAAAATACCATATACCATTTGCAAAATTGATAGATTGCTTAACCAAAGGTCCTATAAGCTTTTCCATATGCGTGCTCAGGGCTTTGCAATTACCAAAATCAGCATAATCTCCCCAAAATACCTATAATAAATAGACATATTGTTGTTTGATTATTATTTAACGTTCTCTATTTTTGTTAGTTTATTTAATTATAATAACAAATATCATTTTTTTTGTAATGAAATGTATATATTAACAAATGAAACACTTTTTACTATAAATTTTTAACCCATTACTTATTTAATTGACCCATTACTTATTTAAAAGTGAGAAGAGTCATTTATATAATCATGTGCTTTTATAAAACCAACGTAAGTGTTTCAAATTAATTATAAATTAATTATAAAAATTCGACATCTTTGTTTTTAATTTAGAGTATGGCATACATGTGAACAAAAAGTAGAATAACTAATTTAGTTAAAATATATATTGAGTGAGAATTATAAAGTTTTAACCGACATGGCACATGTCAAGATTTTCGATCTCTCATTACTCCGGTTAAAAATAATAGGATAAATCCTCCAGTGAGGATAAACCCCAATTACAAATTAATACAATTTATTTTATTTATATATTTTGATATAAGATATAACTATCCTCAAACTTTATAAAATTATTCAGATATAAAATGTTGAGAATAATTATAAAAGTTGTGCCAAGATTTTCTAAAAAAAAAATTATATAAAATGTTATTGCAAGATATTTTATAAAAATATTATTTATTGATCAAAATAAAATGGAAATTTAAAATAAAATAATGTCCTATCTTAACTAAGGGTTAAAATATTACGAATTTATTCTAGTAGCGAAATATCTTAAAAACTACATCAACCAAAATAAATAAAACAAGATATATAGTTAATGGAGCTAATTAAAATTGGATCATAATAATTAACCGTTTTTATGTAATATTCATTCTAGCATGCCTGGAGAATATTATTAATAGACGCTTAGCTATGTACGCCTAGAGATCTTCAATGGGCGTGTTTTTAGCCAAGCCCCCCCCCCCCCTCCCCACTAATTTTAATTTACAACAAAATATTTTAAAATTAATAATTACTGTATAGATTTTTTAAAATTTGTGATGTTTATTAATAAATTTTAAAAATAACCTGTAAACTATTTAACACATAACACATATAAAAAAATACATATGTGATAAAAAAAAGAATTTAAAAAAAAGAAGGCTGTAATTATGATCAGAGAAAACTTTGCCGCCATTTTATTAAATCAAATTATTATTTTTTAATTAATTTTTTAATTACAGTGTTGTGATGATTTAATGAAAAATATTGACAATTTAATTTAAACACATGCATATATAATTATAATCTTTGCAAATGTACAACAAAAGAAATAATTAAAGAAATTTTACATAATAATGATTTGTCTATATTTTAATTATTTTTGCAAATATTATCATTTTATATGAATTGGTTTAAATTTAATCGTCAATATGTTTCATTAAATCATCACAACACTGTAATATATCAATAATCCTTTGTTGTTTCAGGAACATGCTTAAACTAAATAATCTTTCAAAAGTAGCTGATGAAGTTGTTGCAGTTATATATTTTAAAAAATCCTTTATGGATTCTATTATTTCTAGAATCTTTCGGATAATTCATAACCTCCAGCTCAATGTTATTTGTATTATTAAACTCAGAAATATTTGTTACACTATATAAGAAAAACTTAATTTTTTTTTGTTTATTAGATGTTAAATTAATGGCGTTATAGTTTGATTATGTACTATAACGTTTAGGGTTTTATTATTATATTTTGAAGGGCTTTTTTTTAAACATCTGGCGCAATCCATAAGTTCTTAAATTGGACGTGATAATGCCAACTTGCCTCATTATATTCATTATAAGAGAAATATTTTTCCAAATATTGCTAATATCAGACATCTTTTAATAAAGGTAGATAATATTTAAACATCGATTTTACTTAAGTCACTGAGCAATAAAGTCATACTATCTAATAGGCCCATGTAATGCATGGAACTTTCTATTTACTATCTGTTACCTCTCATATTTTTTCTGAGGGCCATTCCGATAATCATTGTCAAGATCATTTGATTTTACAATATACTCAGTAAATAAAATGACGAAATTAACACTGTTTAATCTGCAATTGTTGCAATTAGATTATTTAAAATCCCAAACTCTCTCTAAACTTCTTCCAATACCTCTCCTACATTTTCATAATAATCCAGGAATTATCTTAAATGTAAACTCCTTATAGGTTTTTACTTGTATAGGCATTGATAACATGACTATGTGGTTGGGGGGAGGTGCATACAGGGCTTGAGCTCCTTAAAGATTTTGATTATTTTTTATACTTTAAAAGTCAGAGAAAAATTTTTTTGAGCTCGCTGAAAATGTAATGACTGGTGATGCCCCTGACAGGCATTAAACATTTTTTAATATTTTTCTACTTTAATAATTTAAAAAAAAAATTTATCTAAAATTTTAAGATTTGGATTTGATTCAAGAAATATTTTCACAATCTTAGTTTCAATACTTTTTTCTTCACCAACATGAGTGTTAATCCTAAAAATTAAAAATTATTATTAAATGTATGTTTTTTTGTTTGGTGTTGTTATTTGTCTATTATGATGTAAGTTATAGATTTTCAAGTTAATTTTTGATGTACTGTAGATTTTACCGATTTTTTAAAATATGACGATGGGAAAAGAAGAATAATAAGAATTCACGAAAAATAAGGCTTCATGTGATTATTAAATATTATAAACGAAAATATAAAAAAAAGTATATCTATCTTTTGTCAAAAAAATTAAAAAGATACAAGATTCTTTTGAAAATAAAGAAAGAATAGATGTCATGTGAATTTGATTCACATTTCGGAAACATAATTAATGAGGATATTGTTGTAGCTGTTGGAAAAAAAGAAGAAACAAATTTAATATAATACATAAAATGTCAGTTATTTTCTGACAGGGGAATTAAGTTTTCCTTGGGGGAAGAAGAGTGGATGATGATCACATGTTGTTTCATTGTTAGGAGAAAGCCCTAGTTGGAGATTGGGAGATATTGGATAAGATGTCAGCTGTGGACCTTTGGGAAATGAAGAATTGGATAATTATGATTTATTTTATTATATTATTTTTAATATATTAGATTGTGTTGTTCTTAAATGAATAAATTTGGGTCGTCTTATTATGAAATATGGTTTGTTTTATGTTATGGGATATGGCTTGTTATAATGGTTTGTGTTAGATATAAAATTTACTGTTTGAGCCTCGGGTCGGGTTTCGGATTGGGCTGCTACAGCCCGACTTGTGTTCGAACCCAAGAAAAAGTCTTCAATGTCCGAGGCCGATCAATGTCAAAGCTCAGGTCTGGCTTCGAACAGCCTATGCTGGGCTCTACCTAAGCCCTACTCCTCTCCTCAGCATCTACATGATAAAATATTTATTGGAAACAAACCCCCTCAAAACCCTATACTTAACCCATTAAAAATTTTCACTTAGCAGAAAATATTAAATTTGAAAAATAATGACTAAGGTTTTTATTCACAATATAAATTTGGTCGATGTGTAGCAATATCATTTTATTATAAAAGGTCTTTTAATAAAATAATTTTTTACCATAATATATTTCAATATAATTTGCCCTATTTGATTTAATAATTTAATAGATATCACCCCAATATAGTTATCCTACCTCTTGCTTTCCCCCTTAAAAGTTGGAAGCAAACTTCACACACCCCACCATCATGTGGACGTTGTAACTCCCTATCATCTTCAAAAAATTTGGAGGTCCCTCGCTAATGTAAACGCTGGATGCATATAGCATTACCAAATTCTTAATAGGCTTGATAGGACAAAATACTTTTACTAGCTGGAAACCCCCTTAAAAACTTAGAAGGTCGATTCTGGCAGGTCCTATTTGAGTCAAAGAGACATCTTCAATACTTAAAGGATGTAATATTTATGTTTACTATTCCATCTTGAGCCATATCCACCGCTTGCGCAAAAATATTTTTCAAGTCGAAGTAATCGAGTAGAGTCTTATTCTCCTTCACATAAGCGTACCGCACATATAAGTACACGGGGATAGGCCCATTTATCCTACTGGCAGATATCCTTTGAGCTTCATTCATCACTAAAATGATATAAGTATTTAACAGTTGAGATTTGTAAAGTTAGATTTATTTAATTAAGATAAAAAAAAGCTTTAACCCACTTAATATGCTAAACAGTCATTATACAAATACATTTACCTTATGTTTTAATATAATAAATAAATTTTATAGCAATTTTAATGATGGGAAAGACAATTCATTTTAAATTCACTTTAAATCTAAAAATATCAGCCCTAAAGATGGAAATTTTATAACCATTTGCCTTTTCACCCCACATAGCCTTGGTTTCCCCTACATAAATATTATATAGGAAAGATGAAAATTGTATTCATTTTGCCAGATTGTTTATAAGCAATCAAACGGATTCATTTATTTCTTCCTTCCTTCCTTCATTCATTCAATTTATTCATTCATTTATACATTTATTTAGTTATTCATTTATTCATTCATTCATTGACATTTGACTTATTTCTACATTGTATCAATTGCCTTGTCCTTGCATGGTATAATGGATCACCAATCCTATTGATATAAAATGCCGGGTAGAGAGCTGTAGAAGCTTCGTACAACCAACTAATAGCTTGATTGTTTTGTACTATATCGCATTGATATGAAACTAATGAGCTTTACCAAAAAAAATATATAATATATTATTCTTTACTAAATTTATGTCCTTTTCAAATTAATTGATATCTTTCTTAATTTTTTTTTAAAAAAAACCTCATCAATTTTGCAGAGTTTGAAATTATATTTTTTTTAAAGTAACTTCACTAATAAAAAGGAATAATCAATTTTAGATTTTAGGAAAAACTATGTTTACAAGAGAAGTGCTAAGAAATTCTGTTTCAGGCTAACAATAAAATAATACAAAATATAAAAACTGAATATAATCCATTTTCTGAATTTGTAAGAATATTCAAATGCCAATACTGTTCCAAAAAAAATTTAAACTCCAATTTATGCCAATAGTTGACAACTATGTTATTTATATAATCGAGATATATTCTTTATATTGAATGGTATCTAATATTTAGTACGTACTTTTATTTATATAGTTTCTAAGTCGATATATAGATTATTTTAACATAATGATATTGGAAAAAATTACATTATATATTTAAATTACATTAAATATAATATAGTTTTATAATATTAATGTTGATTATCAACTTTCAATCAATGACACTTATCACATTACAAACTTCAGTTTTGTGAAAACGTTACACACCTTTTACTTCCAACCTTTCCTAAACTTACTCAGCAACTAAATTGAAACGATTGGATGATATTAATTTTCTTAATTTAATTTCAACAATTTTGTATAAAAAAAAACTAATTTTATAATCGTCAAAAATATCAGAAACGAAACATTTCATGGTAATTTTTTTTTAATAATCTTTTTTTTTACAATTATATGCGACCACTCAAAATATAAAAATCACGTGCTATTCAATGTTAATTATAATCCAATCAACCTTATTTTGGTTGATTGGCATTATGCAAAATTACTATAAATTCGTATATAAAAATACGACATTATGGTTTTTGATAAAACTTGTAATTAATGGCTAAACGTTTTTCATGCACCTTTAATATTATTTATTTTAAAGGAAAACGAATATAGATATGAAAAAGCTATCAAACTGGTAGGTATATGCTCCGCCTGATTAACAGGGGTCAGATAATACAAAAACAAATTTTATAATTGAATCATCTAACATTGACTCTATACGTAATGTTTTATGACGACTAGACTCGCAAAATTATCATAAAATTTTGTACCTAATTATGGATTATGTACTGCGATATGTATTAAAAAAAATTCCTTCTCATGGCAATTATTTCCAGTTGGTATTTCCAAGAGGTAGAAAAGACCAAATTATTCCATATACAGTGTAACCCAGATATAATTAAAGGAAAGATGGAAACTTAAGGTCTTTTGCTTTTATGTATTAATATAAATTTTATTATTTTATCCATATTTTAATGTATGATATTTTAATAAACAATTCTTTCGTATAACTCTAAATTTAAAGCAACGTTTAATGATTTTTTAGGATGATAGAAAAATAAAGCTTAATTGTGAAAGATATCTTTCGTAAAAACCCTGATTTTGCCGAAACTAAGTTTAGCCAAAAAATAAATCCTCAAATTGTACCAAATATTAGCAGACAGCTGTTGGCTAAATCTTGAGCGTAGACAAAATTAATTCAACTAAACGAATGATCTAAACAGCAACTAGTGAGAAGGATTCCAATTTAATTATTTCAAAGCATTCATTTATTTCGTAATTATTGATAATAAACGTTTTAAGGAAAGATTCTTCAGTGATTTGTAAAATTTTTCTCTTGCCTTAAAAACCTTGTTTCTTTTGGAATCCAAATTATTTTATCGTAGAAAAAAATATGGTAGCATTATATACTCATCTTAATTTTCCCATGGGGAGGGTGACCTTGAATTGCTAAATTAAATATGTCAACTCAATAATTGACAGGTGGAAACATCCTATGAAAATACGTGCAGAATGATTTTCCAAAGTTTAAAAATAAAAATTTTTATTTGTGCTTGCTTCCATTTTTTCATTATTTATACATTTCAATTCAATAAAAAAAAGATTTTAAAAATTTATTAAAAGATCTTATATAAATTATATATTTTAATTTATAAAGTAACTGTAAATTTTGAGTCGTTACTTAACTAATAAGCTACTTATTTGAACTAATTATACTTTTTATGATGGGGCTTGTAGCTTTACTAGCCAATTTCGCATAAGTAACTTTGATAATTTTTACAATTTAAAATATTTTAAAGTTTGCTAGCACTGTATTAAAAATGTATCGAATTTTCTGTATCACATCTAGATGGATTTTTGATAAATTTATCAGTATATAAATTTTTTATAGTTCTACCTAAATCGGTAATGAGATATGTTATAACTTTCGGTTTCTTTATCCAAAATAGAGATCATATAATTGAGAACTAAAACTTAATAAATTTAAATTACACTCTAAATCACTATTAAAATTATAAGAATCATCATTTTTACGATAAATTTAAATAAAAAATTGAATGTATTGTACCCTAATCTTAAAATCAATATTCGATCAGGTGAGGCCTCTTTTTATTTTTATTGGGTCGGGTTAAATCGATGATTGTTATATTTTTATAAAGACTACACGGTCTGGCCGGGTTTTCGGTGACGGCTCAGACAAAATACCGGATAGGGATTATTTATTAATAATAATTAGTAAGCATGTGTTTACGGAGCACATTTAGGAAAGGCATAATATCCCCACAAAGCATAGGGTCTATTTTGTTTAGCAACTCTTAGAGTTAATATCATCATATTTTTGATAACACTTTCGTAATTTTGTCGAGCTCCAAGTCTTATTGCTGTGTCATCGAGGCCAGAAGTGTTCATCTGAGTTTTGAAGTAGTCTATCGATTCATCCTTTTTCCATTTTAATAAAGTTAATTTAGAATTTGTAAATTCCCTTTTATTAATGAAAGGAAGACACTCTTAAGTCTTAACATCACTTAGTTATCTTTAAAAATGACATCAAGTGACTAAATAAAAGCTATGTTTTATAATGTCATGATTTAGTATATATTTAAGAATTATACCTATATTAAATATTTGAGCATTTTAAATTTGATAAAAAATATCTATATAAAAATTAATAATAGATTTTAAGAGTAATTCCAAAGTTCGCGGCAAAATTGTCAGAAATAAATTATTTCGATAATAATAAACATAGGCCTATCAGAACTTTTCTACAGGGGAGAGGGGCTATTAGACAGGTTTTCTATAAATTTTATTATAGGTCTTTAAGGTCCACGTTTTGTAGGTACAAGCCTGAAGATTTTGCTCATAGAAGGAACAAAGGTTTAGACATGAAATCTTGGGGGCTTAGGCAATATTTTTCTGGCTAAAATATTGAGTTAGCCGTTTTCAAAAATCGGCTCAAAACAAGCCGTTTTACAACACTAATATTTTTTTAAAAATAATTTTTGGTTTTCACTTATTATTTTTTTTTAAAAAAAAAGATTATTTTTTTTCTAAATATTTTGAATTATAGTCATTATTTAAAAAATTTATTAACTTTTATTAATTTTTCTTTCAAATTCTTCTTAATAGTGATATATCGTATACATTTTTGGTAAAGATGGGTGTGGGATAGGGAGAAGTTTATATTAGCTTAAAATGATATTTGCGAGACAAGCAAATTTGGGATGAAGGGGGTTACGCTCCTGTTAAGAAGTCGCTCTATTGATATTTTATTTTATTTTTGTTAAAAACCTTTTTTTTAACCTCCTTTTAGGCATTCCTTTTTACATATGGTTACAATGAACATTTCTAATTGAATCATGATTAATTAATTTATCATACATATTTATCATTCCTTTAAAATTATCTCAGCCAAACTTTTATTTTTTTTATGGACTTGATAAAAATAACCGATGTCTATCATGTATCCTCTAGGGATAGCGGCATTTTAATAAATTGTGTTTCTTGATTTTTTTTATAAAGTTATATTTAATTTATTCAAGGTCTATAATAACAAATATTCTTTTCTTTTTACAAATATGTTTTTTCTGATTAATTGACCTTGTCTTAAATAATTATCTTTTTCTTTCTTTCTTTCTTTCTTTCTTTCTTTCTTTCTTTCTTTCTTTCTTTCTTTCTTTCTTTCTTTCTTTCTTTCTTTCTTTCTTTCTTTCTTTCTTTCTTTCTTTCTTTCTTTCTTTCTTTCTTTCTTTCTTTCTTTCTTTCTTTCTTTCTTTCTTTCTTTCTTTCTTTCTTTCTTCCTTCCTTCCTTCCTTCCTTCCTTCCTTCCTTCCTTCCTTCCTTCCTTCCTTCCTTCCTTCCTTCCTTCCTTCCTTCCTTCCTTCCTTCCTTCCTTCCTTCCTTCCTTCCTTCCTTCCTTCCTTCCTTCCTTCCTTCCTTCCTTCCTTCCTTCCTTCCTTCCTTCCTTCCTTCCTTCCTTCCTTCCTTCCTTCCTTCCTTCCTTCCTTCCTTCCTTTCTTCCTTTCTTTCTTTTCTCTCTCTCTCTTTCTTTACCACTTAAAAATTTCGAACTCTATAATCTTCAGAAACTCAAACTCGCTTTTTATAATAAATTTTTTTTTAAATATTTGCTAGGACCTCGTTTTGACAAGTGTTTTTTTTCATGGCGTTAATAAAAAATCACATCAAAGCTAGACTTTTAAGATGCTTTATTAATATTCATTTTATAAAACGTCAGTCATTAAATCAATCTATAAAATGTTATACCAAAATAAATTGGCCAATTTTATTGGCTAATTGAAGATCCAAACGATTCTAAATAAAAATATATCCGATCTTACTATATAAATTTGATAAACCGGATCCATCATTAGTTGCCACAACGGAGTGTAGAATTCCATATCGATAACTGCCAAACCCTTAAAATGAGAATATTTAAGGTTTTCCAAATTTTTTCAAAAAAATATTATAGAACTATGACATTTGTGACTATTACTTTTAAAACTAGATTGGAGCTTGTACTATCTTACTCTTCAGATAAAGTTAATTTTTACTTATTTACTTCCTTCCCTCCTTCCTCTTATTTTTAATGTTTTTTAGAAGTAATTAAAAATATACCGAAAAATTTGTGTTCTTCATAACTCTTTGTATGTCAGCTATGGTCTCATTTGCATGAGCGGTTATATTCATTCTTTCGGGTATACCTCCATTGACTCGTGTTCCATTATTATTAATAAAGGCCCATAGACCTATGACCGTAGCGTAAAAGAGTGTGACAGTGGCGTTCTGCCAGGTCTGATTTACGTTACTCTCTATTCCCCATTTGTCCAAGTTCAGTATAACATTATAACGGCTTTTGCATACGTGCGTTGGTGAATTCCATATGACTCTGAAAGGGACATTTTTATTAAGGGGCATAACATCTTGGATGAAGAAAGCTTTAATATTCGTATATATGATTTATAGAATAAAAGACTATGATAAACTTATTGTAAAAATAGCAAGTTTTATAATTTTTTAGTTATTTATAAACAGAAGACTTTAACTTTTCGTGGTTAAAGGTTTGAAATTGTAGTGTTGTTTAATCATCTAGCTTAGCAACTGATTTGGCCAAAATTTCTTCCTAACAAAAAAAAATGAATTAAATCTCTATTTTGAGTCAACTTAGAAATTTATATTAAAAGTTAAAATATTGTATGTGAACCATTTTTATGTCTAAAATATGAATATTTTCTCTGGGTTTATGTAGTCAACCCAACCCACAATATGATAATATTATTAGATTGTACTAACGCACTTAATTTGTTACAGAATAACTTTGTTGTTTAAAAAAGAATTTTTTTTACTAAGAATGCCGAAAATAGTGATATTATTTGTTATATTGAATAAAGGTATTATATCTCTATATAATGATAAGAAATTTATTTTACTTAGGTAGTAGTTTAATAGATTTTAAATAAAGTTCCTTTTATACATATCGATTCGGTTCGGGATCATAATAAAGTAACAGTTTCGGGGTTCAGATTCGTTTCTCAAAATATAATAATATTGGTTCAGTTTAAACTTTTTAAAACTTGGTTGAAAATTATTTCAGAATATAGTAGATAGGCACATTTTTTAAAATCTCATCACTTAACGTATATACCATACATTAAGCAACTTACATTTAGTTTATTATTGATGCCAATGTGTTTTTTCCGGCAATATGTTATTTTTTTTTTACATTGAATCATGTTTTTAGTGCGTTTTGTTAAATTTAAAATTTTGATTTTACGGGAAATGTTTTCTATCATGTTTGGAATACCTACCCTATAAACATGTGACAATTTCGCTATGAACTTTTGAATTAAATATGTTAGTTCTTCCATAGATTTTTTATATATAAATTATAAATGACAAGGTTAACGGTATTCATGTGATAGGTATTCTAAACAAGTTGGAATAAATTTTCGGTAAAATTCAATTTTTAAATTTAAAAAAAAACACCCTCAAAAAATGATTTAAAGTTGAAAAAAATGACACATTGACGGAAAACCCACATTGACGCTATATATATACCTAATTTAAATTATAAAAATTAAATAAGCAGTATTTATTAACTATAATATTAATAATCTTTAAAACAGTTAGGATACTAAAAGGTTCTAATCATTTAAGGGTTCGGTTCAGGTAATAAAATTTTTAGCGATTCATGGTTCGGCATTGGTTTAATGTATAATAACGGTTAATACCGGCTTAAGGAGATCTCTTTGCTTGTTGTGTTTATATTTTTATATAAATAGATTACCTTATATTATTATTTTGATATAACAAATAAAGCAAATCTAATATCAATTATTTGACTCATTAATGACTAAATTTGACTTTAAAAATGTACAGTTGCAAACTAAAAAAATAATTAAATGTTTTGATAGATTAATAACTAAGAAATTCATTATTAGGATTGACTAAATTATTTTGCTTATAATATTATTGAAAAGAAGTTTCGAAATATTGGATTTATCCAACATAATATATGTTTTGTGGTAATGTTTTTTTTTAACTGAACCTCAAAAATGTCAACAAATATAATATACCTTTTATAGAGAAGAGAAGAGAAGAGAAGAGAAGAGAAGAGAAGAAGAAGAAGAAGAGAAGAGAAGAAGAAGAAGAAGAAGAAGAAGAAGAGAAGAGAAGAAGAAGAAGAAGAGAAGAGAAGAGAAGAGAAGAGAAGAAGAGAAGAAGAGAAGAGAAGAGATATATTACTCTCAAAAAATTTTTTTTCGTTGCTTAGTTTAAAATTTAATAATAATAATTGTTAATATATTATATTTTATTAGTGAAATCCTGTTTTAAAATTATTGCTATTTTATTTCAAGAGCATTTTGTTATTTTTTGTTAACCTTTATGTTGAAAATTTTGATTTTTTTTTATTAAATATAAGTTTTTACTATTTCGAAAATATTTATATCCGAAGGCGGTTTTCATATTTCGAAGTGCCTTGAATTAGTACACATATTCATTGCACGTAAATAATTGTACCCACCAAATATCTTAAAAGAAAATCGGGGGTAGGTTTAGGGGCTAGGGAGTAAAAAAATTTGGTTGAGGGAGATCCTTGTTTATAGTTTCCAAATAAATTTTCTCTGTATAGGCAAGCACAGGATAAATATATATAATTTTTAACCTGTTAACCCGATCAGTATCAAAAGAATGGGATTTCTATAAGAAAAATTCATTTTTTTATTTAAATTTATCAAAAAAATTTGAGATATATAATATATAGTATATAATTTTTCATTTAAAATTATAAATGTATCATATTTATCATAGTAAAAGGTATATGTTTATTACGGCGAATTACAAGGTCAGAAGGACATGAGCCAATTTTTTATATGTATTTTACTTTTTTTCGTGATAACATTTTAAAATTATTAGATTACAAAGAAATACATAATCTTTGAGTAATCTGTATTTTAGATCAATATTTTTAAAAAAAATTTCTTTGTTCATTATGGTATATATTTTACTTAAATATGCAAAATTATCGCCAAAAAATTGTTTAAAAAATTATAAACGATTTTTATTCATTGATAGCTTTTTACAACTTCACTGAATTATAAATCAAGAAATCAAGGGATTAGATTATTTTGCTCTATGAAGCACTTAGATAACACAGAAGGCGACTTCCAACATACTCTTAAAAGTTTAAAATCTTATTTTTAAAGAAAAGAAGTTACTTTGCGCAATTTAGAAAATATCAGAGTTATAAACAGATAGAAGGCTCCTACAAAAAGTTGTTGAGTTGCTTGGTTGGATATAATTGTCATAATTTTTGGTCGATTTTTTGGTTGAAAAAATGAGCCAGACCCAAATTAACCTAATAGATTTATCTGGTTGATCAAATATTTCTACCCAAACACTAATGCAAACATCCACCTGAATATTAACGCGAGAACTGATTCGTGCACGAATCCCATAAATGACAGCACCGACCCGAGGACCGACCTGAGCCCCACCCGTACTTAAATATAAAGAAAGAGATAACAAAAAAAAGACTCAATTTCAAACCCCATATTATCAGGAAATTATTCATAGGTAGTAAACAGGGCTCAATTTTATATACAGTAAAACTTGGCACCTCCCTAATTTGATAAAAATTTTTAGTCCCAATCAAATTCCCATTAACTACCTATGGATTTGAAAATGCCTCGATAAATGAGAAACTGTCTAATTTAGGAAAATTTTTTTGACCGGTTCCCAAATTAGACAGGTTCAGTTGTATATTGAAAATCGGAAAATGGTTTTCTCATAACATCGTAAAATATAAAGGGTTTAGAATCAACTTATTACTGATTGATTTTAACAAAGCGTAATTTTTTAGATCGACCTATTATAAAAAATTATATATGAATTTTATATTTAATTATAATTATAATATTCGTGGCATATATCAGTAGCGTCTCTATGGGGAAGGGGGCAACAGGGGCTCGGGCCCCCTGAAAAATTTGAATAGCTCCTTCAAAATTTTGAATTTTTTTTATATCCAATGTAATTTTGATAATGTTAGCTAAAAAAAAAAGTAATTTTGATCCTTTGAAGTACCTGCGAAAAATTTAGTGAAAGTATCTTTATTGCCTAAGGGTGACCCTAGATATGTGAGGTACTCTTTCTCCTGTAAAATCTGAAATCATTTTAAACATTTTTTAAACATTGCTGTCTAGGGGACAATATTGACTCTTTTAGAGGATTTATTTTTAAACCTATGTTTTCATGGATTTTATAAAGCCTACTGTCATGTTGAATTGGTCTGGCAAGCCGGCTATAATTCCATCAGCAATATACCAAGAGTATAAATTAAGTTTGCATTGGGTAATATTTCTCCTATCATTTTATCTATCCCAAGATAAAATGGATCTCATTTTGTATTACTTGTGATGTTTGTTTTCCTAATTCCATTATAGTTCAAGTTTTCTTTGTTTCTTACTTCTATCATATGGAAAGGAGGAGGGGAGGGGGGAGTAGCGATGTCGGATATGTTTTCTTCACTTTTCCAAAAAAAAAACTCAAAAAATTAATGGATAAATTTCCTTTTTAAATTAAAGTATTTTTTGAAAGATTCTGTATGTGAAATAAAGGGACTATATTTTAAATTACATTATCTTTTACAAAATTCGTGAATACGCTTTATTTGTGACTAGCCATAAGATATAAATATAAAAATACAAATCAGTGACATATATTCAAGGGTATAGAGATATAAAAAAAAGGCATAATTCTCTTAATTTTAAAACTGATTCCTTAGTAATTATAAATTTTTCCCTCTATTTCTGAAAAATCCTTTGCAAAATCATTATCTCAAAAAATGCCTGAAAAATATAAGTTATTATTACTTATTTAATTTTTATAAATTTATTTTACGACAAAATTCAGCTCATTCATTTAATATTGTTAGTAATTACATTATATTTCGCCTATTTTGAATCAATTATTAAAAATAAGGTGAAATTTCTTGAACATAAACATATATTTCCGAATTTTCGGAAAGAAAACTCTCATATTATTTTTTAGTGATTTTTGTTTTAAAACGTACTAATTGTCAACTCTTACAATAAGTAACTAGATTAGTAAATAGCCTTATACCTATAAAATAATTTTAACTTATCTCGTTGTTTAAAAATAGAATAACAAATCTCCAACATTAGCATATGAAGAAAAGATTACAGAATGAATATAATCAAAGTATGTAATTTTTTAAAAACAAATTTGTGGCCCATCTGGTACCCCTTATATAAACAAAAGTTCTAGTTAGAGTCTTGGAAAAGTTATTTTGGGCTTCAATCTTAACAAAAAAAGTAAAGCTATAAAACCGCATAGTTTGGGAATTCTGAAATAAATTACAAATATTCGTCCCCAATATTAGTTTAAAAAAAATAATTAAAAGATCCAAATAGCAACTGTGTAAAAATCAATATTTTAAAATATTGTATAATAAAAAAAATCATTTAAATCGCATTCTATATATTCCATTAAAAAAAAGGCTTATGTTTTTCGACCAATGTATTCTTAAATTATTCATAATATATATAAATTTTAATGATTCGTAAAAAAATGGATAGTTTCATGCTTAGAAATTTCATTATAATAATATAATTAAATAAAAGGAATAAACATTTTTTTAAGTAGTAGAATTAGTAGTGAAGTTTATTTCACAATTGTTTCCACTCCATCCAGGATAACATACGCAGCTGTAAGAGTCCGATAGGGGTTCCATTGAAGCTAAAATTCTTTTCTTATAAAGGTTAAACCTGTAATAAGATTCCAAGGCGATGTCTGGAATATGATTGTCCTTAAAATCGCTCCTTATGCATTTACCATTGCCTCCACATACCTCTTGGCTGCACACTTTTTATTTATCGGGAATCAAAAGAATGTTTTACTATATTTTTTTTTGCTTTTCCTAATCATGTCTTTTTATTTTATTTTATTTATTTATTTATTTCTTTCTTTCAATATATTGCATTTAAAATTTAAGGAAAAGAAAACCTATAGCAAAATTGATGGATTTCTGGGCTAAAGGTCCAATCAGGCTTTCCATATGTTTGCTCAAAGCGGTACAATTTCCAAACTCGGCATGATCTCCCCAAAATACCTAATATAAATATTTATATATATTTCGCCCTTATTTCGTTCGAAATTGAGTAAAAAAAAAACTAATAAATTTTCAATTTTTTTTCTTCTCCAATAAAATCATATTTATCTGCTGATATCAATCTTTTATGTGGTATAAACTGGATTAGGATACAATTTTAATTGTATCCAAATATTTCTAGTAGTGTTGTTAAACGGCTCGTTTTGAGCCGATTTTTTTAAAACGGCTAACTCAATTTTTTAGCCAGAAATATATTGCCTCACCCTTGAGATTTCGATAATATATGTCTAGATCTTTGTTCCATCTATGAGCAAAATCTTCCGGCTTGCGTAATATTTTTCTGGATGAAATATTGAGTTAGCCATTAACAAAAATAGGCTCAAAACGAGCCTTTTAATAACGCTAATTTTTAGAAATAAATTATAAATCCAAAGTACATCTAATTTTTACAGCACGAAACTACAATCTTAGTATATTGGCAACTTATATGAAATATATATAATGTAAAACATAAAATATTTTTTAGATGAAAAAAAAAGGCCAGTAGTGGTATTACCCTGCAATTCAAGGTTAGTGCGAATTCGCGGCAAAGTAAAATACACAAAATAGAGCATATTTTTATGTATTTCGTCGTGAATGCGTTCTAGCTATGAATGCTGGGTTAATCTTTGCCTTCGATATAGTTATCCTTTTCTTAATTTATTTATAAATTAAATAAAATATTTAATCAACAATCATTATAAAAAACTATCTATTCGCATTTTACCTCTACAAATAATCATAGCTCGAATATTTGAGTGACTTAGCCAGCTTATTAAATATAAAAGCTAAGGTTAAATTTTTTTTCTCATTTATACTAATTATTAGCTTTATATTTAACATTTAATATTATCTCAAAATCCCAAATATTTAACAAAATTGCAATAGCTAATGATAATTGTTTACTATTCCGTCTTGAGCCATATCCACCGCCTGCGTAAAGATGTTTTTCAAGTCGTAATAATCGAGTAAAGCGTTTTTCTCTTTTTCGTAAGAGTACCTGACGTAAAAATATATCGGGATAGGTCCATTTAGTCTATTAGCAGATATCCACAGGGCTTCGTTCATCACTAAAACCATATAAATCTTACATATATATTTTAACTAAAGTAATCTAATTGGGCATAATTAAAAACAAAATTTTCAAGAATAAAAAATTTCATAAATTATCTATTTCTTAAAAATTTGCCTTAAAATATTAAGTGGTATCAAATTATTTAAATAAAATTTCAAATTTTTTATTAATATTTAAAATAAGAGCAGGGATCCAAAACGAACCTGAACCGAACCATTAAACCGCTAAAAACCGGAATTTTTCATCGAACCTATACCGAACCTGAACCGCTAAAATTTAGCCGAACCTGAACCGAACCTCTAAAATCTCTCTGAACCGGTTCGAGTCTCATAATTATATGCTCATAAAATATTTGTAAGTTATTACCAGTATATTGCAAATTTTTTTATTATATTCGAATTATTATCAATCACATTTGATTGATAAGTGTCAGACATAATTTTTATAAACTTTAGTATATTGCCATTTTACAATATTTTTTGAATATTTTAAGCTTATAAATTATAATGCCTAGAAAAAAAAATTAAATCCAATATATAAATTATTTACATATTGTATTATAAATGACACATCAAATCTGATATAATACTGGTAGTGCCAGCTACCCAAGTTAGTGTGGAAAAATGTTTTTCAACAATTAAATTTATAGTATCTTTTATATAGATGAAATTTGAGTGAAACGAATTTTGAAAATATATTAATTGTGCGGCTTAATAAAAAATTTAAGTAATTATTCATATTAAACATTAATACATTGATTATATTTATAAATTAAATATTATTTTATAATGTGCAATTAATAAAAATGAAGATTTTAATTTTTTTATTTTAATTATGGAATAAAAAAAAAAATTCTTCCCTATAAATAATTCGAATGTAGGTTTGAATATAAAAGTGTTATTTTTAGAGGTTCGAACCGAACCGATATTTATATTTTTTGTGAACCGAACCTGAACCTTGAACCGTTATTTATCCAAAACCGAACCGATATTCGTTTTGGTTATGGAACCCTGAAATATTGTATACCACTTAGTTAATTGTTTCTTTTTTAAAAAAAATGCAATTTAAATTTTTTCGGATCACGCACATCAAATAGTTAAATTTGTACCATCTCGATTAGTGAGTCTGCCTATCTGTTTTCCGGATAAATCGAATTTTATAAATATGTCAAGGCTCCTTGATCTATTTGTTTCTTTTTTTTTTAATTCTAAATTATCTCGATCAATTTACTTCTATAGCTCAATGAATTCACCCATGCCATTAGTATTCGCTTAAACTGTTGTGTTAATCATCCACACTTGTTCTGCAGTTTTACGGTTGAGAAAAATGGCTGACGTCTTCATCGCCGCTCTTGTAAAGGTCGAATAATTAGACCTAATCTATGTAATTTGATTATTCTACGTGTATTGAGGCTCAAACACTATTAATTCTAAAACCTCCTGGTCTTCCCAGATCTGATAAACATCCTGACAGGGTTTCGCCAAATACTTGAAAGAGTGAACAATTCCTGTTTTTGCAGCCCACAGGTCCCCTCCAATTAAACCCTCAACATCCTTGAAGAAATAGAGCAATTGTAAATTGCCAAATATTCTGAAATTTTTAATGCCATTTATTAAATATTATTACAACTTCATATATTTATCAATAAAATAATGTTTTTCATGTCAGACAGACTCATTAATTCAGATTATGCGTCGGAACTATTTTTTCAGGTCAGGTCGGATTCTAAAAATTTTCACACATAAAAAAGTTATTGGATAAAGGAAAATATCACTGAAATAAATATTTTTTCAGTGTTATTTCCTAAAAAATAATATTTATAAAGCATATTAGCAAAATAAAATTAAGTCTCTTAGAAGTCCAAGTCATACAATAAAAAAAAATATTTAAATCAAAGTCTGGCCCTCAAGAGTCCCGGAAATTTCTGTCTATCCAATCGATGCGGTATGTGTAGGATTGCTTGAGATGCTACAACTTTCAACATTTGAAACTGAGTTTAATCCTATTTTAAGGGTAAATAAGATATGGTGTCAATTTCGTCTTGGGAGATTTTGTCATAATTAGGCCCATGTAACATTCTTTCCTAAATTTTGTCCACATGACTCACCCAGGATATTTAATCACCATTTGAAAAAATATATAAATTTTAGACGTATTTATAAAGCATTGAAGAGATTAATATATTTTAAAACTTTAATATGTCAGATCATAAATTGAGAACCAATTTCAATTTTTACCTTTAATATATTGATTAAAAGTTTTTATTTTTTAAATTTCTGACTTAGCGTTATTTACATCTTTTTTAAAAAAATAATATCTCCACTTCTTTATAGGGGCTGGGATGAGCTCGCAGTAGATTTTTTTCTAAATCAACCTTTAGTATTACCGATAATAGAAAATTTTGTTTTTTTATGGTTAGCAATGTGAACATACATATTATTAAGCTTATATTATGGTTACTCCAAAACTTAAGCAATTTATTAATTTTAAAATGTAAGTGAATTTTTTTATGAGGCCGAGATTTAAGGTTTATAAGGAAAAATAAAAGTTATAACTTAGTTTATACATTGTATTAATTGCCGGGCTCTATGTCTAGGCAATGAAGTTGCATTCCTGTTGATGTAATGCGCGGGGTAGAGAGCTGTAGATGATTCATATAACCAATTTAAAGATTGATTGCCGCTTTTCATCCTGGAAATGCATTGATAAGAATTGTGGTTGCTTTACATTGAAAATAGAAATAAAGATAATATACACACCATTTTTGACCGAAATAATATCATTAAGGAATAGAAATAACTTGACAAGACGGTTTACATTTCTTATATTCAAATAATATTGTAATTTTTTATCGTTTTAATTCTTAACCACAGTTCGCACATTTTTTAAAATTTACCTTATCTTGTTATCTACTTTATTCTACATGAATCGAGGTTCAATAAATACATTGAATGTCTAAGTGCCTATAAAAAAATCGATTCTCAACAGATTTTTTTCAAATAATTGGTAATAAAAAATAAGAAGAAAATAAAATTCAACTCTAAACAAAGGTTGAATGAGCTCTTAAAAATTAGGATGGTTGAAAAATGGACTCCATTTAATTTGAAATGTATTTAGATATAGCTAGATGCATAAATTGAATTTTATTTAGCACTCTATAGTATGTCTATTATCCTTTGTTTGGAGATAAAATGAAAATAGCTAAAAAAAACCTGCCTAAGATACCGCTTTGAAAAACGTTGACTGGAAATGGTATTAAGTAGATTATTAATTAAAAAACTTCCCTAATTATGAAGATCGTCATTTGAATAAGAAGAGGGTAAAGAGTTAGGAGGTAGTTTTGATATGTATTTTGCTTATTATGATTTGATAGTAGGAGGTAAGGGGTAAAAGTTAGAAGTGAATAGAGGGAATACATTCTAGAGGGTGATATTAGTAAATTTTGATAATGGGGGGGGGGGGGGGATAGGGCTAAATCATTATTGGATTAGAGCGTGGAAATCTGTAATACCCTTAGATTTTCTAATATTCATCTTAGGTATCATAAATATTATTCTGTTATCTATGTGAGTTTTATATTATAGGAGTAACTTTTAATATTTTTTATTTCGTTATTAATGACGGTAGTGTGCCAGAGCAGGCAGAGGCGTATATGTCGTCAGTAATTATATCTATCCAATTATAATTCTCATTTTCTACTATTCAAATGGTATACATAAAAAATAATGTTCGTGTAAGCCATGATCATTGACATAAGATACAAAAAGAATTATCGACAATATAATTATTCGAATCGAAAGTATAGCTTTTGATTAAATATTTTCTATTCATATACGTATCCAAGATTTTACAAGAGGGACAGGGAGGGGCACTAATAGATGGAGTTTTCAGTCATAAATTTTATTGGAGGTATCTAGGTCCACTTATTGCAGACCTTTTGGGTAGGATATATTTTAATAAAATTAATCATGGTTTTTCACTTCTTTTTTTTTTTATAAAAAATACTTTTTTTCTAAAGCAATTTGAATTATTGTTGCTATTTTAAAAAATTATTAACTTTTCCTTATTTTTTTGCTTCTAATAATTGTTTATATACTAATTTATTATATCAATATTTTTGAGGGATGGGTGGGGGGAGGGGTTTATTAGTCTAAGATGATAATTTATTACAGGCAAATTTTCCATGGGGTGGTCCCCATTTTCCCATTCCTTGGTCTTGAGCTTGGTTCTGTTTTATCATTTATATCATCATTTACATTTAGATATACTTTTACTTTAGACCAATAAACTTACAATCCCTAAGTTTAAAAAGAAAATATTAATAATATTTTAAAACACCTTTTTAATTTGCAATAAATTTAAATGGACCAGTAGATGTGCATATAAAATTATTTTACTTGCAATAAATATTTTTTAAAAAAAACACACATTTAGGCTGTGTTCCTAGGTCGGCTTAATTTTGAATACTTAAATTGCTTTTTAGTATAGACTAAAAAGTATTTAATCAAGGACACCCTATTTTGGTTTATCTTAAGTTATTTGATGGCATTTCTATTTTTCGTATTTTATTCTCGCTTTTTTTTGGCTATTTTTTTTTTCCGTTTTTTTTTGTTTTATTTCTTTCTTCATTCTTCTTTTTTTTGTTTATTTTTTTTTCTTCTCTAAATTTTTTTTCTTTTGCATTTTTGGCTATTTAGCCGATACTTAAAAGATGGGTAAAAAAGCTGCTATTAAGTATTAAACCTACTACCTAGGACAATCGGAATTTTTTTTATAAAATAAATTTTCATCTATAAATTGGAAAACATGTTTGAATGAGTTTAAATTAAAAAATGCATAATTTCTTCTTTTTTTTGAGTAAAACCTAAGATTTAAGGTATATTCTATAATTCCTTTCCAATGAATTAATCAAAAGGCTAGCGTATTTCGTCTATTACCTAGATTCTGTTAATTTGCTTGGAATATAATCGACCAATAGTGATTTTTTTTTAAAACAACAAAAAATATTTTCAATGGGGTTGAGTTGCGAGGAATAAGGCGGGAGATGCGTTATATTTTGATAAATTTGAATAATTATATAGGCTCATTACCCATTATTATGAACAAATTGGATGGCAAAATATATGATAATTCATCCAGGTAAATCTTAAATTTCATAATTGTAAACGCTATGGTACACAAAATGGATATGTTTTTCCTCTTTGAAGGAGGAAGTTTAATTGATAGCCTTTTACCAGAAGTGCCCATCCATAGTATGAAACAACTTGGAAATCGAAACTTGTTTTATCTAAATAGAAGAGATTTTTAAATGGCACGTTAATCATTTCTGAACATTATTCTTTTATCAGGGAATTCCGTATATCGGTTCCTTTTCCAACTCTTTTCCGGCTCCATCCTATCGATTTGATTCATCTAGAACTTCTGAAATCACTCATTTCTAGATAAGGTAGTAAATTTTTAGCAAACTTTTTATCGTAAATCCATTATTAAGTTTTAGCAACTCGATAATTTTAGATTTTATTTTCCTCCCTCTTTGATTGATTACGTAATCGGCTAAGGGATTGTCAAAATATTTGGGGAAAGTATTCCACTTAAATCGGTATTTCTAACATTGTTTTTCTACTAGCCGGTTCGTATACACAGGTTTACTGAGTCATTTTTAGCTATGCCGATTTTATCCTGACTTCAATTGTCATATTTTTTTGTAGTTGAGAATAGATATCAGAATTTACGGGCATAGAAATATTTTGTTGATTGGGTAAAGAATTTATAATGGTATTTGTTATGTTAATTAAAGATGAAGTGTATATTGAGAATAATTAATATAGGAATGTTTTCATTAATATTTGATATGTATTTTATGGGGGAAAAATATAGAAAATATATTACATAGTTCTTCATGTGAAGAAAAATCTAAAATTATATATAATAAACAATATAATGTTAAATGTTGCAAACCTGTACATGTAGAAATAAGGGAGATAGTGAAAATATTCATTATAAATGAGTTAAAAAAAGATTTTTAAAAAAATTTATTAGTTTAAAAAAAAAAAGAGCTTTGATTAGTTTTTATAAAGTTTGAAAGAATATAAATATGATTATTTAATAATTAAGGATTAATTTAAACATCTATGCATCATTTCATAAAATCAAATTCTATATACCATTATTCTTCATAACTTTATAATATAAGTTAAATACCATATATATATGTATTAGCATAGCTAATTTTAATTGACCAAATGAAATTTTTGAGGTTCTAATTTTTATTGTTACAAGTTATTTTAATTAAAATTTACAGCATATTTCAAAAAAATATTATATATAGAGTGTAATATAAATACAACTTTATCTAAATTATGCTGTCAGAATGATAGCTTATGGATATGAAAATTTTGTATATGATTTAAATATGTAATTTTTGTTTTAAAACTTTTTTTAAATGTAAATTATTATATATAACTTTCTTAGTTGTCCAATGTGCCCTCTGCCCAGTCCATCTCCAATCTGGTTTATTCAGTGGAAAAATTCAAATATATTGAAATTAAATTATTTTAAAAAATAAACATATAAGTAAGAAAAGTTAGTAAAGTCTTTTATCAATATTTTTTTATTTATATTTTCAAATTTTATAAGGGTTTTTACAAAATCATGCCCGTTGTGCCCGGATCCTCCAACTCCTTATGCCGAGGTAAAGACTAATTCGGGAATCATTAGGATGGTGATTTTACATAAGTAGTAGTTAACTTAATTTTAAAGGACTATGCCTATTTTAAAAAAATATTCTCTTTTCTTTACTTATCTTTATATGTTAGAATCAATGTGTTTTATCCGGCAATATGCTATTTTTTTTCAACTTTAAATCATTTTTTTGAGCCCGTATTTTTAAATTTAAAAAATCGGATTTTACCTCAAATATATTATATCATGTTTGGAATACCTATCTTATGAATTGTACGCAATTTCGCTGTTAACCTTTGAGTCATATATAATTTATATTAAAAAAAAATATATGTAAAGTTTAATACAAATTGTATTAAGTTTAAATGTTGACGGAAAAATTTGCCTGAAATTCATAGGGGCATGTATTCCAAAAATGGCGGTATATATTTCCGAGAAACTCAAATTTTCAAATTTTTTTTAAAAACGCGCTCAAAAAATGATTTAAAGTTTAGAAAAAAAATAACATATTGCCTCAAAAAACACATTGACGTTAACATAAATATATATATATAATAAAAAAAAAGTTGTGTTAAATTTTTTATTAAATATCGTATAACATAGCATTACAAATAGTGTTGTTAAACGGCTTGTTTTGAGCCGATTTTTCAAAACGGTTTATTTAGCCAGAAAAATATTGCCTAAGTCTTGAAATTTCGATAATATATATCTAGAGCTTTGTTCCTTCTATGAGTAAAATCTTCAGGTTTGCTTAATATTTTTCTGGATGAAATATCGAGTTAGCAGTTTTTAAAAATCGGCTCAAAACGAGCCGTTTAACAACACTAATTATAAAAACTATATAAAAATTACCCGCTTAATGTAAATTATTATCTCAATAATTGGAAATTTAGATATGGCTGTAAAATTTACAACTGGATACATAATTAAAATTTTCTATTAAGGATTGTGTGTGTATACTATTATCCATTGTTTTAGTTTCTTTTTATGATCAATTTTTAAAATTGAAATTGAAAACCTGGAAATATTGATTAAGTTATATGGGTGTCTAGAAACTTATATGTGATATAAGGGACACGGCCATTCCTATTACTCAAGCTTTAAAATAGATTTCTGACTCAACCCTTGATAAAATTTTTACTAAGGCCTAATGGCATAAGCTGGAACTAGCTTAATTTTGTCATTTATAAAAGATCAGCTGTAAAACTAATAATAATATATATATACTTGGCGCATCTAGGATACCCAAAGTATCCCCACAAACCTCCGGGTCTCTCTTTCTTGACAGTTTCTAATGTTAATTGCATTATATTCCTTATGGCACTTTCGTATCTTAGTTGGGTTCTAAGCCTAATTGTAGTATCATTGAGGCCGGAAGTGTTTTCTTTTGATTTGTAGTCAGATAACGATTCGTTCTTTTTACCAAATTAATATATTATAAAATCCCCCTTGCTATTAATCTTTTTTTACGAACAGTATAAATTTTTAATCTATCCGGGTTCGGTTCACAATTAAATTGAAGAAGTTATGATATGACTGTATTTATTTTAAATTCCTAATTTTCCTAAAAATACTTCACAGTGTATGATGATTATCTTTAGAAAAATTTAAAAACCATCAATATAATTTCTATAAATAAAGTATATATAAGAAAATAAAATTATTACTATTTAAAATGTCTTGGAAAAGTTATTTAATTATATATTGACGTTTTTTAATAAAACTCAATATTATTTAAATATAAATTTTATGTTTTTTTTATTACTACGTAAATGGAGTAAACAGGATTCATCATAGATTTCCACAAGGGAGTGTAGAATTCCATGTCGATCACCCCCAGACCCTTAAAATAATGATAGAAAAAAATTAATTACCTGACACTTAAAAAATTTTGAATAGCTTGAAACTTATAATATAATTTCTACCCTACCAGGTTCACCTTCTTTCCTTCCTTCCTTCCTTCCTTCCTTCCTTCCTTCCTTCCTTCCTTCCTTCCTTCCTTCCTTCCTTCCTTCCTTCCTTCCTTCCCTTCCTTCCTTCCTTCCTTCCTTCCTTCCTTCCTTCCTTCCTTCCTTCCTTCCTTTATGTCTGCCTACCTTCCTTCCACCTATTCCTCCTTCTTTTCTATTTGTCTATCTTTCCCCTATTTTTCTGTTCTATCCTTCCAATCTTTCTCTCCCCTTTCATCTTACTTTACTTCTTTTCTATTTTATTTCTTTACTTTTCATAGAGTATCAATTAACATTATCATATTTAATAAATGTAATAACTTACCGAAAAATCGCTTTTTTTTAGAATTCTTTGAACGTCCGCTATAGTCTTGTTTACATGAGCATATATGTCCATTCTTTCAGGTATACCTCCATTGATTCTTCTGCCATTTCGTATAAAGGCCCATAGCCCTATGATCGTGGCATAAAAGAGTGAGACAGTGTCACTCTGCCAGGCTTGATTTACATTGCTCTCTATGCCCCATTTGGCTAAATTCAGTGAAACCTTATATTTGCTTTTGCATACAAATGTTGGAGAGTTCCATATGATTCTGAATGGAACCCTATTAGCAATGGGTAAAACTTCTTGGATGAATAATGCTAAAATTGAATAATTTTAGCATGCATAAACAATTATAAAATGATATAAATAAGGTTCAAAGAAATTCATTAATTTTTTTGTTGAAAATTGCTCTTATATAAAATATCATTTTCCTTATTCCTTCATTAGATTATAATATTACCTTATTTCAATATTATAACATTTAAATATAAAAAACTTAATATTTAATCATCAGGGTAAGGATGTTGGGGGGGGGGAATGTTAGGCGATTCTTTTTGTTCCGGACACTTGTTTTAGAGAGTAAATATAAATATATATATTAAATTTAACCTATTATCCCGATCAATATTAAAAGAACGAAATTCCGACAAGAACAAATCATAATCTTAAGGAAAGAATATAAATTTTAATAAGAGTTTATTTAATATAATTTTTCATTTATTATGAATAAATAAGGTATCTACCAATAAATATGGTATGGTTATCTTATATACCTTTATAATTTAAAAGGACATAGGCCAATTTTTATACATTTTCACCATATCTTTCGTTGTAAGGAATGATTTATAACTTAAAAATTTTATCTTTTGTTCTCACAAATTTAACAGAAAAACTCAAATCTAGCTATTTTTTAAAATTATTGATAAAAAAAAACATATCTACAAATAAAATATGAGTTTATACCTTATTTGGCTTTTTTTCTATTTTTTTAAAAAATATGAAATATTATTAAATTTTGGCCTAATAACATTTATTTTTTTAAATAAAATTAAATATTCGTTTGATATTATGCCAAGAGGCTTTTTTAAAAAACAATTAATTTAACAAAGAGTCGATATTTATTTCGATGAAATGGCCATATATTGGCAAAAAATATTATTATAATATTCATAATTTAATAGCCCCCCCCCCCTCCACATAAAGCTGTCTACATAATACATTTTTTATTACGGCATTGTGAAACACATAAAGAGCTGAATATATATGTAAATATAAGATAAAAAACAGATTCCAACCGGAGAGAGCCACAATATGGTTTATTTTATATTTTTTTTCACTTTGAACCAGACTTAAAAAATAATAAATTTTTATAAATCTGGGCTAAACCAGGCTTCACTATGAGCAAAAAATTTGGGCCAGATATGACTTTAAAAAATTTTTTTGACATCTACAACTTTTAAATAAAATGATCTTTCGAAAAAAACGACTCCTATAGTTATTGTATCAAATTTACAAATTTATAATAATCATTTATTTATACATCATATTTAGATGGGCGAAATCAGAATTTTGTCGACAGTTGTCATCACCAGGGTTGTAGACCCGAATAAGGGTTAAGAAATTTAAAATTGTTCGGTTGGGCATTTTGAGATCACAGACCATACAGAGATGGATTTATGGGCAACCCATCAAATCCAGGGTAATATGGGCCCAGGGCAGGTTTGGATTTGAAAGTGTTTAAAATTCTTGAACCTTAATTCAGGTCCCACAACCCTGGTTATCACAAACAATATTATGTTTATTTATTTTTTATTAAGTCTAAACTAAATGTGTTTTTTTTCTTCAAAAAAGCAACCATAAAATTTATAGTTTTTTTAACAACAGCAAACCTAACATTTATATTTTGTTACATAAATCAATAACACTCATAATCTCATACTGAAAGTGTTTACGATAAAATAATATATTCTTAATTTGTGCAATTTATATGTTGTGCAAAATTAATAATTACTAATCTAATATACCATTTATAATTAAAGCAAATAGTATTTATATTAAAAATTATTACCGATCTTATTTCACTAATAAATTGATTTCTTATTTGAAAGAATAAACAAACCTCATCATTCATTAATTAATTCTAAATTATGAATAACATGAGAACTCATTTAAATATAATTCATTGCTAAAATACATCTTATATTCCTAGAACTGAGAGAAATCATCATTTATTTTCTTTTAAATTAGTTATTTATATTATATTTATCTTTATAAAATAGTTAAAAAAGTATAATAATTCAAAATATTAATCTATAAAAAAAATATTAAATGTCTAATTTTGTATTGTTTTAATTATGATGAACAATTATATTGCTAAAAATTTAATACAGGAAAAGAAGATGAAACACGATTAAGATAAATCCGGCTGAAGGCCCAGCAAAATGACTGAAGGTCTACGGAGGGTCTGGAGAGCGGAATCCTCTTTTAGATGTATTGCCCCCTCCCTTTCCTAGCTACGCTAAAATGATACATATTCATAAAAAGGTAACGCTAAAAACAAGTTACTTATGATAAGATAATAATTCTAGCTTTTGAAAAAAAAAATTAAGCATTAAATTAGATATATTCAATTTACTGCTTTGCTAGCTTTAACTGCGCTAGAACTCTCAAACGATAAAAGACTAACATATTCTTACAAAATACTTTTAAGAAGGGTTGTGATTAGAGGTCTTCACTGGGCGGGTTTTTAGTCCATCCGCCCATGCTCACCCTAAGTGGTCGGGCGGGCTAAAAAATTTACAACTTTTATTTGTTATTTAAAATCATTTAATTAAACATTAAAAAAAAATATGCCCCCTGAAATTTCAACATTTTAATAAAAATACTTATAACTGAGGATGGTAGAAATTAATTAGGTAAAAAAAAATATCGAAACATGTTGGATTTGATTTTCATAGAAAAATATAACTTCAACATGGATGTAAATCTGATTTTACCCGTTTCACTTAAAGCAAAGAATTCAATTAAATATTATTAAATTATAAATGCAATGTCGAAATAGATAGCATCCATAACAAAATTAAGAATAAAGATTCGGGAGACCAGATAACTATTGGTGATAATGTAAATAATTTGATAGGGGATATGATTGGTAGAAATATAACACCAGTTGTCAAGAGAAATAATCTAAGAGGCAATAAGGAAGACAAAGTTTATGATAATATTTTTCGCAATATCAGTTACCCGATTAGTTATAGGGATATTAAAAGCTATAACTGAGGGCTCAACCATGATAGATACTACAGATACCAGCTTTCGATTCGAAATGCTATAGCCGCTGAATGGTAGACCATTTCGCAAAGCGTTAAAGGAGTAATATTTCAATTCACGACCAAATTTCCTGTGTCACAGCTAAGAGCATCAATTAATGTTTGGTTCAATGGTTAATTATTTACCATGGAATTTGATTCAGGTACACAGTGGTCAATCATAAATAAAAATATTTGGATATCATTGGGCGGACCAACAATTTTTAAGGCTGAGAAATTATTATCATATATACAAGCAATCATTATTAGGAACAGGATAGATTAATGTGAGGTTTCGGCAGAGTGATAAAGACAAATGCTTCCAGTTGGTTAGGAAAAGTAGCGAGATGCTAATTTTTGGTCTACCATGGATGATTAGGTTTGGTTTAAATTTTCAGGTTCCAGTTATGATACAGTTAGTTAACACACAAACAATAGATTAACAATTTAATGATATAATTAAGAATTATCAAAATTTTATTAAAATAAACTAGCCCGGATCATTATCAAAGATGATTCATTGCTATGGGTACTTCCAGTTCGATGAGTTCCTTTTCCTTTTAGGTAACTAATTGAAAATGAATTAAAACGATTAGTTAAGTAAGGGGTTCTAGAAAGAGTTGATCCTACCTTAGCAAGAGTATAATGGGTTACACCAACAGTAAACATTATGAAAAAAGTAGTAATCGTATATGGTGATTTTTGAGTGACAGAGTAACCCCTTAACATTTTAGGTTTGACAAATTTCAACGAGAATGTTCCTAATTTTTATGAGAAATTAAAACCCCTATATCGGTTTACAAATATTAAAGTACAATGGGAATTCTCAGATAAAATTAAATGTAGTTTTACTTCATATTTATCGGATGACATAAAAAGACCAGTCGCTTACGCGTCTAGAATTTTATCGCTAACTGAGCAGAAATACTCTTCAATTAACCCTGAAGCATCTGCTTTAATGTTTGGTGTAGAGAAATTTCATCAGTACGTCTATATTAGGATGCTTCTTCTATTAACCGATCTTAAACATTAAAGGTAATTTTCGGTGAAGATCTTAATCTATCAAAGAGAATAAATAATCTCTTGGTAAGATGGGGAATAAATTATCATGTTATAACTTTTCAATAGTCTATCGGGCATTTGGCAAAACATAGAGCCAATTCGCACTGTTCGTAAGCCAGAAGAGTGTAAATCGAGAGAGTTATAACCGTTATATACGAGTAAACAGGATTGAAGATCTGCATTTGGTTAAATTACAAAAATTTATGTCAATGTTAGATCGAGGTTTGGAATTATATAAACATAGATCCGAAGGAGATAGAACGTTGACAATTTGGGTACGAAGAAATAAACTTTCATTTGTGTTAATCTGGAGCAATCGGATTATCATGCTAGAATAATTGCATAACATGGTTTTGAGAATAATTCAAAGTGCACATCCCGGAATTGCTGGTATTAAGATTGTTGCAAATTTTATGTATGGTGGCATTCAATCGCCCAAGATATTGAAAAATATATTCAAACTTGCAAAGGCTGCCAGGAAAATAGATCGGCAGTAAAAGAGGTGCACCTTTATTCTTGGAACATTCCAGAAGTGGTATGGAAGAGTTTACATATCGGCGTTGCAGATCCAGCCGAAGAAAACTATAGGTTGGTGTTAGTGTATGTGTTATCAAAATGGGTAGAAGTAGCAGTAATCACCAACATCACTGTTATATTTTAAATATTTTAAAAATATTCAACGTTATTTGAATAATATATTTGTCATAACATTATATAAAATGCAATGACAGTCATCCATAGATGAACGGGTTGGAGGAAATATTTAATAGGAACATTAAAGTCACATGATGCGGGAAAACCACTCAGCCTAATAATGAAGTAAGACTTTTGCAAATAATTATGACTGAGTCGCCGTTTGAGGTCGGTCATGAACTAATGGAAAGTTAATCTGAGAAAAAACAATCAGGAATAAATTTGGAGGCAGAAATTTTCCATTATTAATCAGTTGAGGTGCGGAATTTTAAGGCAAGGCAATTGGTTTGGGTACGGAGGGAGACGCAAGTAGGTACCAGGTATTATCTTAAACAGAAAAGTGGAATTGTCTTATGATATTGAAGTGAACGGCAAAGATAAGCGGAAACATGCAAACCAGTTAGGACATCCGGTTTTCAGGAGGGAAATTGGTTTTGAGATTTATCCATAGCCAATGAATTGTTCTATCACCATGGAGAAGGTTGCCGAATCAAGCAATAGTCGGCCAACGCGGGAACACCTGATGAGAATGGTTTCTAAAAGAGGAAGGGAAGATATAATTGTTGAGTATTTAATATGTGTAATCATATACTACAAATTTTGTCTTCCACCCTTATAAAATGATTTATTATATGCTATATTTCATTTTATTAAATAATATATATATAATTTAATAAAGATAATATTTATAGGAGCACTGTTTTAGGAAATCACAGAATTTTTTTTAACCTCTTAGAAAATCACCAGACGCTATTATTTTCCAAATCAAATATCCTAAATAAATTTATTTGAATTAGTTTATGTTTTTGCAACTATTTTTATAATATAGATTTATTATTTATCAAACATTAAATATTATCGAATATATTATGTTAATTCTAGTAGTAATTTAAATTTTATAGCATTATATAGTAATCGTATTTACTTGATTTTTTCAAAGCAATTTTTGAATAATATTTAAATGTTATTCGTTAAATTGGTATTCTATGAACCAATCAAATAATACATTTATACATGCTAAAATCGGAGTTCAAAACCATACTAACAGAGAACTATATAGAAACTCAATAGAGATTCATATATCTTTGCGCTTAAATAATTTGGAAGTAACATATTAAGGTTTTCGAAAACTCATCAGGTTTCTATTTATTATGGATATAAGATAGAATGTAGAAGCATTCATTTAATACATTTGACTACATGCATCCATCATCTGAAAATTTAAATTATTTGCCTTCATCTCAAATTATTAAATGGCTTTTTGAATCTATGACTTATACTCTAGGGAATTCTTATTCAAAACGTTTATATTTATTTTATATTTAGAATTTTTACTTTAATCCATTCAATAAATTTATATCTATAAATATAGATCATAAAGAACTTATTGAATTTAATCATGACTGTTACAAAATAATTACTATGATATACGGTTTAAAGCTAAAATATATTAATAGGAAAAGTGAAGATGAGGAATTTTATAAAAATTCAGATGAATTAAAGGTATTTTTAAACTTATATTATCTGTATGTATTTATTTTAAACTAGAAAATTGTAAAAATAATTAATAATTTAAAAATTAAAACATACAATCCTTTTTATCAATATGTTGAACCAACTATTATTGACCTAGAAGTACTTTTATAAAATAATTTATAATTGTTATAAATTTATAGGAAAATTTATTACAAATGTTATCAAATGATGCCATAAATAATCAAACTAGAATTCCCCCTTTTTTAAATAAGATTTCAAGCTTGTATTACACCAAAGATTATAATCTTAATCTAGGTTATAAAAGTAATAAAAAATTTACACTCATTAAATCAAAAAGCTTAACAAATATCCCAGACATGTCAACCAACAAAGTTAGTTTTAACATATATGGATACATTGACTACTTACCATATCTTCTATAAAGATTTAACCATGAAATTCTACTATATGTAAATTAGGATTAATAATATTTAACATTTATAATATCTAAGCTTTATAGAACTAATATTTTATTAAACTTGAATTATTATTTTAAATAAAAATTTAGAGAGATGAATTAAATAACAATTTAGCTTTAAGAACGTTGAAATTTTTCAATATACAATTTGTTCCTAATCCAAATCAAAGTTTCAAATTTCCCTATTGAGGGAAAAAAATTTGGCACTTCCTAACTACTTTAAAATGTTTAATGTTCTAATACCGAAAACCTTTATCATACAAAACCAGGTTATTAAATATCACCTTGGAATAAAAAAAATTCTAAATATCAATTTCAACCTACTCTCAAATGTTTTGTAGTCTATTCAAAACTTTTAATCTAGCCAGAACTGGTGCTTTTTTAAAAAATAATATTTTAAAGCTTTAAATTGGCCTCTTGCTAGCAGTAAATTTTATCCAAATAATAATATAAAATAAATTTTTCCTATTCTTCTGATTATAAAATGAAAACATAATACATATATATAACATAATTTCTATTTTTGTTTGAACATAAAAATAAATATTTGACTTTGGTTATTAAAAAATTAAGAAGATTTATTAATCCAAATATATAAAGGGTAGATATGGTTAACCTTTTTTTAATGCTTGTTAAGCAGTTCATATATCTAATTAGTCTGTGGTTTTAAATCAATATTTATGAAATTTATTAAGATATATAATAATTAGCTTCTAAAATTTGTATAATTATAAATGACAGGCTTAACTTCAAAATTAACATTTTTACACTAACATTTTTTATTTACTTATCAATGGTTAAAAGGATGAGAATTTAGCAACTAACAATGAGGAGAAAAAGAAGTCTAAAGAAAAGCAAAATTTTGAAAGTAATTTATATAAATTATTCAACTTATATTTAGAAAATATGTTGCAAGAGCTTAACCAACCACTCAATTCATTTAGATGATTTAGCTATATATAAAAAAAATTTGCTCAACTTATTTTGAAAAAAATCATTATTATTTAAGTCTATTTGCACCAAAAAATTTTTACAATTAGATCCTCTCGATGAGCTGGGAGAGGGGTTTTAACTTGACATGGTTAATTAGCGATCTTATTATGTTTACACCTTTTTACACATTTAAACCTTATCTATTTCAGATAAAGAAGATAGCAGTTTAACATCATGTGATTCAATTGAAATACCGATTTGTCATTACCCTAAGAATACCACACCCTCATGTAAAGTACAGCAATAAATAAACACCTACATTACTATCTAAACATACATTACTATCTAATACCCTGTTACTTCAATAAATTTAGATTTAAATATTTTGATATAGAAATGTAGTGCAAAAATCTTAGGACCCTTTGCAAAACCCCTAAAATTTCTTGTAGGACCCTTATTCATAACTTAAATTGTACTCTCACCCTACTAGGGTAGCGAGGATATCTGTTATGCCCTTGACATCATATAAAAAAAAATTAATTACACTAGGGCGGTACCAATATTAAAATGGCCTGGTTATATATGTGCATATTTTGAAATTGACACAAGATTTACAGATTTGATGCTTTACCATCTTGGAATATTAATAACACTTGAAAATATGTTATCAAACTTATTTTAAGGAGGGGACCAGTAGTGGCAAATAAAAGCAGGCTATCTTTTAGATGGGTTTTTGGCTTCCTGTAAATAATAAATTTTAAATCATCCGATTTTAACGCCATAAAAAAAAATTGTTTTATAACATATTATGATGTTATATCTATATTCCAAGATGTTTATACATAAAAAATTAGCTAACAATCTGTTCTAATATACACATAGAACCATACCATTTTTTCGGTAAAACAGCCCAAATTAGGCACAAATATATTTAATTGTCTTTAAATTATAAGACATCATTTTTTTAGCTATTAAATTACAAATAAAGTAGATATAATAAAAAAAATAAGTAAGGAGTCGATTGCAAGTTCCCAGAATCAATCATCCAACTTCCGATGATGATTGGTACCACAAAATATTTCCTCCACGATTGAAAGATTTTAAGAGTAAAAACGGTAAAAAGATTTGGACTAAATTGGAAGAGGCTAAATTGCTTTCCATGGTGAATAAACATGGTATGTTCTAAGATTTAAAAAGATGTTTTTCTTTAACTATCATTATTAAATATAAGAAAATTGAAATAGAAAAGAAGAAAAGTGTTAGAAATAATATTTTTTTAAATAAAGTAGGAATTGAAAAAATATAAGTTTTTTTTAAAATATATTAAATTTATAATATAAATTTTCCATAAGGTCATAACTGGAAAAGTTTTTGCGGCGAGTTTCCTGGCCGAACTAACGTCGATCTGAAAGACAAATGGAGAAATATGCTGAAAAAAAATATATGATTATTCTTCTTTAAACATTAACATTTTATAAGAATTTTAAAATAAATATTTGACTATGTAAAATTTGATAATTATAATAAGTTATATATTTTTTTTAAAAAAAGTAACACTGAAGAATATTTTTAAATTTTTTTACATAAATATTGCTTATGTTTTGGCCAAAAAAATTTACTGACTTCATCAAAAGTTCTTTAAGAAAGAATGATATAAAAAGTTTGATCTATTTTTGAAATTCGACCATCCTCCGCTTCCCCCCTCTCCCCCTTTTTTTTTAGCTTGAGAAAAATATTTTGAAATATAATCGGAATTTTTTTTTACTATTTTTTTTTACGCGCAATAATTTGGATTTGTAACAATGGCGCATGAATTTGATTTTTGATTGAGTGCTGTTTTATTTATTTCGAAGAATTATGTACCAATATTATATTGATTATTAATGTATCATTTTTATTTATTATTTATTTATGTGTATATTTACCATATATAAAAGGGTAAATAATTGCCAAAAATGATCTTTTTTTTTAGTTGTGTCCTAGAAAATAAAACTTCTAAGAAAAGTATTCATAAAGGAATAAGGTAAAAATAATTGTTGTCTTAAATATTAATATAATCGGCACAACCATTTGAAAAATAAATGAACACAATATGCTTCGTTTCCCAACAAATTATATTTATACTTACTACTACGAAGGAATTTATATGGAATTTTCCCAAAAAAAAATATTTTGTAAAGAAAGATAGATTTGATGAGATTATGTAATTGTCAAAATAGAAAGGTCATAAAAAAAAATTTTTTGTAAAAAAAGAAGGTTAGGAAAGAAAATTGAATAAACCAATAATGAAGAGTTAATTTTTGGTGAAATTGAAGTTTAAGATCGTATCCTTTATAAGATTAAATGATTTTAATAAAATCGAGATTTCAGCAGCAACAGATATCGAAAATATATGTACAGTTAATAAACGACCCTACTCGACATATTAAGAAAATTTAAATCGTAATATTTTATTCTAGTCCAGCGGGAATATTCAACTGGATCCTCCAAATGAGACCCTTTAATACTACCCGCCTATTTTAAACAAAACTAAAAAAAAAATATCAGGGGTTGTTAAATCTCCTTTACAAAGGATGATTCTCAAACAAATATTTATAATAATTGGCTAGATTTTAAATCTCATTCTAAATTTGAATTGGACAAGTAAACTACCCTTCTTTCAAAAACTGTTTAGAATAATTAAACAAGTTCTAAATGGGAGTCTTATCGTGGATCTACAATTAAAGTGCGCTCTTGTAAGAAATGGCGGGAAGACTTTTAAGTATAGAAGCTTAATTTATCAGTTAATAAATCTTTAAAGCATGGTTAAAATACAGATAGATCATTATGATTACGAATATTTTTAATTTTATTCAGATGCCATTTTAAAATCATAAAGTTCCCTATATGCAAGTTTTAATTTTTTTTTAGTATATTAGCATCTTCATTTTAACTAGCCAATAAACAATGGACTTTATAATGCTATATTCTGAAGAGTTCAATTTAAATTGAATGTCTTTAAAAATAAGTATCTAAATTGATTCATTAATTAAATTGCGGCGGAACGACTTTGGATCAAATTCCGAAACTTATGCCAATATTTAGTACCTTACTGATTTTCAAATCAGACACCAGTGAAATTAAAGGTTAGGGAATTATAAAGCTGGAAAGTTACCCCTGGGAGATAATAATTATTTATAGTTTTTTGAACGTTAAAATTAACTAAATATTCCTTATAAATTGTTTACTTTGACTGCATTTCTCAAAAAATTAACTTAAGTTACAAAAAAACGATCTAATTATGACGTATAATCAAAATTAGAAAAAAAATCTTCAAAGATTTTCTTTGCCCAAAATTTTGAGCCAAAAATATTTGTGGTTAATAACAAAATCTTCTTTTTTTAAATTTCTGATTTCATCATGAAACATTTTTTTATTCTTAAAAATCGCAAAAGAACTTTATATAAGATTTTTTACAAAAAATATTTGAAATTTTAAGCAAAATTTGAAAATAAAATTGGTTGAGTGAGCTTCTTAAAAAAATACTTCAGAGATTAAAAATCTATTTTTTAATTTAAAGAGCGTTTTTAAATTCTGAATGAATAACAAATAACCATATGCTGAAAAATAGGAACATTCTAGCACTTATTTTTTTAGAGCAATAAAATCCCGTCTTCCATTTGTTCATGATAATTTGAGGATAGATGGTGAAGGCATTTCTTCTATTTTATCTTAATTTTTTATATTAATTTTTTACTATGTCTATATGAACGAGGTCGGTAAAAGCAATTTACCTCCAAATATTTTTTTTCGCTCTTAAATGAATATGGAATAAAACATATTTCTGGGAATGTAGGATTTGGTGGAGGGGTGGTAAATATCATATTTTTACCATTCAAAAAACTAAAAGTGACATGTGGTGGAATTAAATTTTAATTATCCACAACCGACAAATTATATTGTCTCCAAACATAACAAAAAATTAATTAATTTAATCGATAAATTATAAATTCGCGCTCTTTTACTAATTTATTTATCAAACCCATTATGACTTCCCGTATTTGATGCACATAATATATATTCCGGTAAAAGTTGTCATATTTAGGCTCTCGATAATTCTGCGGGCAACTCCCTACTTTGACCAAAATTTTGCATACCAATCAAACTCTTATTAATTACTATACATACACTACAAAATGCCTTGTTAAGTAACTGTTTAAATTAATAAAAAAAATCCTGGTCTCAACGATGACAAAATTATATCAGAGATCTGCAAAGAACTTGCCCGACCACGGATTTGTCAAATAAAATCTCGGCCAGACCCGGATTTTTTAATTTTTTCCTCCCGGCCCGCCCGGGCATATATAAATACTTTTCAGCCAGGTCACGGTTTTTAGAAAAAATTCTTAGGTTCGGTCTACCCCGGGTTTATTTTTCACGGTTCGGTCCAGCCCAGGTTTATTTTTTTTAAAAAAAAAATTCTTTCACATCTATGATTATATATTTAATTTTAAGAATGCTTTTTATTTAAACTAATTTAAATTTTATATTATTTTAAAAAATTAATTTTTATTTTAAAACAAGAATCTAATTTAAATTTTATATTATTTTAAAAAATTAATTTTTATTTTAAAACAAGAATCTAATTTAAATTTTATATTATTTTAAAAAATTAATTTTTATTTTAAAACAAGAATCTAATTCCTGGTTCATTCACATTTTTTTTAAAAAGAAAAACTTTGATGATTATTTATAATTTTAATTTATTTCATTAAAAAGGCTAAAAACAAAAATTTTGAAAAAAGGAACCATTTAAAGCCAGTCCATCTATTCCCACTGAACTAAAAAAAAGTGTTAGTGATTTTTTTTTCTTCTTCTAATTTATAAGAATATTAAGACATAATCAAATCTTTATGAATATTTTATTAATTCTTTAAAAAAAACCGAAAATTAACGAAGAGGCTCATTTTTTGATGGAAAAAAAAGGTATAGAAAATTATTAATAATCTTAGATAATAACGTTTCAGGTTAAAATTAGTTATTTTTTATTTATTTATTTTTTATATTTTCACATCTCATTTTCATTTCCTTTTTTTATCCTGTTTCAAAAAATGTTTATTAATAAAATAATTATTTTATTAGTATTATTTACAATAAATTCGGAATTTTCGATTGAATTATTCTTGTCTTCTAGTCCGGTGTTATAGGTAAGAAGCTTTTCTTTTAAAATATTTTAAATTTATTAGTATAGTGCAGGGATCTGCAAAGCCCACGCCCTCTGAAAACCTGACTGCGGGCAAGGGCGGACAAAAAATTTAACGGAAAGGGCTGGACTTGGCAATTAATATATAGAAAAGAAATTTAAAATTTTTTTTAAAGTCGTCATAATATTTTTTTTTTTAAACTAAAATTTGATAATTTTTAAAATGTCTATTTAAAAAATTAGTTTAAAAATGAACAAAAAAAAATTTAAATTTAAAAGAAACGATTAATATCACTAAATCTATTACATATTTATTTTCCTTTAATATATCAGGAATATATTACGCACTCATTTTTATTATTTGTAAATTATAAAACTATATTTTATTACAACAGTTGGGCAATTAACTTATTTATTCGAACAAATTTTTTCGGTGGTAGTAAGGATGATAAGATTTCTCAAAACGGGCCAGCTAAAAAAACTGAAAACAAAGGGTAGATTAATATTATTTCAAAAATCGTGGTGGAGTGGGGGGGGGAGAGAAATTGAAATAATAAGCAGGCGGCTGGGGCCTTACCATGAATTCTAATTTGCAGCACAAATCGAATATCTTGGGCTTTAGTCGATATCTTAACAAACATTCGAATTGTCAAAATCGGGAGAAAATTTAAAAATTGCATTAATTGGAGGAAACGAGGCAAGCATTTCAGTGTGGCCTTGGCAAGTAAACATATAACTTTTAAATAAAAGAATTCTGCATTCTCTGAAAAAAAATTTCCAACGTTATGCCTTTCTCCCTCCATTGATCAAATTTCTATCAAATTTATAAGGAAAGTTAAGCCTATCGTTTATATTTTAAAATGTATACCATCTGTTCTAGGCCTATTCAAAAAAGATTCGATTAATCGAATCAAATAATGACTAATAAATTATTTATTTTGTCTGAGTACGAATAATTATTCATTCGATTAGAATTATTCGGTATATTTAATAAATAAAATAGAACATTTGTCATTTCTATTTGATAACCTGTCAATCTGGCAGATAATACTATTATGGACAGACAGAGGAACGCAAATTTGGAAATATCGGAAGCTGAAATTGAAGGAATATTTGAACTTTTTATTTGTTATTTGCTAGTATTTTTAAATATCATAACAAGTTATAAATTACACAAAGGCAGGAATGTAGTCGGCAAGTGGGGGAGCACGCAGTATCCCGATCAATTTCGAATAATGGTAGATATTACTATTCGTTTTCTAATACGAATATTAAATTATTCGAATCGTTTTTTAAACGAATACAAAGAATGTACTATTCGATTCTAATTCATTATTGAATTTACCTAATCTGTTATATAACTATATTAAACAAAGTTTTATTTATATATTCTTTCTGTATATCATTATTATAAAAAAATTTTATAGGGAGGAGAAGATTAGTTTTTATTATTTGGTTAATTCTTTTCTTTTAAACCCCCTAACATATTCAAAAGGTATATGTCAAAACATCATCTAACACAGTCTATCGAGGAGTCATATATCATCCAAAAGCGTTCTAACGGCGGGGCATTGCAAGTATACATTCTGACAGAAATCAAGCAGAAATTTTGATAATTTAAGTTGTGCTAAATTTAGCAGGGTGAGACTTAATTTTGAAGTTTTTTTAAAGGGAGGGGGGGGCAGATCGTCTAAACAAATTTATAAAAAAAATACAAAAGAAATTTAAAAATTTGGTTTTGTTTGAATTAAACAAATATATAATTTACATTTCATGCGACCAATCGATGATATTTACAAGAGTTGAATTAGCAGATCCATCATATGATATAAATCTTAAATATTGTATATTTTTAAAAAATAACTAATCAGAGAAATAGTAATTGGAGGGATAAACGACTTGGATTCATTAGTGAACTATGCTCTGCTAAATAGTGAAAAGGAAAGAGATAACTCTACTATCTTTCGGAATATAGGGTTATGCAAAAAAAATTTATCAATTTTATTGAGATATACATTATATAGCAATTTAATCCTTAGTCTAGTTTTAGCCTAAATTTTTTAAATAACTAGAGTGATCCAAAATCGTTATTATTTATAGAATCGAAACCGAACCTAAAGCTAAAAATTAGAACCTAACCTGTAAAAATGCAGTTATAGTGCTTTCATCTTAGATCAATTATAAGTTTTTAAAAAACATTTATTATAATAGTTGTCTATATGTTAAATATCACTAAGTGGAATATTGGAAAAGTAGTTTTTTTTATTGCTAAATATCCAAAACTATTTTATTATAAGAATTCCTCCGATGTTCCTCAAAATCACATTTATAGGAGATATCAATTTTAAATTGCTAACTGGATAGCTAAGATAAAAGGGACATGATTAGCGTAACGAATAACCTCTTGGAGAATATTTTTTTTAAAGTAGATGAAAAACTAAAATTTTTATTTTTTTTAACATATTTTGACCAGAGGACTTTTAAAAAACGGGTCTGTAACCCGAAAATTCATGGCGAGAGTGGAACGGCTATCCAAATATATCCCTTAAAATATTATTTTAGATCTAACAGCAACAGACTTCTCAATTTTCCTACAATTGATGAGGATTATAATACTATGTGCAAATCAAATGTTGTGCTAACTATCCAACACCCTGATTTTAATAAGCAACCTTGGACAACGATATAGCAATATTGGAGTTAGAAAATGAAATTTCTTTCAATGAAAAATCAAACGTAAGCTGTTCAAAAGAATCAAGACTGCAATGTGACTAGATGGGGAGAACAAAGTATAAAGCCATGCATTATTAATATACTACATAACAAATTTAACCATTTTAGGGTTATTTAAACGATTTATATTTGAGTATTTTATTCCAATAAAGAAGATTTCCAGATTTTGTAGAAGGATTAGCAGGAAATACTCAGAAATTATATGTGGTTCAAAGTTACTAGATGCGTGTTTTGCGTTAGATCTTCCCCGATCTAACTTAATCCAATAGAAAAAATTATCCAAGAGAATCCAATTCGAAATTTTATTTAAATCATCCGAATCCAATGGCGAAATTTTAATTTCGAAATAACGACCCGAGTATGATTAGACCCAAATTTTCTTCATATTGGATCGTTTTGAGAAAGTTATATTTTTCAAAGAAATCGGAAGAAAAAAAAACCGCTTAAGGATAAAATAATTTTAAACATGGGAAAACAATCCTATATAAAATATTTTTTTCGAGGTTCGACTCCGATTGGTTTTAAATAAATTTTAAAATAATGGTAGTAGTCCGTAGTCCAAGATAATGTCTATTTGATTTGGTCACATTATAATTGATCCATTCGGGGTTCTAATTCGGGTTAATATAGATAATGAAAAAAAGGTCTATAATAAAATTTACTTTTTAATTTGCTAACGCTCTAACCCACATTTTGAAATAGTTGTAAAACACAGAATTCTAGAATGTAGAACCTAAGGCAAAATTATCGATTAATAAAGAAACTAGTGTTGTTAAACGGTTCGATTTGATATGATTTTTTTAAAAACTGCTAAACTCAATATTTTAGTTACAAAAATATTGCCTTAAGAGCCTAGAGATTTCGCTTATAGATGTACAAACCTTTGAGCCACCTATGAACAAAATCTTTAGGCTAGCTGCTGTTTAGCAACACCAAAATAAACTGTCTCCCCATTAAGAGGATTTTAACATATTTCTTAAATAAAATGCATAACATTGATCAATCTTGAAAAGGGCATTCTCATCACCCATAATTAAACCCATTCTCTCGCCTCAACTTCCCTTTTTGGCAAAAAAAGATCATTATTAAACGGACCTTTCATAGTTTACAATTAATTCCTAAACATATAAAACCATGATAGTTTTCAATGAGCCCAAGTCTAAAATCCTTCATGAGGTATGCCTACTCTTTCGTGGCGAGCAAAATTGTCGAAAAGATAATGATAAAACTTATAGCAGCATCGCTGATAATGTGATATGTATTGACGTTGGTGGACGAGATGGTCAGGTTATTATCATTATTTTTTGCAATAATTATCGAAAATGTAAGGGGCATAAATAGAAAATTTGTCTTTGAGGGATGCATATACGATTTGCGTATAAGGGTAATTCCATGACAAATCGCCCAAGATAGGAGATTTTCGGACAATCATTTTTAAAATAGATGAAACTTGGGAATAAATAGATTGTATATTTTATATAAATAAAAATTTTAATACTGTGGCTCAAATATATCTAGAGTTATGAACCTTCAAGGTTCGATGAGAGCCTTTTCCTTTTTTAACGAATATCAAATTACTCGTATTTTTGTCTAAATTTACAAATTATATATCATTTTGTAAGTCCTCAAAATTATCCATCAGAAAATGCCAAAATAATTTTAAAAATATCTTCAGTGTCGTTGTATGTCTTGTAAAACAAAAAAGTTTATTTTGAGAAGGACCTAATATGAAATTATAAAATTCATTAAATATGCTTATTACCAATATACTTAAATATTTAAGTAAAAATATTAATGGAGAAAATTAGAATTAAAATTTTATTTAGCTTTTTATAATTTTAGAAATAAAAAAAAATCAATTATATAGGGTGTTTGAAACAATGAAACTCAACAAATATGTCTATTAGCAATATATTTAAATATTAAAATAAAAACATTAATGGAGAAAAATAAGAATTTTATTTAGATTTCTATAATTTTAGGAATAAATAAATTAATTCTAAAGGGCGTTATTTTAAGATAATTATAATGTATTTTATAAATACAAATATGCATTTTGTTTTATAAATAACCATTATGTTTGAATAAAATTATTATAAACACTAGAAATTTTTTAAAAATGCGTTTCTTTATACCCCAATAAGAAATACATTATTATTTTTATTGATAACGACCTCAATTGATTTTTCTATAAAAACTAGATAATATTTGAATTCTTATTTTCTCCGTTAATAATCTTATTTAAATATATTGGCAAAAAAAAATATTTGATGAGATTCATCGTTTCATACGTCCTTTATAATTGATTTTTTTTTTATTCCTTAAAGTTATAAAAAACGAAATAAAATTTAAATTATTATTTTCTCCATTAATATTTTAAATTAAATATGTGAAACATATTTCATGAGTTTAATCGCTTTAAATGGGACACTTTTCAAAATATTTTTTTTTCTTGTTTTATCGGAAATACAATGATACTGAAGATATTTTTTAAATAAATTTTGAATTTCCTTGAGGAGAATTTTAAGAGCTACAAAATGATACATAATTTGTTACTTTAAAAGAAGATTTATTTTAATATTTAGTGATTCATTAAAAGAGGAAAAAGCTTTCATCGAATTTTGAAGGCCCTTAACTCAGGATATATTTGAGCTAGGGTATTTAAATTTGAATTAGTATATACAATCTATTTAATCCCCAAGTTTTATCCACTTTTATAATGGTGGTCAGAATCACTGGTCGATTTGTCATGGAATTACACATGAGCAGTTTTGAATTTAGGTAATTATGTTATGTACGTAATACATTATTGTAAAATATAAATAATTTGCAAAAAAAAATGACTTGAAATATGATTAATGTAAGCGCAATTATTGTAAAATTTTTATAAATTACTATTCATTTTAAACGCTAAAATAAAAAAATTTGTAAAATTTTTGTTTGACAAGCCGGGAATTTTTAGGCTGGTCTCTAAATATCCCCCTTCCCAAATTGTTATGCCACTGCTATGATAAACGCACTAATCTGCTTAACAAAATTAAATACCCTTATCAAAAAATTAGTGTCCTCTATGACTATGACATTTGTCAATTATATAGTTAACCTTTTAGTGCGAATAAAATTGAATTTGTTATTAAAATCGCATTATAAATGATAATATTTATCAAAATAGGATGTATTAATTCTTTTAAAATATTATGAGATATGTATAACACAGGGTGGCTAAAAAAGTCAAGTTATTTATATAAAAATAAGAAATATCTTTCATGATAAAAATTTTTTAAAATCTTTAATTTTCTGATTTTCGAAGACTTAATTTTGGGCAAAAAAATCTTTGAAGATTGTTTAAACTTTGCTTTTAGGACCTGAAACTTAATAAAGAAGAAATGTCACTGATAAAATACACTAATTAGATTTAAATGCTATAACATTCTTTATTGTTTTGATGAACAGGGAGATTCCGGTGGTCTTTATCCTGTCGCGTTGACGGTTTATGGAGTCATAGGTATAGTTAGTTCAAGTGGTAAATGTGGGATGAAAGGACATAACGAATCGCAGAGAGTTTAAACTAATGTCAGGAAATATATTAATTGGATAGATCAAATTGTTTTAGATTCCGAATATCCTGAAGTTATTACCAAGGGAGTGAATTTAATGATAATAATTTTTTTTTTGTAATCTTTCCACTTATTTAATCTTATTTTTTCAAGTTTTAAAAGTTGGTAAAATTTACACTAAAATTAAATTTCCATATTAAACATTTTGTACTTTTTTTAAATTTTTTTTTATAAATACGTAAATAATAATCCATAAGATGTTTTAGTATTTATATATAATATATATTACAATTTTGCGATAATAAATTTCTATATCTTCAAGCTGCTAATACCAAATCATAAAAAAAAAGTGATCAGAAACCCAGGATGGAGGGGTTTTATTTCTAAATGGAACATAGTTTGATTTTGAATATAGCTTTAGTGTATGTTTGACGAAGAGTTAATAATCACAAAATAGATTAATTGAAAAGCGGGGATGTAGAGGAAGAGGGGGTCTATTGTGTGAATATTTTTTTCTTGTCAATTTATTGATTCGTTTACTGTCATATAATATTACATCACAGATTTTTTTTTAAAAAGAAACAAAAAATGTTTTTAAAATCTAATATAATTTTGAGTAAACTTTTATTAGCCCACTTAATATGGAATAATTACTTAGATAAAATATATTAAATATTATAAATAATTAAATAAACATAGAGATAAAATATTTTTAAAAACCTCACTATTAACACAACTATTTTAAATATAAAAAATATTATTTTGTGGTTTTAGAAAAGGGTGGGCAAAATTATTTTTCCTAGCATTAATGCAAATAAATCAAGTTGATTATGCAACATTTCAATCCAAAACAATGTATTTAGAACAACTCCGTTAGGATATTTTTTTAAAATAATTGATTTGGAATATGAAATGAGTTAAAAAATAATTTTCAAAATTTTTTATTAGTCTACAAAAGATGATAAATATTCATCCTGTTTTGTGCTAGATAATTTAAGATAGAACAATTCATTTATAAATCGTGTAGAGCGATGCTCAGTTCATAGCTCTGTATGACATTATATCTTTTTTTTTAAAAAGGAGGGTAATAAAATAATTTTTTTTAAAAAATATATAAATATTTTCGTATTTCTTAAAGAACTATAATAAATTTGGCACTAAAACACTATTAAATATATATAATATAGTTAAACCCTAAGTTTTCGTAGATAGCATGATTGTATGGGGGGGGAGGGGGTAGATAGCTATTAAGGGTTTATTAATAAATAGTTAGGATAATTGTGCAGTTGAATAAAAGTGTTAGGAGGGGTGGGGGAGGTTATTCGTCATTCAACTTTCAGCGAAAAGCTCGGAAAAGGAACTTTGGAGGCATTTGTTGAGATCGGCATATGAAACTATTATCATGTTTCTTTCATCCCTCGAGGTTAGTGTTATCCTGTCCTGGTTGCCAGTGTCCAACTTTAAGTAAAAATAGTAAACAGGATGAATGAATTATACAACATAATCCCAAGATGTAACATTTAACGATTAATGAAAAACATAGTTAAAAAAAATATGAAATATATATATATTAACTTTGTTGAGGTGAATAATAATGTGAGATAGGTCCAAAAATGGAGTACCATCATGTTTGCGAGAGTAAAACAAGAAATCCCTGAATAACTTGAGCAAGTATCGATCACCTGTCTCGGACCATGAAACGTCCATATTATGTCTAATTAAGTAAATTTTAATTTAAAAAAATATATATTAATTAATCCCTTTTACTTTCTACCATTTTTTTTTCCTTCAGTTATTCCTATCTTTTCTTTCTATATATACAGGCAGAGAGTTCCTATTATACGCAGTTCTAACTGCATATATACTCATGATTATAGTTGGGTAATTACTACGACTAAAAAATTGGCTGAATCCATTTTTAGCCGAAAACTATCACTTTGTGGTCTTGGAGTTTTCTTATAAATATAGCAGCTCAAATTGAGAGAATCTCATATAAATTAAAATGCCTCAATGTTAAAAGATTTTCTCCGGCACACGCCTGATGATTTAGCCGGATTGGCCAACATTTAGTTATTACCCAACTATCTCTCTCATTTTATTTTTATATACTTTCTTTTATAAAAAAAATTTTTCAATTACTCCGGCCTTTCCACTATGGTGTTCAATTTGCATAACAGTCTAAAAATTCTACCGTTTTCGAGTTCCTTATTTGTACAGAAAAAAATAATAATAAAAGCGTAGATCAGTGATATAGGCATATGAATTTTAAATATCGGTGTCTTGTTAATGGTAGCATTCCAACTCGTTAAATCTTACCAAATGGAAAAAAGTGGTCATGGAATGATTTAAACTCATTACAAAGTACAGAATTTCTAGGAAAATTTATGGAACATTTGTAAGAGCATAATACTAGTGATAGTTGGTCCTTGATGTAGGCGTACTGTTGCGCAGACTTCTCTATGTGGGCGTAGAACCTGGCACCTATCATAGGCATGATATCGTTCACGCTCTTTAGCGCGGTTTTTTGAGGCGACGCATTCCTGTTTTTGGTCTGATTTTCGTTGAAAGTGTTTTGAACTGGTGGGGTTAGGAGATAGCTTTTAAATAATTTTAATAAGAAATAATATATCATTTCTAAAAAAAAACATTCCTGTCCCTTTTACACTTGTAATCACTTTTATCTTTAGAATTGTGTCAATCCAGCAGATTCGATATTTTCTAATATCCACTTCAAAATTAATCTGGCAACCAATGCCTTTTATCAGATTTGTTTTGTATGATTATCGGAAAATATCGGATCCGTAAAATTTTTTTTAATTAATTTGCGGATCCCTACACACTATCTATATTATACATAATAATACTTTTAAAAAAATTAAAATTAATTTATAGCAGCTTATTTAATTCACACTTTTTCTTTTTCATAACTTGTGACTTTTTTCATAAATAAGGTGACCTCTTAACCAGACTAACTAGAAAAAAAACACTTTGTGACTAAAAAAAGTAGTATATATATAGCATTTTAAACTTCATTTTAGATTTCCTTTGTGATATATTAATTTTAGTGAGTTTTTTTTAAAAAAAAGAATTACAGCAAGATGTTCTTTAGATCGTCGCAATAGCGGGTTGAAGTCAGAGCGCTTTTAAGCGCATGGATCATCCATTTATTATTGTTTCCGCCTCCACTTCCGGCCCCGCCATTATTTATAACGGTGTTATCACAAATGGGTGTATAAGAATCGCTCGTGGTCATTGATAATATGAGACGACCGGTGGCCTTGAGATCTTCTTGCTATTATACGAATATCAATTTGTTTTTTGAAAATTTCATTTCAAATATAAATTACTAAGTTATTAAAAGAGTTTTTTCAAAAATCGCTGTTTGATAAGGTTGAAAAATGTGATAGAGATAATAGGAGAGATAATTTGGGAAAAAATGGCACACGAGTTATTTTAAACCTAATTACTTGAAAATGGGTTACAGCAAGTGGGGCGTTGTTTGAGGAATCGTTTTCGCTATTGAGAATCTCGACCATACCCAGGCAATTTAGTTTTATCCTTCGTTGTTATTATCAATTAATATTTTTTTTTTAATTTCGAAAAAAGAAAAAAAAAATTTATAAGGGAGAAGGTAAAGTTTTCTGTGAGTAAAAAAACTATAATATATATTATCATATTTAAAATAATTTCTTCGTTAGAAAGGTTTAATATTACTTTTGGTCCAGTGGGTCTATGAGAATTTTGGAGGGCTTTATGCCATCCAACCCGCCACAATAAAGGTTGGAGGAATGAATGCGTCTCAAGGACCCGCTAATTTGAATCACGAAATTCCATATATCGCCTTCGTCCGGTGAATTTAGGGACACGTTTTGGGAATCAATGTTCATGCCGCCACGCAGGTTGCTACTGGCCATATTAGGTTTGCGGGATTTGAGAGAGTAATAATAGTCCCTCAGAGTCACGTAAGAAGGGTGGTACTGGTACACGAATACCAAGGCTATTATTATTTTATTTTTATTATTAATAAAAGGGAAAGGGGAGATTCCTTTATTATTCTAACACCTTCTCATGTTTCTTTCCTAGAATTAAGTTATCAGATTTTTCCAATATGAAGATTAAATATCAGCCACTCATCGATATCATAGATCCATCCTACTTTTAATAACAAATATATATTTTTTTATCCCTCATTTAGATATATCGGATTAGGTTAATTTAACGATATCAGCCAATAACCGATATTGTTTAAAATATAAATGATCATCCGAAATATTAAAGAATTGGTATATCCATAAAATTCAATTAGAAATATAAAATACTTAATGCATAGGAAATATAGTATTTAAGGCAATTTTGCGTTAATTAATGATAATCTTTACAAAAAATTTATCAAATATTATATATTTAATATTAAATCTTTGAGATATTTACATCTATAATTAATGTAAGGTTAAATAAATAAATATTTTTAAAAAATTAAGGTTTATAAATAGAAATTTGAGTGTGAAGTTTTAAAATAGGGGTGAGCTGTCTCCCATTCAATCATTCGGGTTATTTTTTTCCCTTACCATTAGAGGGTTATTAAAAAGTTAGTCAACCAACTTGCGCCCCTCACGTTGACTGATGTCTAGTTACACTACTAATCTCAGGGCTTTTAGCTTATAAAGGGTTTAGACGACCCTGTTCTGATTTTTTTTGTCTCACAACTTTCTACTACTTTCTTCCTGTCTCATAAAAATATGTCGGATTATTGTACATGAATCTCCGAAGGCCTTGGTGGAGAAAACTTCCTTAAGTTTAACGCAATTGATGTGTTCAAACTTTTTCCAATTCGTAAGAGCTTTCCTCATTTTCACGTTAGACAGCGAGTAATCTAAATTCGTCGAATAATTCAATTAAAAATTAATTTAATTGTTTTATTCTTTCTTTACATACTCTTTTTTATTAATTTATAGGTTTTATAAATGGATTCTCTTATTATTTTTTTTTAAAGTTAGCATTTCAGGTTCTTCATTTTAAATGCAAAAATATTCCTCATTTCTTATGTGGAGTGCCATTATTAATAATTCCACAAAGATAAATGGGGGCAGAGTGAACTAGTAAAATTATAATATTGTTTATTAGCATTGAGTAAACTTTAACTAACGAATTTACTGTTTTAACATTAGCATTTGTGTGGAGTAAATTGTTTTAAAATTTTAATTGAGAAAAACCGTGTATTCTGGCGAGGCAATCAGGGTGGCCATCCGTAACATCTATGGCTTTGAACAAAGAAACTCGCTTTTTAGGGGAATCCCCATCACAGCTGTTATTTCTTCTCGTTTTTTCGTGGTAGTCGCTACGTAGGGGTTCGAGCGAGTGGTATCGGTCATCGAGAACTAGTCCGAAATAAGGATTTGATTGGTTAGAAAAGGAAGTCGGGTGACGTGGTTGACGTAAGTGACGAGCCAAATTCGCCTCGGTAAAAAAGGGGGAGGCGGAGAGTGAAGGTGGCAAGGAAGACGGCGCTACTAGAATCATTTTCAATAAGATATATATAAGGAACTACATTACCTTTGTCAGGCCATATTTTTTTCAAGCAGAGACCGGAACATTCGAGAACCGGTCAGAACTTTTTTTTAAAGGGGTTCCTAGGTTCTTGTTTAATAAATTCTAAATTCATTTTTAAAAGTTAAAAAAAAAATAATATTTTATTTTATATTTAAAAGCAGACGAACAAATTTAAAAAATCATTTCGAATTTCTAAATGGATATTTCATCGTAAGATTCAAAGTAAAGAGTTTATAATATAACTAATCTTTTTTTTAAAAACTTATATATAGAAATAATTGAACTTAAAAGTTATTAGGATAAAAGCAGCAAAAAGTTCAATCTATTCCGTAATAGCTGCGAATTCAAATGCAATTATTTATGTTTAACATATTTATATGTTTTATAGTCAAAATCAGTGACAGGGTTAATATTTCGATTAATATATAGAAAAAAAGTACAGATTTTCTTTTTTAAGTATAATAATAAGGATAATTTAATTTAAAAAATATATGGCACACCTACTAATCCATTTGAGAAGAAGAGAGAAAAAGCTGTGAAGATTTGGAATTCTAAATTGATTCTTATTTATCTTTCCTTCTAGACAATTAGTATAAATTTTATTAATAATCGTGAATCTTGTAAGGAAAAAAATATATAAATTATTTTACGTCCTTACTATTCATTAAGTTCAATTGGGGAACATCAGATGTCATTTGTTTAGAGTAATACAGATGAGAAGAAGTTGAATTTCTAGCCAATGATCTATTAGGATTCTTTTTTTTCAAATATTTTAAATTCAAGAAAATTTTTGAAAAATCCACCCCCCACCTACCCAAAAAAAAAGATGTAACCAAGAATGGGGTGACATATTTATTTAATTTATTTTATATAATATTACAATATTTATTTATTTAGGTTATATATAAAGCTGTGCGCCAGGCCAAAATTTTTGTTCGCCCGCCCCGTTTAGATAACGCCGCGACATTTAAAATATATTGGCGTTGTCTCAATTATTTTTTAACATTTTTTTCAACCAGGAAAATTTATATTATGTTTAACCCTTTAAAGTCCTGTGAGCTAATCTGACATCATCATATTGCGTGCTATATTTTAACGTTTAAAACCACTCAATGATTGTATTTAACTTTATAATAAATATATAATGTATTCAATCGTATTTTATTAATAATCAAAAAAAAATATGCTTTTGTTTTTAGTTTATTATCACTTAACTTTTGACTATATTTCCGTTACGATTTTTCCAAAATTACTTGATTTTACATATTATTTATATATGTTAATTGAAAAATTCTGAAAACTGCTTATTTTATAAAAAAGACAAAATATTCAAGTATGTCATCATGTATATTTTTTTAAAATTTTAATTATTTTTGTAAATATAATTTTAAAATTATGATCCCAAATTAATTCATCGGGAATTTAATGAGATATTTTTTTAAAAAAAAATATAATGAAGGAATGGGAGGAGTAGGTTTACACGATATGCTAATGGAATGCTACAGAGTAGATATCAAAGGTAGAAGGTTCTATCTTCGAACAATATTTCATTTGATAGATACCTGCATTGTGAATGCATGGTTATTATATCGAAGACATTTACTTCAAAAAAATGAAATTTTTTTTATAAAACTTATAACATTTAAATCTCAAATAGTTATTGCTTTATTAATGGCAGGTAAAATTAGTTAATGAAAAAGAAACCTTTAAATAAAACTCCTAAATTGAAAAAGGATCTAAGTTACCTCAGGTAATATCAGAAGTTAGATACCATAATATAGGGCATTGGCCATGTGAAATTTATTTATACTCTAACCAGGATAGAAATTGTTTTAAAACATTTCATAATAAATACATATATATTTTTTATACATGCATTTCGCTCAATGATGTCAAATTGTATCATTGATTTTTTTTTACCTGTATACTATGAAATAAAAGTCAAAATAAAAAAATTTCTTACCCGCCCGCCCATTATTTATAAAAAATTTTTAACCCAAGCCCGCTTATAAAATTAGCATAATTTAATTATATATTTGGTATATGAATTATAAAAACCATTAAATTTTTCATCTCATTTCGAAATATGAATTCTAACAATAGAATCCTAAATTAGGCACAGCTTACATAATTATAATAAAAATTGTAAATTATTTTTAGACGATGTATCTGAATCTAGGTCCACTTGAAAAGTATCATTACAACTCTGCAAAATATAAACCAAAATTGTAAGTCTACTAAATTTATTATAAAACATCATAAACTGAAAGGAAAGATGATATTCAATTTGCTATGTATTGAAGCAGGAGATATATCACAAAGAAGTTATCTAACAAAGTTATCAGGTCAATGCCAAACATAAGTTATGAATACTACCATGAATGAATTGGATGAATTGAATAATATTTTTACCGGAAAACGTCATTCCATAGATGTTCTAAATTTTTGGAAAAGAAAGAGAAACAAGCTTTCGATGCTAGCCACATCAGCAAGTAACACAACTAATGAAATGGGGTTCTCTCTTGCTGGGTTGACCTTAAATTTAAGGAGATCATCCTTATGTCCGGCAAATTTGTACAAAATTATTTTTATATACAAAATTGAATTTAAAAGCATATTTAAAGAGTAATAAATAAATATATATTAATATAAAAAAAAATTATGTTTGTTATGCCAATTCACGCCGCCGCTCTTGGTGACAGCAAATACAATGAAACAAGCCAATGACAGCACATAGGACTGACCAAGGTTAGTTTTATTGGCGTACAGGTCCTAGTTGTACTTAATTTTTAATTTAAAAATCTTCGATAAGGATAACAATATATTAAGGGGAAAAAATTTCTAGGACATGTCCTGACTCTTCTTATTTCTAAGTAGAAATCTGCTTAACCGTTTAAACAGTGTCCTCTAAATGGGATAAAAAGAAAGAGGGTATTTAAATTTATGGCGTCCTAAGTTCAAAATCTGAATAAACTCGTCTCATCAAAAGTAGGTTTGAAAAATAAGATGAACCAGGACACGGGATGTAATAGGTAATTTAATGATTTGTATTACCCTAAAGCTCAATTCGTGAGCTTGGCTGCACTGAAATGTCCTAAATCGTTAAAATAAAAAATCGCTAAAAAACAAAAAAAAAATTAGAAATTTCGCTTATGTCTCCTAGAAAAATTTTATTAATATTAATAGACGGTAGGGAAGTAAACACTTGTATTTAAATTGAGTTTTTTTTTAAAAAAAAAAATCGCTAATAATGATGGAAATATAATCAATATTCTCAAATGTTGCTCCCAGATATTTCCTCCATTTGTAGTGATTTTTTTATTAAAAACTCAATTTTAAAAGTGTTTACTTCCTATAATCTATTATTATTATTTACAATATAACTTTTAAAATTTTCTAAGAGATATAAGCGAGATTTCCAATTTTAAAGATTTTTGTTTTAGCGATTTACAACCTATCACTTTTGGGCAGGGCCAGGTAACTTAATTTTTTTTTCGGGCAATCTGCGCTAAATATTTTATTTTGCCATTTTTTTTTCCTAAACTTAAACAATTCAAATTTATAATTTTTCCTTAACAAAAAATAATAATTACGGCCTGGGTCGCAAAATATTTTGAGCTTGGGACAAGTTTAGAAACCTCATTAAAATTCTTTCTGAGACAATCTTAGGCAAGGTCTTTGTGACAACTTTATGTAATATAATTAGAAGTCGGGGCAAGCTAGCTCATATAAATTTTTGACCAATCCCATAAATATTTTTTTGCTTGTCTTTCAGTAAAATAATTTAGAATAAATTGCCAGCCCCGTAATTAAATCTTTTTTAACGAAAGAAAATGACAAAAATTTGACACCAAGCTTCAAAAAAACATTTTACATTTGGCCCAGCTTATGAAAAAAAGAAAAATTTTCGGGTTCACCTCATGGTCCAGGCTTTTGGGCTGCACCAACCTCTAATCTATATAACTTTTTAAATCCAAGTTTTAAAAGAAATTTCATCGATAAAATAAGATACCAACAATTTTATTTTACCGAAAAGTTATTTAACATAGCTACAGGTGAATGATTAACATTTGAATTGCTGGGAGAATCGTAATGATTGATAGGCGAAATTATAGATGTGTTTACATTATCTCCTCTGTAAAAATAAGTTGTTCCACCTATATTCTCCTTGATGTATTCGTTAGATATGTAAATAGAAAGATATTAAAATCTAATATATAAATTTTTTTTAAAATAAGATAAATTAAAATTACATGTTCAAAATTTGCTTAATAATTTGTTTAAAATAGAGACACATTTATATCAACCTATTTAATAGTTAACTAAAAAAAATAAATATTATCTCAATAAAATATATTATACAAAAAACTAGTGCTATTAAAAGACAGCGATTTGGGTCGACTTTTAAAAACGGCTCGATTACGATTTTAGCCATATGTAAGCCTGGAGATTTTTTGCTTATAAGATGGCATCAAGGTTTGGACTTTTATTAACAATTTTAAGCGGGTACAATTTACTTTAATTTTAATATACTCTATACGCATTTATTTATGAAAACATTTATCAAACGTTACTTGTTCGTATATATCAGAGTTGTTAATAGATCTAGATACTACCTGTATCTAGATATAAAAATGTGGTATCTGTATCTGTATCTAGATAGATTTTTGATTAAAATATCGGTATCTAGATATCCTTTTAGACGATGTATCTGTATCTAGATCCATTTAAAAAGTATCTTTTAACAACTCTGGTATATATATATACCAAAGACCCGAAGCCCCGACTTGGCCCTAAGCCCGGGTACAAGGGCCAGGCCTGAATTTTTTTTAAATACCCGGATCGAGTCGTATATTTTAAATCATCATTATTATAAGGGCTAAAAATTGAGAATAAATGTAATAGATTTTTAAAAAATCCGAGACGGGCCGTGCAAATGGTACTTCTACAAGTCTCTGATATATATAAATAAAAACCAATCTATTTAAACATATATATCTATTAATTTTACCAAACTTCAGGGGCATAATATAATATCAATTTTGTATAAAATCAATGTTTCGTCAACTCAATTTAATCTATATTGTATACATTTTTAACTTTAATATAAATAAATTATGATATTGTTTATCTCAACGCATAATATTATTTTGGCTTAATCTTAATCAGGCCGTTTTTTTTTAAAAACAATATTTTATAAAAACAAAAACAATAAAAGTAAAATCAGCGAGACTTAATGAAATTATATAGAGAAACACAATTGGATCGGGAAATATCGATATATTTTTTGCTGTTAGTAAAAATCCTTTTTTAGATAGCCTGTTTTTTTTATGAGTAACTTTTTAATTGTTTTGAAGGTCCAAATGAACCTTTGTCTAAAACCACTTGAATGAATAATAAATTGCTTAGGTGGCTATATTTATTGTATTTAAGTTTTCTACTTTCATGGTGGAGTTGGTAGAAAACGATAAAGTATAATCCCAAGCAAAGGAGTATACCTAGGTTGGTATAGTTGGGTAATTACTTAGCCGTTTAGACCAATTATAATCCTAACAGCTAAACTGAATTTTACGATAACTATCACTATACTCAGGGTTTTTTTTAAAAATATAGTAGCTCAAATTTGAAAGAAACTAATATATATTAAAACGCCTTAATGGTAACGGATTTTTTCCGACACGAGCCAGAAGATTGAGCCATAGCCAACATTCGATATTACCCAACTATGAAGATAGATAATCCCATTAATTCTGATTTGCTTAATGGCTGAGACCGAAAAAATGTTTTTGGCTCTCAATTCTACTGATGATCACATTATGGCATAGAGCTTTGGTAGTCTGTGTTTTGAAAAGCAAATAGAGTGGTGGCTTAGGTATGGATCATACGGGAGTTATGGAGCATTTGGTGTTACAATTTTGCAGCCTAATTGAGGACCAATAGCAAATTTAAGCTCATTGATAAGTAAGAAACCTAGAATAAAACTAGGTATTTCTACCCATTCATAGTCAAGGTGGCAAGTGGGTAAAAATGGAATTATTTGTTCTGGTAAAGAGGTTGTTGTTATCATTCTATGGGCTTTGGGTTGGATTTATATGGAAAAAGAGTGTAGAGGATTTTCTTTGAATAGCTGCAGATATTTGACAGATGGCTGTATTAAAGGTAAATTACAGTCTCTTTGTTTTAAAGAATTAGAATACGAGCTTAGCAAGTTTCAGCTCCAAATGTCCATTGCCATAATATAAGTTGAAACAATAGTATTAAAGTCTCAAGTTTGAAATAAAATTTTGTGACTGATGATAGGAAAGCTGAAACATTAAGAAATATGGGGGTAAAGACCTAGACCATTGAGTATTAGTGGAAGAGCAGCTTGCATCTAATAGAAGGATGAGAATTTAATATTTAAAATGGATTTAAGAGTATTTTTCATATGAATTTTTAGGTTTAATACTATTTCAGAGGGCATAAAAATTGGCAAAGAATTGAAAGCACGTAAAATATTTGAGACAATAGAAAAAAATAAGTAATTAAATTGCCTAATGAGCAAATAATTGTTTTTATATATCTTTAATTATATTAAATTATGAAAAAATTTATCTCTAAAATTCATGGGGTGAACCAAGTCATATAAGACATGTTTTGTCAACCAACATAAATATCACATAAAGCATAGTCTGATTCTAAAGGTGAATAAAATTTACATTGTTATTCAGATCAAGTCATAGCCCTTTATGGATTTTAATGCTTTTCAGCTATTCCTATGATCATTAAGACATCCTAGGATACCTTTGTCTAGATACCAAGCATTCAATTTAAGATGATTATTTGTTGGGAAATTCTTCTATGTTTAATTGTAGCCCTGAGAAAATAATATAGGAACTGGATTCATTTTAATAAAATATATTGGTTGTATAACATGCCAAGGTAAGTTAAATGTTTTAGAGAAAGAATGTATAAAATGTGGGTTTTTACTTATAGAAAAGAATCTATCAAAACTGCCAATTTTATTGTATTTCTATCTATATTTCATGCTCCTGCTACTTAAAATTTTGTTTTTTAATGTTTTCTTTTAAGAAAAAAACTAGGATTTGATTTTAAAAATTATGATATCTTTTATTAATGCCATATATGTATTTTAAGATTCTTATTAGTATAAAAATATAATTTTTTAATCAATTCAATATCTTAATATTTTAAATTTATAAAATTGGTTAACTAGACCTGATATGGCAAGATATTTGGAGGTGTTGGTTGATTATTTGGTAATTGCTTTGAGAGTGATGAATTTGATGGACTTGAAAAGGGGGAAGGAGACGATAAAAATATTGATGAATTGTTTGATGATAGAATAGAGGATATATGAGGCATATCTACATTGTTGCCTAACGCTTCATTAGCTTTAATCATTTCCTAGCATTTTAAAAGAATAGATATGAGAGTCAATATTTGTATCACAATAAAAATATAATAATAAAATTTAAATAAACCCTATAATTGGTTCATATCGCACATACTATTTATTAAAATTTAACATAGTGTTTGCCCAAAATAAAAAGATAAAGTGATGCCTGTCACCTTTATAATACATTTTTATTTTGCAAACTCGGTCAGCTGATAAAAGATAAACATCCAATATTGACATAACCTTTTCATAAAAAAATAATTCGGTCGCTGGATCTATTAAAATCATGGATATCAGAGCTATGCCCTTCTCAATTAAATAAATTTTATTCGTGATATTTATAAAAAAATTTTTATTTAAATTTCTAATAATATATATAATAAATTTTATTTAATTGGCAAAAGTATGACAATATCCATGGGGAAACGCAATTTATAACAAATTTTCGTGAATAATAGCGAATCAAAACTTGTTTAATCATTCAAAAATATAGGAAACAATAAAAAAGACCATTATCTATCTCTACCTGCTACAAATGAGTCATTCTTAGATTATAAATAACCATATTTTTTGAGTAATATTTTTAGTTTGATAATCTAGATAAAAAATTTATTAACAGTTAACTTTGAGAAGAAACGATACAATTCCCAAAGAAATAAATGATTTCATGATAAAAATATTGTTCACAGGGACGTGTCTAAGTTGTATTGGAACATGAAAATACTTATAATAATGTTGCACGCATGGTAAATGAAGCATTCCATTCTGATTGACTCTCAATGATTAAATCGTTAAATTCACCAAATGTGTCATACTTTCGTTTCGTTGAAGAAACAATTAATTCCAAAATATATAAAGGAATTATAACCATTTTTTTAATAAAGATGATTATTTTGTATATTTTATAGCTTATGACATATTCTCTAATAAACAAATTCTTGTTTATATGTACAATAATATATATCATATTATAATTATGATTATAAATTTAATATTTCTTCATATCTTAGTAAAGCGTTTTATATTGCTTTAGTTCTCAAAAGTAAAAAACCGCGGCTATTTAAATTTGTGAAACTCTGAATTTTGCCTGTTTCCCCAGAAGCAAAGAGAATTAAATTAAACAGTATTAAATTTAAAATGCAAAGTTTGAAATAGATGGCATTCACTTCAAAATTAAACCCAAACAGGGGAAAGGATGAAGTTGTTACAAAGGAGAGCACAGTACCTAATGACATATCAAAATATTATAATCACAAAATATAGAGATTTTACTATATTATAATTTTTCGATTGTATACGTCATAGCATCGTTACGTCATGTCACTGGTGCATATTTATTTTATTTATAATTTTTTAAAAATAAACAAATTTTTTAAAAATATTGGTTAGAAACAGCGTCTACATGAGCGAGAGGGGTGGGAACAGTTTGCATCCTATTTTTTGAGGGGGGTAGGCGGCTTTAATGGGGGTAGGATAAATTTTTGGGGGGATTATCTATTAAATTTTGAGATGAAATAGGACAAAATTTATTGCTGTAAAAATTAATATTTTTATTATAGAACTAATATAATACAATTCATCGATTAAATCTATATATTGCTAACAATTATACATATTGTTTTCCAAATTAAACTTTCTGCTATCCTTTTAAATTACATTTAAAAGGTTTAGATATTTCAGCAAGCTCATAAAATTATAATAATAAATTCATTGTAAATAATGGAGGATTTAATTGAAATTATTATCTAAAATATAAATCCTTTAGATAATTTTTTAGGGGGGTAGGCAAAGGTTTTTGAAGGGGGTTTGCATCCAGTGAAAATCCTGTCATGTAGACGCTGTTAGAAATAATAAGGTAAAAAGCAAAATAAACCATCAAAAATATATCTTCCACTTATTTTCATTCAAATATTCAAAAACCACCAAAAAATATCATCTAACCCACATTTTCATTCAAGTATATGATATTCAACAGTATTCAATCATTCAAGTATATGATATTCAACAGTATTCAATTTAGAGGTCTTCATTGGGCGAGGTTTCGGCCCGCCCGCCCAGGCCGATGGTAAAAAATTTTTCAAGAATGGGCAGCCGGGTGGGCGGGTTAAAAAAATCAAAACTAGGGGAGGGCTGGGCGGGTTAAGAAATTTAAACAATGGGAGGGCGGGTTAAGGAAATTAAAAATTTTTGTTCAAAATCAAACTAAAAAAATAATTGTTTAAATGATCTATAACAATATTTCTTTTTTTATTGTACCAATCGTTTTTTTTAAGTGAATAACATTTACCTAATATTATGTAATTAAGACTACAATAAAACTTTTTTCTTAGAATAAATAAACATTTTTGTTTATTAAAAATTTCCTTTTATGAGAATATAATAAAACTTTTCTAGTGCTTCTTCCGAACGCGGATATAGCATTGCTAGAAGATTTTTAGAACAAAGAAGAACGTGTTTGAATCCAGAAAATGTCGATTCATTATTATTTTTGCATTATAATTACATATAATATTAATTTTACATTTATATTTTTTTCATAAATATTCAATTTGATCAAATAAATTGTCCATAATTTACATTGATTATTTTTATACTTATATTAATTTCCTAAATTATAAACTTTTTGTAGAAGTGTAATGCTGAAATATTTTTATTAGATGCTTAAAAAAATGAAAGAATGACCATAATTAAATTTTATAAGCGGACTTGGGTTAAAAATTTTTTATAAATAATGGGCTGGGTGTAAAAAAATTTACACTAATGGGAGGGCGGGCGATCGGGTAAGAAATTTTAGACAAATGGGTGGGAGGGCGGGTTTATATTTTTTGAAAACTATGGGCGTGCAGGGCGGGCGGTTTAAATTTTTTTAAAACATTGGATAGGCGGGCTTTTGGTCCAAATACCCGCCCAATGCAGACCTCTAATTCAATCATTCAAGTATATGATATTCAACAGTATTCAATCATTCAAATGTATGATATTCAACAGTATTCAAATAGTTTATATTATATAGAGCATAGCTCTACTACCAACAAGTGTTGTTAAAAGCCCGATTTTGGTCAATTTTTTAAACGACCCGATTAAGAATTTAGCTAAAATAATATTATAAACATCGAGATTTGGCAAATAAATGTCCAAGTATTTCTGCCAGGATCTGAAATGTTATTTTGGTTAAAATCAGTGGCCCCTACACTTTTTGAGCGAATGAAGCAGAATACCCCCATGAAAAGTACCCCCTTGAAAAGTATCCTCCCCCTTCGAAAAAATGATAATTATGACACCCATAAATTTCAAAAAATTTTTTATTGCATCAATTTTTAATATATAATATAAATAAAATGCAAAAAATATAACTTTATAAATATTATTTTTAAATTAATAATTTAGATAAATTAGGGGAAGAGAAAGCGAAAAAATTTATAATTTCATCAGTATTTAATTGTATAAAATTTTTTCCATTGATAATATGGTTAAATTATTGAGAAAAGAATCTTTCATGGTACTGCGCAGTCTTGTTTTAATTAATTTAATTTTACTCATGACTCTTTCGGCAGTACATGAGGTTGTGGGAATAGTTAATAAATATTTATATAAAATTCTTAAATTAGGGAAAGCAGAAAAATTTTAAAGTAAACGATAAGGTAAAATAAATGAATAGTTTTTCCAATTTGAATCGTAAGTCCCTGAATTATCATCATCATCAGAAGAAGCTAAATAATGTATTGGTAAAAATATTTTAATTAAATAAATTTACAATTCTCAGAATCTGACAAATCTTTAGATTCTTGAACCTCTAGGTCATGAGTAATAATTACATTCCCCATTTTGGCCATCTTATAAATATTTCTAAACTTCAACATTTCTTCGAAAATTTGACTTGAATTTAAATTGTAAAATTCACAGATATCCTAGATATCTTCTTTAATAATTGATTTTTCTGCCATTCCCTTTGGCGTAAAAAATGATGTTTGATGTAAATATTTCATGGAATCATCATTAAATCTTTCGTTAAACTGCATAATAATTAAATCGAGTGCAGCATAAAACACACCTATTTTAAAGCTAAAAAAAATTCCTATATTTAATGATGAAAGTATATATACCTCTCCTTTTTGGATTGTAATGTTTGAAGTCTAGAACTTTCAAAATCAAAATGTAGATTTCTCTCCTTCATAAAATGTTGCGCCTTTGAAAAAACATCCAAAAATTCAGTGTTATTATCTATTAGATTAAAAAATAATTAAGACAATAATTTATATTATACTTCTCAAATTAATCATGCAATCTTTTGTCAATTGAATTTGATTTATTGCATACCCTATATCCTTGGAAATGGTTTGCAATTTTGTACAAGCCAAACTTGTTATCAACAATATTTTATCCAAAACACAAAGTGATAAGATAAAATCAAATTTTTATATTCTAAAGACTATAGCACTAGCCATAGTGGAAGTGGCAGGATCTTCAGAATCCTTTAAATTTGTTAAAGCTGCCCTCAAGGCATCATAAAGTTGAAAAAAAATTTATTTATATGACGATAGCCAGCTTCTAAATAAAGAAACATTTAAAATTTAAATAAATAAGGAACTATTACCGAGTGGTATTCTTGACGCGTAGAAATCGTTGCGATTTTTTCAGATCATTACACTGAAATTTTTTGAGTAATATATCTTTTTGCACCATTAAAATAGACATAAATCTCATCTAGTATTCCTAGAACATTTCGAAGTTCTTTAATTGATTGGCATAATTGAACAACGATTAAATTTAATCGATGACAATAACACCAAATAAAAGCTGCCTTTGGCGCCTCTGCTCTAATCAAGGCTTGCACACCATTGATTCTTCCACTCATGTTTGAGGCGCCATCATAACTTTCCCCAACTAGATATTCAAGGGGTAAATTCATCTAGCCAAGTTTGGATATTATATTATGCTTTATATCGAGACCTGTGGTATTTCCCGTACAATATATGTCAATCAGTCTTTCAACAGGCTTCGGCGTCTCACTATTTTCAACATATCTTACTATCAAAGTTGCTTCTGATTTCGAAACATCGTATGTGCCATCAACTATGACTGAAAAGCACCTGTTAAATGTAATCTCATTTTGAATTTTTTTTATAACCATATTTTTCATGGTTTCAATGAGAATGTTTATGTTATTATATGATAATAGGTTTGAATATAATTTCGTTTTTAATCCCTTATTTTTTTTATTCTTTTTTCTTTCTTCATTTTGCTGTATATACATTTTTAGTAAAGGTTCAGAATCTGCAATAAGCTTAATAAGGGCCATCATATTGCCTTCTTGTTGCCTGTTCCCCCAGTAGGCTTGGTTACGAGATATTAAATAATCTAAACATCTTATTATAATTCTTATAATAGAACGGTTATTATCTACACATTCATTCTTAAGTGTTATAAATTTTAATATCGAATTTTTATTATGAGAAAGCCTCCCATAATAGGCCATCATATGTGCCTGTGAAGATTCATGCAGAATAATATCACTATTAATATTTTGCCATTTATCTATACCTTCACATGTCCATTTTGAATTTGCGTGGGGACCATGAAATAAGAGACATGTTAAGCAAAAAACTTTATACATTTTAATACTATAAGTAATCCAATTTCAAGGAGTTTTGCTATTGTCAATATTGGTTAATATTTTTAGGCATATTTTAAAATTGGAAAAATAATTTATAACAAGAAATTTCGCATAAAAAATTTACTAAACATCGACCAAAATTTCAGTCAATATATTAAATTAAATATTAAGTAGGGGGGGGGGGTCTTATTGTTACATTTATAAACCAGAAATCACATGATCATGATGGATGTAAAAAAAAGTACCCCCATTCAAATTTACTGAAGCAGTTGCTTCGGATCCCCCCCGTTGTAGGGTGCCCCTTAATATTAATCGGGTCGTTTTTTAAAATCGACCCATCGGACTTTTAACAACATTACTACCAACTACTATCAAAATTTTTGGAATATAAAAATTATTTTTTACAACATGATTCAATTAAACCCCCCCCCCCCCTCTCATTTACAATGAATGCATTATATTATAGTATTGTTTGGCATGAATATGAGTTTGCTGAGAATTTTTAACACTTTTAAATTACATTTATAAGGAATAAGGATAACAGAGAGTTTTTTTGGAAAATAATGTCTGATTGTATGCGATATATAGATTTAGTCGATTATTAGCAATATTAGTTTATTAAAATAGGTGTATAATAAAAGTATTGATTTGTAATATATTTTACCCTATTTCATCTAAAAATTTAATAGAGAACCCTCCAATAAATTTATCTTACCTTGCTTAAAGACGCCTAATCCCTTACCCCCTCAAAAAATTGAATGCAAACGTTTTCTAATCCCCCCCCCCCTACCTTCCAGTTATGTATAGGCTGCTTCTTTTATTAATCATACATATATTTTTTTTTCGAATTAATGGAATATAGAAAAGTTCATTAAAGCGAATAGGTCACACATGAAATTTAAATTTTGTTAGTTAGATATGAAGTAAATGATATTTTATTCAAGTAAAATTATAACTAATTTTTCACACATGAAAGTTTAATTACAATGTTGTGCATGATGGAAACATAATTGTTAGAATAACATATTTATAAATTGTTATCAATTTTACAAATAAAATAATTTTATTTATATTATTTGGATCTTATTGATAAAAATGTCGTAAAAACGTTCTTCATATAATTATGCCGATTTTTTTTTCTCAAGGATACCAACAAACCTTGTAACACAGATATGAGGTTATATGAGGGCTACACCCGAGCCATATATATGTTTAGTAATGAATATAGCAAAAGAAGAAGTAGAAAGAATAAAAAAGATAGGCCCTTCTACCAAAAAACTTATATATTTTAATAATTATTTTAATTTAATAAATTTAGTTAGAAATTTGTAAATAATAAATTATTATGTAAAAAATATAGATATAGAATAATGTTATTTGAGTATTATCTATTTGTTGGAAGGTAAAATAAATAAATAATTAATAAGATAAAGAAATCAAAATTAGAATAAATAAAAATTATAGTGGACAAGAGGAGATACTAAAAATTTAGTAAAAATTTTAATAAACATATAATAATGAAAAAAAAAACTTGTTTTGGGAAAGTAAGTTTATGTAAAAAATAAATAAAGACATTTAAAAAAATAAGGGAAAAATAAATAAAATGGATGTTCTAAATTAAGAATTATTTTTTTTTAAAATATATGATGATAAAAAAATAAATAAAAAATTGGTGGTTAAGAATATTACTTGGGATTGTAAAAAATAAAAATGACTTTTTTAACTCTCTATTGCACGCTATACCAATTAAAGCGAAATATTTATATTACTCATTCTTTTTACTCTCTCTCTATATATCTAAAGAAGGAAACAATATTTTTTCCCGAATTTTTTTAATATTTCTAAATTTTGCCTTTTTTAAAGCATCCTTAAAATAAATACTAGGTTGCCATAAAAATGAAACTAAATTTTAATATTTATTTAGGTTTTAAAAAAAAATATCGGCCCATATATGATAATTAATAGAATACTATATATAAATAAATTAAATACATCTCCGCATTTTTTCTACATTTAATCACAATTAAATATATATATAAATGATTCCACCTATAATTTAGATAATTTAAAAAAAAATATTATCTAGATTTATAAATTTATATAATTTACCAAATAAGTAACAAAATACTGATCTTCGAAATAATGAAGATGGAATTTTATTATTTAAAAAAAATGGCAATTAAAATTGGTGGTTTCTAGAATGGGGGAATGAATTATTGAAGGGCTCAATTTTGCTCATGTATAATTATTATTTGGCGGTATCTATTCTTTAAAATATTGGGAATTAAACTAAAAATAAGTTACTATAATTTATAATATAAAAGTATATATATAATATCATATAAAAAAATAAATACATTTTAATTAATAAAAGTTATTCATATAATTTTTACGAAAGTCCATTTTATATTTTAAGGAAAATTTTACGAACAAAACTTATACAACTTTGGGTTTATTGAAAAATAAATCTAAATTATGCTGACAAGTTTATAAAGAGAGAACATTTTATGGATTAACTATACACAACAGTTAAAAAAGAAACTATTTACTTTTGAACGGTTCTTAAGAGAATTTAGGGGTATAAATTTAAAAGAATAATATAAAAATAAAAGTTCCTACATAAGTTTGTGGCTTCGTAAAATATAATATAAAAATATTTTCTACATAAAAATGCTATGGGTACCGGAGACCTGGGGTAGACGTTTTTTTAAAATATATTATTTTTAATATTTCATTCTTCAATCAACTTGATAAACTAATTCTTAAATTATTATCACTATATTTGGCAAGTGAAAGGTATATAATCGCGATGTAAACATATTATCTATATAAACACCGTGATTGATTTGGTTAATTGAAATCACAAGTTTATTGTAAAAAAAAATGATTTTCCCAACTCAGCCCGCGTGTGGGGTTTTGCAGACCTCTAGCGTATATATAGTATATAAATATTGTGCCCATTAAGTTAATCCCGTGAATATGGTGTGCATATGAATTAAGGAAAAAAATGTGTGCCTAATTTTCGGGGTTCTTTTTCATATTATCGATGTCGGATAAAACCATTTCTTTCACCAATTCCTTTAAGTAATTTAAAAATTAAATGTTAAGTTTTATTAATTTAAATTGTTTTCGTTTCTTCCTTTCATTTTTTTTAGCTTTTATAACCCCCCCCCCCCTTCTTTATATATATCATTCTTATAAGATTGAAAACCCATTATACCTTGAATGAAATTTTTGGTTTCCATTTCAATTCCTTTTTGGCTTTGCTACAATCTCCCAACAATAGTTCCTAATTATTGATAATAATTTTTACAAAAATGGTATTATTTTTTTGTAAGTTTTGAAAATAAAATAAAAATTTTATAATTAATTCATTATAAATTATACGCTAATGTAAAAATGCTTGATAAAATTATATAAAATCAAAAACTCCTGTCAAAATCTACATTTATCTATTATATCCAATATAACCTGAAATTAGAACGAGTTATAAAGACTTAATGTTTTTTAATATAAAAAAATTTAAAAGTACTAAAAGTTCATTCTTACTGAGTTAACAATAACAATATTTTCTATAATCAATTATAATTTGAATTCTTAAAAAATAGATGTTGGAAAAAATTTATAATTTATAAGTCTGGTAGTTGTTAAGTTTAGCTAAATAAAAATAAGAACTAAATATAAGAGGCAAATAACAGAATTTATTCTCTTCTTTCAATCATTAATTTTACCACTTCTGTAGGCCTGTAATACTTTGAATCTACTGTTATTCTTGTTATACCAGTGGATTCATCTATCCCAACTTCGTCCAAATCTTTTCCTTGCCATCTTTAATATATTTTTTTTTAAATTACACCATATAAATGGTATTACAAAAAATAAACTTGTTTTTTTTTATTAACCAATATAAAAATATAATATAAAATAATAATTTTTTTAAAAAAAAACATATTGTGTATGTTGTATTAGTATTACACATCAAATCAACTATTCACCCGACCTTTTTCGATTTTTTTAAAAATTTGTATGATGATAGTATATACACTAACTAGTAAAAATATATAATTTTAATTCTCAACTCATCTTACTTCATGAGATATGGCCATCTTTAGAAACGCGGAAATTCCAAAATACATTATATTTAATATTAAATATCTCTAAAGTATTTAAGCTAAAGACATAATTTAAATTGTATTAAATAGCTCTAAAAGAGCTCTTTAATATGATATGAAATTTATTATATTAAAAATAGATCTATTTCCAAAAACCAGAAATGGCTATAAAATAAAATTTTTTCTTTCAATCTTTTTTATAGATAGACATTATATTTCTTAATGTTTGTACAAAATCCTGGATTGGGACGAGTACTGGGCCAATAGTTATTACAATTTAAATATAAGTAGTATGGCTTAAATCCTATATTATACCAAATATAAGCATTTTTTTTAAAAAAAAGTAGGCAATATGTGAATAATAGCATTAAAATTAAAATCCTAAAAAAATCTGATTCAAATTGTTGTATTTTAAATATAACGCAAAACGCCTTAATTTGGAAGCATTATAAGGAATAAATAATAAGATTTTGTAAAAAGTAATAAAGTGACAACTATGATAATAAAAAGTGAGCTCAATAATCTCTTCACCCCAACCTAAAGATTATATTCGTCCCAAATTTCTTCTTAAATTCGATTGACCTGGCAACTCTGTGAGTGAATGATGAAGTTTAATTTTCATTGCCAGATAATTAATTATTATTGTGATCGTCAGAAATATATTTTTTAAAGATTAATTTAATCTACATATAATTAATTAAAATAATTATATTTGGCATAAAGTCAAAATTAATTCCAACAGCAAGAGCCTTCATTTTTATTGATTAATTTTACATAGCCATTAAATAAAATTAACGTATTCAATATCCAACTTATTTATTCATTTAAAAAAATTATATAACATTAATAAGCATCTTTTATTTCTTACCAAAAGAATTTAAATGTCTACAAAAGTTATTTCTATTCCAGTAAAGTGCTGTAACCCCCTTTCGAATAAAATCTCATTTAGTACGTTACGATTTTAGGGTGTTTTACGGTGAATTATATAAGTGAATTCTAGCTTATCAATTAATCAAAAAATTTGCAGCTCTTGCAGAAAATATTCAACAAATTCCATCTTACCATTCACTTCTACTATCACTATCACATTACCTTCTATTTCTAACTTATCTTCTACCTCAACTATTAGTGAAACATTTAACGTCTGAACCTGATCAACTAAGCAATAAGCCCGAATCATACACAACTTTTATTCATTCCAAATAAAATTAATTCTATTCTTGAAAAAAAGATCATTTCAATAATTTTTTATTTTTCTGATGGAACTGTTACCCAGTATAAAAACAAAAAAAACTTGGTAAACCTCTACAACCATTATAAATTTTTTGGGATCAAGTGATAATTTTTTGCAACTGCATATGGAAAAACACCTTGTGATAGTTTAGGGGTAATTACTAAGAGGTTGGCCGCTATAACAAGCCTGCCAAGTCCTTATGAAAATCATACACTAACTCCTATGGATTTATATAATTATGCGAGAATTAATCTGGAGATCAATTACATATTTGTCAGCAACGTTGAATATTAAGAATGGAAACCAATCTCAAAAATAGATTTTTAACGGCCAAACGATTTCCGGGACACAATAATATCATTCATTTATTCCAATGGAAGGAAAAATGAAGGTCAAATTTATTCTAATTCATTCGATTATTTAAAAAATATATATCCGGCCCGATCCCAAACGAATTTTCTTTTTATGTGTTTCGTAAATTACTATACATTTGTGTATTTTGGAAGTTTCGCGTTTCTAAAGATGACCATATCTCATGAAGTAAGCCGATTTGAAGAGTAAAATTTTACATTTTTATTAATTATCCCAATTTTTTAAAAATTCGAAGGGGGTCGGGTTGAGAATCGACTTTTTTTGGTTGATTTAATATGGAATACAATATATATATAGTGGCTGTTCAAAACATAAAATAATATTGAATATTAATTTAAAATTAAGAAAAAAAAACCAAATTAGGCATCCATGAAAAAATAAAGTTAAAACTTTAAAGTAAACATTGACTTTTAAGACAAATTTTTTTTAAGTATCTATATTTCTATCTTTTGTCAAGGAAATAAAAAAGGTAAAAGAATGGTTTGAAAATAAAGAATCTTAAAAATAGTGGGTAAATATTCATGTTAAAAAGATATTAAAAGGGTCAAGTTTTCGCTGTCGTCACTATTATATATATTATGTAAATAAAAGACAAATGATTATATTCAGACAAATAGCCAAATTTTTCAACATTCGCAATTTATGAGCGCAAGAATAGGTGTCATCATTATTAACTATCTATTGATCAATAGCTAGTTTTTTTGTGAGTTTAATATATTTGTAAGAAGGAAAATAGATAATATCATCTAGATTATCACTTTATATTGACTCCCACAATCTTAAAAGCTTCTTCAACGAATTCCCTAACACTGTGAGTAGACCCAGTTGATATAACGTAATCTACAGGGGTATCCCTTTGTAGCATCAACCACATGGCCTTTAAATAAAAGTAAATAATATAATCAAAGATTTCTTCCTATTTATCTATTTATTTATTTTTATCTATTTTCAATAAAATGAAATTAAAACCTCTATATAGTCCTTGGCGTGACCCCAATCCCTTTTGGAGTTCAAATTTCCTAGTTTGAATGATTGCATCTGACCTAAGCTTATTTTGGCCACAGCTCTTGTTATTTTTCGGGTTACAAAAGTTTCACCTATACATAATAGATATTTAGAAAAGGGATAATACTAAATTATTAGATCTTTTAAAATTCTATGTACGGTTAAAAAAAAGAAAAGGGAATATAATAGGGAATTCGTAAATTTTTACAAAGAATTGTATCTCAATTTTTCAAGTTCCCAATTTATCGCGAAATTACTTCGTTAAGATACAATTACTCTATCAATCTTTTAGTGAACTCTAATATAACTTAGTGCATACAATAATTTTCAGTAGAGTTGTGTAATCGGCTAATTTTGCCGACTATAAAACGGCTTAGCCGATTAAGTGAAAAAATTGGCTAAGCCTAATCACACTTAGATATGAAATCGGCTAAAACTTAATAAGTCAAAAATTCTGCATCGGCTAATCGCCCGTCAGCGTTCATGCCTGGCACTAATTATTATTTATTTATTATTTTACTTATCATTATGAAAATAGATTTATTTATTTGATGTTTTTTTAATAGAAAAAAGATGATATGCTGCTATTGTAATATTATTTTTGTTACAATTTATTAGTGATTTTTAATAAATATTATGTACTTCATTAGACTTCTGGGGCATAAGAAATGTGCCATTCCCCCTAGTTGGGCAAGGTAAAGGAATAATCACATTTTTGAGCATCATTTCTCGAAATACATTAAGAATTTTAGCCGATCATTTTTTCAATTTTACATAATCTTGGGGACAACTTTTTAATCCCTTTAGAGACTATGAGATTTATTATATGGGCCAGGCATCTAATATTATTTATACTTTTAATGTGGCGTCTTTTTTTCTGTAATTTGAGAATTTTCGAAGCCGACAGCATATTCGCGGCATTATCATGTGTTATAAATAGCACCTTATCAAATAAGTTATAATTTTTTAGGCATTCCGATATTAAATCAGCCGCATCGGTTGCTTTATGTGGATGCGGAGATGATCTGATATCAAGTAATAACTCTATCATTTTAAAATCTATGATAAAATGGGCAGTGATCGCACAGTAAGATATTCCATTCAATTCAGACCAGAGATCTGTTGTTATTGATATGTCGTTTTTAAAATACTGAAAATAATTTACAATTTTATATTGACATATTATCAAATATTTTTTCAAGCTTTTCCTTGGCAGTGGATCTTGATTCTTAACCAAATTTTGATGGATGCATTTATATTTAATAATATATTTCGGAAGTTTTCTGATTCGAATATTTTGATGGGGAGATTATCCCTTATTATAAATTTTAGTGTATTCATATTTATAATTATTTTCTGTAGATGTTATTAGTTTTCTCAATATTGATTTGTGATTTTTCCACCGCCAAGGAAAAGCTCGAAAAAATATTTGATAATATGTCAATATAAAACTGTAAATTATTTCCAGGATTTTAAAAAAGATATATCTCTAACAACTGATCTATGGTCTGGATTGAATAGCATATCGTATTGTGCAATCACTGCCCATTTTATCAAGGACTTTAAAATGATAAATATTTTACTTGATATCGTGTCTTTCCCACATCCCCATAAAGCCACCGATGCGGCTGAGGAATGCCTAAAATATCATAACTTATTTGATAAAGTGTTATTTATAACACACAATAATGTCGGCAATATATTGGCGGCTTTAAAAATTTTAAAATCGCAGAAAAAAAGACCCTTGCTAAAACCTTTAAATAATATGAGATGCCTAGCTCATATAATCAATCTTATAGTTTCTAAAGGTATTAAAAAGTTGTCCCCGAAGTTATCTAAAATAGAAAAAATGGTAACCAAACTACATCGCTCGGATAAAAGTCTTAATGAATTCCGAAAAAAGACGCGCAAAAATATGACTATTCCTTTACCTCGCTCAACTAGGTGAAATAGCTTTCTTATGTTCCAAATACATAATATTTACCATTAAAATGGTAATTGCAGAATTAAATGTTTAATCGTATATATTTTCTCAAAATAAATTTGAATATTCTTGAATAACTTATGTGTTCACTTATTAATATATTTTTTTATTTGAAGAAAATAGACGCGTTGTGCAATATTGCACAATTGTATATAGAAGATTGTGATATGTTGTTTGAAGATGTAAATATTTTATAACAAATAGAATATTTTCTATCACATTTCTAGCTTCTGACGATGGAGGTTTTTTAGTTATAAAATTTTTTAAAATAAATATTAAAAGGTAAGCTCTGAAAAAATGCCAACAATTAACATTAGTTCGGAATATTTGGACAGTATACTTGAATATTTGCTACTTTATGAAGCTTTGAATATACCTTCTTGTATTAGAGAGGCCATTCAAAGCATAGTAATATATTTAAAAATTTAATAATTTCCCTATGTGCATATGTACATATGTACCATGCTCAATTGAACTTGAAGCAAGAACCTTTTTCTCTAACACGACTTAAAAGTTTTCAGGGTTAAAAAAAATCGCTTAACCTTCTAAGTTCAGTAAGAATAAAATCATGGTTGATCAGTTTGGAGCTGGCCAAGGTTAAATAAGTGTGTTAGCACTCATACAGTCGGTTCTTACTCCTGTGGGAAAAAAATTTATATCGCCACAGTCTCGTGAAAATGTGTCTAAAATAATGATCTCAAACCAATGTATAATAAATTATTGGTAGAGGGAGAAAAAAAAAGATGAATATAAAAGGTTTGATAATAACAATCAACCTCTCCTAGGGCTTTCGTGATTAAACAGAATCCCATTACAGGCGAACATATTGTAAGCTTCTCTGTAATTAACCGTGATCCAATAGGCGTATAATTTGGACACTCCTTTTTTAATGATATAAAAAAACAAAAACTTTTTAAAATATATTTTATTGGGCGGGGAAGGGGGATTATCAATTCCATGTGTTTCTATTCCCTTCCCCTCTCAAAACTTGGTGCGACTTATGAAGTCTTGGTATATAATTATAATTTATAAGTGGTCTTTCTAATCCTTTATAACTTCCTTTCCTCTAAAAAATAATATATCAAGATAAGGTCCTCTTTAACTACTACAAATGTTTATTTTTTTGAAAATTAATATAATAATTATTATAATAAAAAAAATATAAATTTTTAAAAAATGAGGGTTTCGCAAATTTTTACTACTACAAAGGTATTTGTATTTAGAAACAATTTCCGAAAAATTTGCCTAAGCCTTTATATAACTATCTAGTATAACGAGACTTTGACTCACCGTAAGGGGACCTTGGGTAAAAGGGCGTGAGCTCGTTTTGAGGAACTTCTAAAACTTTACCGTACATTTCGCTGGTCGAGGCCTGGTACAACTTGGTATATTGACCGAGCCCGCAAATCCTCACCGCGTCCAACAATCTCAAACAACCTAACCCGTTCACATCGGCAGTGTATTCACTCAGTTCGAAGGATACCTTTTTTTAATAAAAAGGAGATATAATAACTTCATTCATTTATTCAATTATAAAATTTTTATATCTAAATTCGTTTAATTATCCCCCCCCCCTCCATATTTGTTTTTATGCATACTTTTTTATATACTTGTTGGTTATTTATCGAGTTAACATAATATATGTGATCTTGAAATGTCGTGGTGTAGTTTTAAAAACCCTCAAATCAGGTCGATTAATAAAAACGGTCAGATTGAGATTATAACCAAAATGATATCATGTAAGCCTTTTATTTCTCATAGATGACAGAAAGGTTTTGACATTCATTTGCCAAATCTCCAGGCGGCATACATAATATTATTTCGGCTATCTGGGGCATTTTTAAAAATCCATGGTGATTTGGAATCTCTCAATTTTATACAATTCATCCGATTTCACCGAAAATGCATTAACCAGCATGTCTAAACTATACTCATTCTATAAACTTCGGACAATTTTTGGCCATAAACTTTTAGCGTATTATTTAATTTTTATACGAAAAATACATCTATATATAAAAAAAAGGGATGGAAATTAAAAGTATTAACAACAGTTAAAATTGTCTAAAATTCTCGGGCGGGTATTGTACACGTTAGAAAAACATTTTCGATCAAATCAGATTATTCGGATTTAAAAAATCGCTCTCAATAAATGACTTGAGAGATACCTAATCCCAATACGATATTTATTTATTTTTAATTGAATTAGGGTCATATTTATTATTTAGTTATTAATACTCTTAACCTAGACTGGTGATTTCTTCCATAATATGGCTTAAAAAATTTACACACATTGAAGTCCGCCAATGAGAGACATTTAAACGAGATGTCTTTCAATGGGCGTCCGCTATAGCCAATGAGATTGACTACAGCTGACTTCAATATATGTAAACTTTTTCTTCAGTCTAGATCAGAATTACTGTCATTCCTATATATATATATTAAGTAAATTTTGATAAATATTAGTTTCTGAGTGTGAATTAATATTTCTTTTTTCCTCTTCGTATTCATTTTGAAAAAGGGGGGGGGGGCAAAACTTAATTCTTTCATACTCACCTTTGATTTTTCCGTTAATTTATCTTTTCCTTTTCTCATTCTATAAATTTCCTATTTACACTTAAAAATCTATTATTTAGCATATCTGCATAATCAGTAAATTGGCATATCGATTAATTATAGTTAGTCAATTGACTTTACGCCAATTAAATAAATTATAAAATCACTCAAAATGTTGATGATCAAATAGCCCGAAATTTATAGGACATGTTATTCTGTACCAGAGTTGTTAAAAGAAACTTTTCATGGCCTAAATCTAGGTAATAAATATACGAATTTTTACAAAATAATTCTAATATATTTTTTTTTATAATCATGTAAGGTAGGTAGTCAAAATTGAAAATCGATTGTTAAAACTCAGTGATGTGAACTAACATTTTTTATTTATTTTATTTTGGTATTTTTATAAACATACAATTTAATATCAAAAAATATGTAAAATAAAATTGTATCCAAACGTTTCTATAAAATGTATCTACAAATACAGGGTAAAAATGTATCTAAATAACATTTTTTTTATCTAGATACTATAATAACTTTTATATACTCTTGGAATACATTTTCGGCAAAACTAAATTTTAAAATGTTGTTTTTATTTACGAACTTTATATTGCGTCAAATATTTAAAGCGCTTTTTAAATTTCTATAATCTAATTTTTTCGGAAGTGTATTTAAGTTGAGTAAAATATCCATACTATAAATTTCAAAACAATTTAGTAAGTAAGTCCTAAATGATGGGATAGTTTCACATTTTTATTATAAATATCCTAAACTTTGATTTGAAAAAAATATATAAAATTTTAAACATCAAAATATACATTTAACTAAAAAAAATTTTAAGAGTATGAGTTTGCATGCTGAATTGACTTTAACATGATATAATTTTAATATATTTCAATTATTTCATTCTTTGCACACTACACTCAAATTAAACTCTAAAAAAACCCCTCCCCTTTTCGTGGGTAAAGGCCACTCCACCCCCTTTTCGGGCTAGTTATTTATATTCTAAAGAATATGTTACTTTATACTATTCCCATCTTTACTTTTGGACAAACTTAGGATAGGATTAGTGATTTATTAAATAATTAAGCATTATCCTATTCACTTATTATCTCTTATAAATTCAACAAATCTTAAAAAAAAATTAAAATATTTGATACGGTTATAATAATTAAATTTTTTTTTCATAATGTTCCAACTCCCAATCCTCAAAAATTAAATCTTTCGTGGTTTATCAAATCTAAGCATATATAATTTTTCAAATTCTGAATACATTTTTTTTTACAGATTGAAATATACAATAGTTATAAAAAAAAAATAACCTTGACGTGACTCTGGGCAGCGAGATTGTAAATTTCATTCGGCTTGATTTGACTGATGATGCTTACCAGACAAGTGCTGTCCATCAGATCACCGTAATGCAAATGAAATCTGTCTAATTTTACGATAAATAAAAAAAAAAAAAATTTCAAGTTTAAAAAGATATCATTCTAATAATATTGATAAGAAATTTATAAATTCATGTGTGTCAAAGGAGGGATTGAAATCTTCAATATTATATTGCGTTTTTGAGGTTTATAATAAACTATTTCATTTAGAAATATATTCCTTTTTTTAAATGTTAAGCTAATACGTGTCTAGTCTTTGTGTCACCCATGAGGAAATTCTTCAGGCTTCCGTAATATTTTTATGGATAAAATATTGAGTTAGCCGTTTTTAAAAATCGGCTCAAATCAAGCCATTATAACAAACATTAGACTAGGCAACTTAAAATTTTTTGCCCATTGTAGGGATAGAACCCTGTGTGTTCAATATTAATTCATATTTAAACACGAAACCAACCCGTCACAAATATTTTAATATATTTCTAGAGAGGTCTCAGCATTATTAGCTAGGGAGAGGGGGTACTGGACTTAACCTTCCCTAGATAGGAATTTCGCACATGTATGATGTCTTATGTAAATTTTTATTCAACGTGAATTATAAGGTAATCGAATAAATAATTTATTCAAAATGTTATCAATTGTAATTTCATTATTTTTACAAAAAAAAAGTTTTTTCTTTCATCTCTCGGAGTGAATGGACTAATGATAATTTTTTTTTTAAAAAACAACATTTTAAATTTTAAAATTCTTAAAAATTATAGTGGCTAAATTATATTATTATTATAGTGTTCTATTTGACTAAATTTCGAATTTATTCTTCCGAAGAACGAATATGAACTTACATTTTTACTATGTACTTCTTCTTTTTCTTTTAAACACTCAAAATTAATTTTATCGGGTTTTTGCTTTAATGTAAAAAGTGGTGTAAACCCACTCCCCTAAGGATATGATCTTGACCCTAACTCATTATTGACAAGAATCAATTTAAGCATTTAGTAAAATCTCTTTTAAACTTATCTGAGTTATGGATCCATTTTGGGTATTCAGAAATTTAAAAGATTGTTTTGTTGGACATTTTGGCGAACGTTAACCAATTTCTGGACAACTACTAAAAGCCGGGGATAATATATCAAGGGCAGGTTCAGACCCAAAATTTGGCAATTTTAAAAAAAAAATTGATAAAATTCGCGCATTTTCGCCAGAAAAATATTGCCTTAGCCTCGAGATTTGGCCAATAGATGTCCAAAACCTTTGTGCATATACGAGTAAAATCTTTAGACTTGCGTAATTTTCTTCTGGATAAAAAATTGAGTTAGCCGTTTTTACAAATCAGCTTAAAAACACTTAGTGAGTGTGAATTTTTTTTATTTACAACACGATACCATTTGGTAACCTTTAAAATTTAGACCCTCCAACGCGTTACACATTGACCTAAGTTTTTAGTTTACGAATTTCTAGGTATCGGACCAAATAAAATATTTTTAAATGTCTCGGTAACAATCAACGAGTAAAAACGTAACAAACCAATAAAAATATAGTAACGCCTTACAAAGACGCATTGTTATCCCCCCCCCAATGGTGAGCCACTGCATTAGTGTTGAAAACAATAATTAATTGGAGTAACGCGTTACTTTTTACATTACTCGTTACTTTACATTATTTATTAGATCAACGTTTAATTTTTAGATTAATATATATTAATTAAAACAAATAAAAAACTGATTTTTTAAAAAACTGTAAATCGTTTTATTTTTCATGTTACGTTTATTAGTCAATCGAATGTCATCAATTATATCAGAGATCTTCAGCACCTATTGAATGTAACGGGAATAGTAACGAGCAACGTTATGGGTAACGCCTCCATAATAATAACGCAACATGTAACAACGTTTACGTTTGTCAACCCCCCCCCCACCAACCCACAAAAAACAGTTGTCTTGGCATTCAAAACCCATTTTTTTATCACAATAAAATTTTTAAAAAAATAAACGAAAAAAAGAAATATATTAACAAACAAAAAAAAATAGAAATCATAATACTGCTTTCAATGTGAGCTTTTTTGTCTCCGTATAAGTGATGTATTCTCCCGGTATTGAATGAACTGGATCTACGCATAATACCATGAACCTATGATATTTTTTTTTAAAATATAATCAAATTTCTATTATACATTTTTTTTTATCGATGCGCGAAATATGTAGGTATATGGTATAATTATAACCAAGTTTGAGTATTTTCATTATAATAAGGAAGTGAAATTATTATGAAAAATAATAATATCCCCCTTTATGTTAGTTAGTTATAAATAAATAAATTTACAAAAAAATTATTTTTAGTCTACATTTGGTTAAATTAGTTTCGTTTTTATTATCATTCGTTAAAAATTTTTTTAACTTTAATAATAAAAAAATCAATTTAAACGATTTTGTCCAGCTATTAGCATTGCCAATATAAAACTTTTTAAAAATAATTGTTATTTCTGTTAGATTGTTATATCTAAAAAAAAAAATTTACATTAATTTAATTTATTTTTTTCTATAAAAGGATTTTTGCTTTTTTTTTCCCCATCCCTTTTGACAATTTTAATATAATTCTAATCGTCTTTTAAACGTAATTAATTTTCTAAACTCACTTAAGTAGTTTTTGTTAAACGGCTCGATTTATCAGATTTTAGATTAAAATTTTAGACAAAATAATATTGGGTAGGTCTCTAGATTTCGCTAATAGATGTCCAAACCTTTTTGCCTTCTATGAGTAAATTCTCCAGGCTTGCGTAATATTTTTTTGATAGAGTCGTTTAACAAGACTACACCAGTTTATTTAACCTAATTGTAGCATTTACCCGTGTTCCCAAAGGTAGGCAATAATTAAGTTAAAAATGCGATTTAAATGTTAATAAATGGTAATCGTTAATTGAAAAGGTTTATAGAAGAGACAAGGAAATAAGTTAATCTAATCTAGCTAAGGCGATAAACTGTAAATAAACTTTATTTTTAAATGATCATTAATATACTTACTTCATATCCTTTTCCAATGAGGAACTCTGACAGATACGAACCATCCTAAATATAAAACAATTTTTTTTTTGTTTTTTAAATTTGAAATATAAAATAAATTATATAATAAATAGTTGGATGATCAATTTTAATTTAAATGATATACTCCGATTTTTACATCATGCCAATGCCAAACATATAATAATACCTAGACTAACGGTGCATTCATAATAATGCATTTGAACGCTTCGTTGAATGCAAATCAGATGGACCCGACATTTTGGTAACCAATATAGTAGATTATTCTAAGGTTAAAAACAACTATTAAATTGATAGCTTGCTTCCTTATTATCTCGCTGATCAGGCAATTCTTTAATTAAATTTGCGTCAGACATCGGAATAAATTAGTCTCTCGTTTAAAATTTCCAATAATGATATGGGTAATCAAAATGGCGTCCCCAGCTGTTTTCATTTGATGTACATTTTTAATGAATGCATCGTCAGTCTAGGTATTGTTATATGTTCATTGGCCAATGCCAAAAAAAAAGAAAATTAACAGAGCTAAAAATTATTTATAAAAATATAATAACGTGATAGTAGGAATAAGCATGGGAGATAATTTTTCAAGCCCGATCCGAAATAAAAATTATTTTTCCGCCCGGTCCTTAAATTTAATTTTTTTTATTGTAAAAAACATTCTACAAATAAAAAAAAAACGTTAGTGCCATTGTTTCTTGCAAGAATTTTAAAATATATCAATTTATTTGACAAAATGCAATGGTATAATAATTTAAAATTTAAGCCCTACCCGGCCAGGAATTTTTTAAAAAATATTAGGCCCGACCAAGCCCGATCGGCCAGGCCGTGATTTGCAGATTCTCTAATATATACTACTATATTAAATATGAATATATTATATATATACTAGAAAAAATCTTGATTTTAATGGAAATTTCCGTTTGTTTCCAGCATTTTCTATAGATGCTCCTACACATTTAACTTTCAAAACAATATACATGGCAGGGTAATGAAAAAAAATTTGAAAGTATTTTTTCTTTGAGTATCGAAGAATTTTTAAATTAACTTTTGTATTTTAAATATTTAAAAAAAATACGAAATTGAAGTCTTATCTGCTTATTTTGCCTGGAAAAATATTAAAAATTCAGCCCACGCCCACAATTTAATTAAAAATTTTTACGCCCACGCCCACAATTTAATTAAAAAATTTTTACCCGCCCACCATCCGCCCAATGTTGAAAATATTTTAGAAACCCCGACCATGCCCGTCCGATATATGGGCGGGAGGGCTGACCTCTAATTTTACATTTAAAAATTTACGCATACATTTTTTTTGTCAAAAAAAGTTATATATAAAATATGCATCGTTTAAACTGATATTGTTAAAAGGCTCGTTTTGAGCCGATTTTTAAAAGCGGCTAACTAATATGCAACCTGGAAGATTTTGCTCAAAGATGGCACAAATGTTTTGATATCTATTCGCGAAATCTCGAGGATTAGGTAATATTTTCCTGGATAAAATATTAAGTTAGCCAAAAAATTGTCTCAAATCGGGCCATTCAACAATACTAGTCCATTTTTGGATTGGGGAGGGGGGGAGAGGGGATCTTGATCTACATCCCGCCCTATGATGACTCCATAATAAGTGACCAAACCATTACAAATATTTTGATAAATGTCACTCAGTTTAGGGTAAGTCTTAAATCATCCAATAAAATTTAGGGGTGCAGCCAAATGTTTCCACCCCTTTGGAAAAATTTTGATTAGGTTTAAGGATATCTTAGACACAATTTAAATTAACCAACATCTCTATAAGCACACTGTGAAAAAGATTAACGCACTCCAGTCCGTATTACCCTTGAAAAAGCAAAATCCAATTCCCCACTATAATAATTAGCAATTCTAACCACCATCTTGTTGATAATTCTCTAAACTGACCTTATTCCATCAACAAAAAACAACTATAAATCCTTATGATTTCAGAAAATCAAGACAGCTAAGCATCTGTATAAAAAAATTCATAAAATTTAATAACAAAAAATCAAATTTGGGATAAATAAATTTATATCAAAATATATTCCGGCCTGTGAAGTAATTTTCTTGTGTCATAATTTATTATAATATTTATATATCACTTGTGATTATTTTTCATTATTTCTTTCTTTAATTTTCTAACATCTTTCACAAATTTTGAATAGATTTGGCCACTCATACCACATATTATTTAGTTTTAGATTATTCACGGGATAAATTATAAAAAATGTCGTTTTTAAATGATTAAATCCCAAAGTGTTCTCTTAAAAAAATAATAATTTTTCATCCTTGATTGTGAATTAGGCTTTTCAGTTTGAATATTTTTTTTGTAATATATTTTATATTTTTAGATTCTCCTTTAGTTAGTTGGGGAGTGGGTATTCAACTTGAAATCATAAAATGATTTTTCTAAACTTGAATTTATACTGATGTAGCCATTTTTTCTAAATGAGTACTTTAAGATATCTATGTTATAATACAATCTTTTTAGTAAATGATAATACACATTATGGAAATTTATTTTTTAAACATTCAGAAAATGTGTCTGAGTGAAGTGGGTTGAAAGAAAATTCAAGTATACATTATAATGATAAACAAAAAAAAAGTTATTCAAGGAACTCTAAGATAAATGGTGATAATATTAATTAATAATGTTTAAAGTATATAGGATTTTTGTTTAAATTATTGAAACATTCCAAAACAATTTTTTTATCATGTTCCTTTAATATTATAAAAATTGTATGCCCCAGTTGACCAAACCCCATATAATATTTATGGCCTAAAATCAAATAAAAAAGATATTCAATAAATTTAAAAGGTTAAAAGAATATTTCAAAATTTATTAATGTGAAAAGGTATAAACATTGATAAAAAATTGATAGTTTTTATTAAAATTTTTTAAAAATATCTTTATTTATTATCACTAGTTTAAAAAAATCATTTATATTCCTATATTACTTGTCCAGTCACACCCGTTATTAATGCAACTTTCTTGTTAATGTTTTCATTGGGCAGATTGTTATAAAGTGAATCACCATTAATTTTATTATGTCCATTTGTTGTAGGGTCCATTGTGTATTTTTAACTATAATGTAATTTTTAAATAAATAAAAATAATTGTAAAGTATAAAAATGAAATTTTGAAATGCGTTTTCAAACATCAAATGATAAGTTTATAAATAATAGTTTACGTGAAGAAAATTATAATAATTTTTTTTGATTATAAAAACAAATATTATTTTTAAAAATTTTCATATATCTATATTATTTCATAAATACAATGAATTGCATACCTATCAGAATTTTTGAAAATGATAAGATATGAATGTTTGATTAAACGTGTCCTAAATAATCTACAATTTATTCGTGTCAAAATAAATAAACAAGACATTATATTTACACAACTTACTTATTCACATTTGTTATATAAATATAAAATTTGAATTGAAAAGGTGATAAAAAAAATCATATATTAATTCTAAAATTAAAGTTTTCTAAGAATATTTGAATGATACGAGTTCAATTTTATTTAATTTAGAATAAATCAAAGTTGCGAGTTTAATTTAATTTAAGTTATTTTAAAATTTTTATGTCCATTTTAAAACTAAAATATCATGCTTATATATAACAATTTACATATTAATATTATAATTTATATAAAAAAAATCAATCTTCACAATTTATAAAAAAAAAAAATCAATTTATATAAACATAAAAAAAAACAATTTAAAAGTTAGTATTAATAGGTCATATCAACAAAAATAATTCTTATATAAGCATAATGTATATCAAAACGCGAATTTCCAAATTTGATTTTGTCATTTATCATTTGAGTTTATTTAGTTTTACCTTTTTTAATGGCTGCACAGCTTTTAGCCATTTATTTTGATCCCTTGAGTTTTTTAAAATTATTTGTGTAGTTTAAAATTTTGTACAATTTTATGAATATTCTAACAGTTTTCTAATAAATTTTAAATATTTTTAAAAAAATGGCTTTAATTATATATAAGTTAATATATTTAATATAAATATAATTATGGGATAATATTATATATCGGATCGGTCAATATTTAATGTTTTTAAAATTAAAAGGCTTAATACCATGCTCTTGTACCACATCAGGGGTTTGCTACGACTATGCTGCAAGGGTTTATGAATATTGTATTTTACTATACATCACACCAAACTCATTACATTTTATAAAATCGAAAAGACACTTAGGGCTAAGCTAATAAGTATCTTTTATTCACCCAAATACAAGTTTCAGGTTAAATCCTAATTCAAAGCGATTATGATAAATACTATATTTTACGTTACCAGATCCAATACATTCAATAAAAACTTATAGTGATACTTTTTTACTTCATTGTGCAGGTTTAGCCATAATACAAAGCTCGTGAACTGCATTAGTGGTTAGCGCATGGCTATGCTACAAAGATAAGAGTTAATATTCGATTATGAAAAATGTTATATTTTATTATTGTGAACTATACAAATTAAACTAAAAACCGATAAAAAATAAAATAAAATATGTGATTATTTGATTCATCATTTTTATTGAATATATACTCTTAATATATATATACTTTAAAAGAAAATTCTGATTTAATTTTTAATAATAATATCATTTATTTGATCCAAAAAAATATATGAGTTAATATTTTCTTCACAATATAAATTAATCTTCATAAGAGATTAGATTTCATTTTCGATAAAATAATCCATATATATCTTAAGAATTTTGATACTCCCTATTTTGCGGGATTTCAGCCCCCTTTTTCCGGTTTTCGGTCGAGGTTTTTATGTTGATATATTTTACCTTTTTAATTTATGCAACTCTGAACAATTATTCTGAATTTCATATTTTATAATTTTTTATGCACATGAAAGCAAAACATTACAAGATATTCCCAATGATAATATTTTTTAATACAAAATAATTCTCCATTTATTGCAATTAGATTGTGGATATAAAAATATTTTGTGTCTAAAGAATTACAAGTTACATTAATTAATTCATGTATTGCCTCAATTGATAATGGTTTTTAAACCAAGCAAGGCAGTTTCTTAACTACCTACATTGAAAAAAGGTCATAAAACTAATGTAATGTTTTATAACTATTTTAGAAAATGTTTTGTAGAATGGACTGATAAGAAAAATTATGTAGGCCTAAACAAATTAATAATTATCGAATAAATAGCTAATCCAAATCATAAAATTATATGTTGGTTAGAACTTCTCTTGGATGACATTTTGCAATCTAAATAGTTAATCAAGATAATAATTTGAGGTATTAAATTTCTAAAAGATTATCTTCCATTTATAATGATATATAAATGACTAAACAGTTGACCATTATTGCTTGTCGAAATTATGCAATCAAATGCTCTCAGCTGCAGGAATAATAATCTTAAATTACATAGCCACACAAATAATAGATTCTGGTTAATTTTCAGTTTTAGCCATGATACCACATATCACTCCCAAAAACATATCAGAATATAATGTGTTAGATAAATTAATAAAACAAAAATACTACAAATCTTTAGAAGAAATAATTATGACAATATATTGAAGCCTTGAGTTATCTACAAGGTAGAGATTCCATATTAGAAATGAATAATTTAGTGACTAGAAAATAAGGTCGAGTAGTGATATTATGAAAGTAATTAATATTTTATATATTATCAGCACCTCTTTATGTCTTAAAATAATAGTATCCAAAATATACTTTTATTTAAAATTTTATTCAAAACTGTTTTTCAAATAAGAAAAAAAAAATTATATTGAGAAAATGCATAAGAAATATTCTTAATCATTAAAATTAATCTTAAGTAATCATAAGTTATATTGAAAAAATGCATAAGAAATATTCTTAAATCATTAAAATGAATCCTAAGTAATCATATTTATAAAGTTCAGTTATATTAAGAAATTATATATCAAATTTTCTAATTAAATTTTATTAATAGGTATAACTTTAAAATAAATAATACATTGCTACATAAAATACTCTTAATATAAAATATGATTAAAACAATGTCTGATATATTAAAATTACTTGCATCTGATATAAGAATTGCATATAATGTGGTAGATGATAATAAAAATTTCTTGCATCTGATATAAGAATTGCATATAATCTGATAGATGATAATAAAAATTTCTTGCATCTGATATAAGAATTGCATATAATCTGATAGATGATAATAAAAATTTCTTGCATCTGATATAAGAATTGCTTCTCTCTCTATCTCTTCTCTTCTCTTCTCTTCTCTTCTCTTCTCTTCTCTTCTCTTCTCTTCTCTTCTCTTCTCTTCTCTTCTCTTCTCTTCTCTTCTCTTCTCTTCTGAAAGAAAGAGAAGAGAAGAGAGAAAGAAAGAAAGAAAGAAAGAAAGAAAGAAAGAAAGAAAGAAAGAAAGAAAGAAAGAAAGAAAGAAAGAAAGAAAGAAAGAAAGAAAGAAAGAAAGAAAGAACTTTTCTTATTACGAGCATATAAATTCATATGAATGAAAAAATCGTCCATTTTGTGAAAATGGACCAAATGGACCATTTTATGATAAAAATTTTACTATCAAAATAGGCCCTCAATTTTTTCTGAGGAGTAATAATATAAATCATATGTTTTTTAAATTCTCAGATGATTAGAAAAATTTTTGAAAAATCTAACTTTCGGATAATTGCAAAATATGTACATTCTAATAATTACAGTATTTTTATGTATAATTATTTTTAAAAATTATTTTTAGATTTTGGCAAGAAAATAATTCCATTTAATCTTTCTGATATTGGTGAAGGCATTAAGGAAGTTGTTGTTAAAGAATGGTAAATATGATGTAGACAGTTTTTTATAATTCTATTTATATATAATTATTTATAAATTTTCTCTAAATACATGGATATATTTTTTAGTTTTATTCTAATATGACTTATCTTGTCCTATATTTTATATAAAAAAACATCTATTAAAATTTGGTGGATGGAAATAACAAAAAAATATTTGTTTCTACAAAATAAATTATTTATATATAAGAACAGATATTTCCAATATCTAGGGAAGGATGTCCAATTTTTTTAAATAATAAAAAAGTTTGGTTAGATTGAGATAATATTTTATTCATTTTTAATTGCAAAGGAAAAATAAATATTCCATATTAACTAATTCAAGAATGCAAGATCTATGGACATAAAATATAGTAAAGGGTTAACTATACTATTATACCTCTTCCTTATATTCCAAAGTTAACAAAATGAATAAATTTTAATTAAAAAAAATATATACCTGATTAATAGGGACCTCCAAAATCAATTTTTTTTTGGCCAATTATTTTTTCAAACCAGTCCTTGCCTGTTTCCAGGATGGCTGTCCAAATTTTTTGCTTAAAAAAAAATCTCAAATTAAAAATGTTTATTTTATTCTTTATTATTTTTTAAATTTATAATCTCTTTATATATATTAAAAAATAACATGATATATAAATCTATATAGGCATTAATTTGAATTATTTAGTAATAAATTTGATAATTTAATCAAGTTTTTCTATTTTACTTATTACATAATACTATGAGAAAATGAATAGTAAATATTACAGACCTCTTGATTTTTTTAAATTCATTTTATAATTGTGCTTAGGGATCTGCAACGGGCCTAATTTTTCAGGCCCAGCCCAAATGGTTTTTAACAAATATATCATGACCGGTATAATCTTGGACAAATTTTTTTTATATTTATCCGAAAAGCCTGACCCTTATTTATCCACGTGACCCGGCACAAGTTCTTTTAAATATAGAAAAACTTAATATTGTAAAAAAAAGAGTCTACAAATAAAAAATATAAGTGCCTTCACCTTGTTTCCTTGCAAGAATTTTAATATATATCAATTCATTTCACAAAATGTAATGGTGTCATATATGAAAATTTAAACTAACCAGGCTCAGCTCAAAATTAAAAAATAAGTATTCAACCCAATCCCAACCAAATTTTTTTTTTTTAAATAGACCTAGTCCTAGAGGTATGCATGGGCGTCTAAATTAAATTTTTTTTACTCATCTGGCTGTAAGATGGGTCTGACCTGTAGCCTGACATGACCCAGTTAATTAATAGTAAAAAAAATCCACCTTAATAAGTTATATATCTTTTATTTCACAAAAATGTCATTTAGCAGAATAACAAATATTGATGACTTTATAATATGTTCATTTTAATTTTAGAAATTTTTTTCTCTATTTAAACAATTATATCATCTTTTTCGGTATCAATCATGCAGCTTATAGAATCACAATAATTTTCAAATTTGATTATATTTTAACCTTACTTTTTATATTTAAACTGAACAAAATTTATATGCGTACAAATTATATAAAATGTAACTTTATATGAATAATGATTAGATAGATTATGGTTAATATATTTATATATAAAGTGGCAATATATGAATAAATATACATAATTTTTAGGGATCTGCCGATATTTTTTTTCGGATCGGATCGGTCCAATATTTTACCCATTTTAAAATATTGGATATCGACCAATATTATAAAATTTTCCGATCCGATAAAAAATGGCGTTTTTAACAAAAATTAAATAAATTTTTTTAAAAAAGTTATATCTAAAATCATTTATTTTTATAAATAAAATCGAAATCCATATTTTTTTATTAATAATTAATTAATAAACATTCTGCCATAATGTTATTCTTTTGTGAGTGAATCTCTTCCGAATCTGTCATCGTCGCAGGCTGACCTCTGATAAATTGGAAATTTTGGTATTTCTAAAAAGAAATTTTCGCTATATTAATGTTAAATATTATTTTAAATATTTATTTCAAATTTCGTAATATATTTGTTTATTGAATATTATATATGTAGATTAATGTTATTACATATTATATAAAAGTAATTTAACAATAAAAATATTTTATATACTTTTAGAATAGCAATTAAATTGAATATAAACTATAACTGATGATTATAATATATTTAAATGACATAAGTTATGGTAAAGTTAGATTATAGTTGTTATACTAATAAAAAGCAGGGGTTCGAACCGAACCGCAAAACCGGAATGAACCGTTATGATTTTCTGAACCGTAACCTTAACCGAACCGTTATAAAGAAAATATTAAAAGAGCAGAACCAAACCGTTATAAATATTTTGAACCGGTTTAAACCGGTTCAAAACGGTTTTAAAAATAATTAATTTTAAATTATTAACCTAAATTTAAAATTTTAATTTTCCTTGGGGGCATTTTTTAAATTGGTGATTTCTTTTCAAATTAAATATTTCTATATTATCAACATTTTATATCAAATTAAATATTTTTATATTATCAACATTATATATCAAATAATACCAGGTTTGTTGTTTTTTCTTTAAATACTTAATTTATAAGAGATTAGACAATTTATCTGTTAATTAGATAAGATATCTTAAAATCAGACAATTATTCTTGGCTAAATTAACAAATTTATATATAAGATATTAATAAGCTTTTAGAATAATACCTGCTAATAATTAGGAAAAAATTATATAATTCTATTATTAATAAATAACGAAATTAAATACCTTTTACATTCATTTTTATATTATATGGTTTATTTTTTATCTCATTATAAAAACTTGGATCATAGAATTTAAATGACAATAAATAAAATAGTCAGCAATATTTAAATGATATAATAATTTTTTATTTATAATCATTGTTTTTTTAAATTAAGAATTCTAATATTATAAATTATTTATTATTATAATATGTTAGTTAGCATTTACCATTATCATATATGCAAAATAAAAAAATATGATTAAAGAATGGCATTTGTAATAAATATTTTTCTAAATCTGTATTTTTAAATAATAAAAATCTTACTATAAATCTTCTGTTTAAATAAGTTAATTAACATTGCATTAAATTATTTTTATACTTTTATTTATTTATTAATGTGTTTTATATACAGTGAATTAAAAGTAGGAATTACATTTTGATGTTAAAAATATAAATACTATAGTTTTACTTAAATTACCTATTCTGTCATATTATATTAACATCTAATAGAAATAAAGTGCTGACCAATTTTTATATAATATTGTTTTACAATAATTTCTTATTAATTGATATATTCAAAAAAAGTTTATCTTAGTTTATATATATATCAGAGTGGGTAATTTGAATTAAACTATACTAGTTATATTTAGTTTAACATCAAAATGTAATTCCTATTTTTAAATGTAAGTCTATTTAATATAAAACACAAATAAATAAAAGTATAAAATAATTTAATGCAATGTTAGTTAACTTATTTAAACTGAAGATTTATAGTAAGATTTTTATTATTTAAATATACAGATTTAGAAAAATATTCATTACAAATGCCATTCTTTAATCATATTTTTTTTTATTTTGCATATATGATAATGGAAAATGCTAACTAACATATTATTTTAATAATAAATATTAGAAATCTGAATTTAAAAAAAAAATATGATTTTTATAAATAAAAAATAATTATATCATTAAAATATTTATTGCTTACCATTTTATTTATTGTCATTTAAATTCTATAATCCAGGTTATTTAAAAAATAAAAATGAAGGTAAAATTGTTTCTATTAAGCTTTTTTATTTATTCTATTTATATAATAAAATATTTTCATTTATCATCATATAGCTTTTTAGTTATCTATTAAATGGTTCGGGAAAAGTCAAATCCTGTGCGTTCCTATTTTAAATTAGATATCATAAAAAATCAATCTATTTGTAAAATAGAAGATTGTGGTAAGGTCTTAACTGGGGACCATGCTGCAAATCTTGAACGGCATATAGAAAGATTCCACAATAGGGAATTCAAATTATTAAGAAAAAAGAAAGAAAATTTGACTATTAAAAAAATTCAAATAACGAAAACTGCAAACCAGTATAATACAATCCAAGATGCTTTTAAGTCCAACACTACTACAATACAAATCAATATAAATAAAGAAACTTTAATCCGCTCCTGCACCGAGCTAAAATCAATTGACGACAAAGCATTTCAAATATTATAGATCCAATAATTATAGGATTGGGTGGAAATTTAACTATCAATTCGGAAAATATACGCAATAATATTAAAAAAATAGCGTTAGATTTTTCGGAAAATATAAAAAAGGAAGTATATCAAAAACTTATTTCGTTAAAATTAGATATAGCAACTAGATATGATAGGGATCAATATTCAATTTATAAATAACGGAAAAATAAAATTGAGGACTCTATGGATGAAAGTGATTAAAGAACGACACACATCAGAATATCTTAAAAAAATTATTCTAGATGTTCTAAAAGAATATGAAATAAAAATTGAGCCGATTTACACAATAACCACCGATAATGCAGCAAATATGATTAAGTTAATTAAGCTATTAATACTACACGATGAAGAAGATGATGACCTTAACGATTATTTAATTAATGATGATTTAAATAATAATGATATAGATAATGATGATTTAAATAATAATGATATAATTCATGATGAAAATAAAGAACCTTTTAATATTGAAAATATTAATCTTGCATCAAATGCCAGATCCATATTAATAGGTATTAGATGTGCTTCACATACATTTCAATTAGCAATTGATTGCATTAAAAATTCAAATGAAATTGTCATTATAAATAAAGCAAGAAACATCTGCAAAAAAATAAGAAATCAGACAACAATGGCTATTCTCTCAAAATTAAATTTGAAAAAACTACTAATAGATTGTTGCACAAGATGGAACTCTATCTATTTAATGTTGGAGAGATTAGTAGAGTTAAAAAGCTTTTGCCAAGAAATATCACTCCAAAGCGATCGCGAAAAATGTTAATCAGAGAATGAATGGAAAATAATTAGTGACATATTAAAAGCTTTATATCCAGCTTATGTTTTGACAAAATATTTACAAAGTGAACAATTGACAATGGGCGATTTTTATGCTGCGTGGATCAAATGTCTCATGCAAACGAGTTAAGTAGACACTCCATTTGCCAGACTTTTAGTTTCTACGATGAAAGCACGAGAAATAAATTTCAAAAATGAAGTTTTTTGCTCTGCTATTTATCTCGACCTTAGATATAATGTATTCTTAACTTTTGAAGAAAGAGAGATCGCCAGAAAACATCTTTGTAAAACTTGGAACTTGATACAAAATCTAAATAATCAGAATATTGAAATTCTAATATGCCTACGTGTTCGTATTCGATTGTTAATTTAGATGATGATTTTGAAGATTTATTAAAGTCGCATGAAAGTTTAATTATAATAAATGTATAGAAATAGAATATATAATTCGGTCATTTGATAATATAGAGAGATTAGAAAAAGATACTAATCTTTTGAATTATTGGGAAAATGTAAAGAATAGTATGCCAGAACTTTATAAGTTAGCTATAACTGTGCTAGCAGTTCCAGCTACGCAGGTCTCCGTAGAAAGAGCATTTTCAAGCCTCAAGTTTATACTCTCTGCGCAGAGAACTAAATTAAATCCTGAAATATTAGAAAATGTTTTAGTTATCCGTTCGAATTCTCTTTTTAAACCTAAATAGTATAGTATACATATTATTTTATTCATTATTGTATTTGTTTGTTTTTATCTTATTTATTTATGAAATAAAAAAAAACTAATTTGTCTAATTTATATTTCCTAAATTTAATAAAAATATCTATTAGATTATCATGGATAAATTAAATAAGAAATTATAAAATAAAAAGATTTTTCTCTAAAATTAATATATACATGGTTAATGATTAATTTTTTTTAAAATTAAATTTATAAAAACCGAAACAAACCGAAAAGAACCGTTATAAATTATAAACCGAACCGAACCGATATGATTTTTTTAAAAAAAACCGAAATGGAACAAAACCTTTATAAAATTTTAAACTAAAAACCGGAACGAACCGAACCGTTATACTAAATGGTTCGAAACCCTGATAAAAAGTATACTATAAATTATAACCATTGGTGTCTTTTCAGAATGCCAAATTAGATATGATGTCGGATCGGTAATCGGCCGATATCAATTTAATATCGGATAGGATCAGCCTTCAAAAAGTTGTATCGGTACACCCTTAATAATTTTAAATTGTTTCTTACATAATATCATATTTAAACTCAAATTTTTAAAAAAAAAATTTCCGGCTCAGGTTCGGTTTGGGTTGGATCTAAAGATGTGTGATCGGGTGGGGCTTTGACAAAAATTTTTAAATTCGAGCTCGGGTCTAGCTTAGGCCGTGAAAAGATCACTTTTTAGACCTTTGCCCGGCCAAGCCCAAAACCCGGTTAAGCCAGGCAGGGTATGGCCTGATCTCTAATAACGCTATTCGATCATGCAAAAAAGGGAAGAATGGGTAATATAATACTAATATTTTTCAGTCCGCACGCTTGACTGACTATAGCACCACTGGCCCATCCTGAATAATTAATGATTAATATGTGGAAATTATTAAATAGATCATAGCTTAAGGTGATAATTATAATATATTATCCATTTTAATATGCAAATAATATCAACTTTGAGCTGTCTTTAACAGCAAATAAATATTACTATTATATTATAATTAGTGCAAACTATTTGAAAAGAAAGAAAAAAATGAAATTCAAAATAATAACCTTAAGTATAAATTAAATATAACTGAAGTGGATTTGGGCCCACCACTTTTATTAATCATAAATATATTTATTTTAAGAAAGGAGTTGTATTGGTATTGACAGACATTTTTATCGTTATCAGGATTGATTCATTTTAAAAGTATGGCTTAAAACTAAATGTCTAGTTTAGAGTATAATTTTTTTTATATTAATATTTCAAAGTTCAAAAGGATAATGATTAGATTTTAAAATGCTATATTTAAGGTACATCAAGCAAGGAGACACCATAAAGCAGTTTGATAGGCTATGCGAGGTTCAAAGCGATAAAGCCAGCGTTACCATTAGTTCAAGGTATGATGGTACCGTCGCCAAATTACACGCATCCGTTGAAGACACCGTAAACGTCGGTCATCCATTGATTGACGTTGAAATTTTTGAAGAAAATTCGGGTGGGCGTGAGGAAAATGACACGAAACAGATGGTGAATGATGAAGGAAGCGAGAAAATAGATAGTGACAAAACAGGTTTTATTAAAAGTAACACATATTACACTTTTCCTTATCATAAATTCTCTTTATTAAATAAATTTTTTTTAAAAAGAATCAACGACTAAATTGGATAAAGGCGAAGAATTTCTACGATCCACGAGGAATGCCAAATCTATACCTATGGTCAGAAAATTGGCAAAGGATTTGGGGGTAAATAAAAAAAAGAGAATATTTTATTTGAATTACTAAATATTACCATCTTTCTTTTAAAAATCAAATTCCATTTAATTGAAGTAGATTAACTTTTCCAAGACAAAAGGTAGGAGGAAGGAAGGAAAATAAAATACAAAATTATTCATTCATTTAAACCACTTAATGATAAATTCCGATAAGCTTAGTAACACGGGTGGTTATATTCGGTTAGATAAAATAAAAGGGGGAGGGCATGGAATAAATAGTAGAAATGTCAATCCGCAGTTTTTAAAAATCTAAATTAGCATGATCGTCCACACAAGAATGGAATTATGATTGGTTCTATCATTAAAGTACGCACATTCGAATCACACGAAGGGTGGGGTGTAGTGTTGTTAAAAATCTCACTTTGGGTCTATTTATAAAAACGGCCCGATTAAGATTATGACCAAAATAACATTATAGGCTAAAGATTTTGCTCATTGCTGGCGGAAATGCTTTAACATCTATTTGCCAAATCTCGATGCTTACATAATATTATTTTAGCTAAAATCTTAATCGTTTTGGCTTTTTAACAACACTAGTGGTGTGTGATCCATGGATCATTCGTAAAAATAATTCGATCTCTTATATCCTTTCCCCTGACTCCTCCCGCAAATCAAATAAACCTGGAAAGGTGAGTCCTAAATAGAAAATCAACTTTTTCGTTTCTATATTCGCGAGATAATAGTTTTATCTTTATATATATATTTTTTTTCAGATAGTTGATTTGGGGATGATTTCGGGAACTGGCCCTGACGGGCGAATAACAGAAGGTGACGTTAGAAATTACGTTTCAGGTTTTATTTACAAAATCCTTATATTATAATTTTTTTTTTAGTTTTCTATACTATAATTTACCGTAACGCTGCCTCTATAGTAAGGGCGATTTTATCAAGCGATGCGAAATTAATCGCTAGCGAAATCATGGCTTATTCACCACAGTTATGTTAATTTTTAAAATATGTTTAAGCAGCTGTCGCGATTTCATTATTTCGCTCTTTATTGGCTTAATTGTGTAAATTATGCAGTTCACGCTTACTAAGACCACTTTTGGGCGTTCTAACTTTTGATGATCATTTATTAAGATTATTAGAATTGTACAGAATAATTTAAAATAATTCCTATGACTTTTAAAATATGAAAATTATTCAGAATTAGAGCAAGGTAAGCAGACGATAAAAATAAATATAACGTGGAAATGTTCTAAAAATTTTTAAAAACATGTTTTGACACTCCATTTTTAGCGTGCTATCTTTTTATGTTAGTTGATACTCTCATATAGCCATGTCTCGTTTAGCCCATGCTCACCTCTTAATCTACCATAACAAAGATTCATTATTCTATTTCTATCAGAGATCTGTCAGGTCCGAAACTGGCTGAAAAATATATTTCTTTGAACAAACCGGCCTAGGCTTATTTTTTTATTATAAAACCCTGGAAAATCATATAATGGAGCATTTAATATTTATTTAACAGCTGATATTTTCAATTTCCCTTTCGATACAATTTACTAAATAGCCAAAGGCCTAGTAATATGAAAGAAAATATTTATCCTTTCGAAGACTTTGTCAGGACATTTTAGCTTAATTGTATCAATGTATGTTTTTTTTTAAAAAAAAAGGATATTTATAAAGACTAACGCCGATCATAATCCTCTTAAAAAAAACAATAATGGTTTATTTTTTTGCGTTTTTTATTTTTGTAATAAAAAACGATGGATTATCTCTTTTTTATTGCAAATAATAGGAGGTAGTATCAAAAGTGGTAAAATTATTTTGCAAGATCTACGTTCATCGAATATCGAAAAACTTAAAGGTATTAATATTAATTTTTTTTCTAAAAATAAATAGACATATTATATTTATTATAAATTTTTGACTATCAATGACAACCTTTTACAATTATAAAAATTTGACCCGAGGCCAAACTTATGAAAATTAGGGTCATAGTCCTAAAAAAAGGAATGCGTTTTTTTATAACAATTGTAGCCTTAAAAACGTTCAATATTAGTTTAATTAAAATAAAATGAATTATTTCGTCTCATTTGGGAAATAAAGATTTATTAATCTATTAAATATGCATGCAAATATGTAAATATATTATATATTTATATATAAAAATATAACCAAATATATAAATATAACCGTAACAAAAAGGTGCCAGGAAAGCCATGATAAAATCCATGAACAAAAATTTAACCATACCACAGTTCGTATTGACTGAAGCTATACAAGCCGACCCATTGTTGGACCTGAGAAAACGGACTAACCATTTGATCCGGCCCGCTAAGTTGAGTCTTATGCCATTCATAATCAAAGTAAAAAAAAAAAAATTAATTTAACGAAGAGAGAAATGGAAGAAATATATAAAAAAAAAGAAAATAATATTTACCGTATAAGACCGTTTCCTAAATAGATCGTTTTTTTTGAAGCGGTTAGTGAGGCATGTTTCCGGTATTTTTTTTGTTATATTTCCATATTTAAAAATAACGTGATGGACCCGATATCTCAGACGCCATTTAATTGTTAATTAAACACAAACGATTTTGAATTTTATAAACGATTAAATGGCGTCTGAGATACCACCAGATCCATTACATAAATTAATTCGACAAAATATTATCCTTTGGAAGAAAAAATTACCGGAAACATGCCTCAAAAACCGCTTTGAAAAAATACGATGGAAATTGCTTAAGAAATCTTGGAAGAATTAGATTCATTTTTTATAAAACCCTGTATAACGTACTCGATATTTTATGTTGAATTTAAATCTACTCCCTTTAGTATAATACTGACATTTATGATTGACGTTACTATATATTCTAACAAAATATCTTAAAGTTAAATAAATAAAAATTTGGATATGTTCCCTGTACGAGTGGAAGGATCCCGTATAATCACCATGATTCAAATTTGTTTTTGAATAGACTTAACCACTTTAATTATATAATATTTATTAATCAGACAGCTTCCATGGCCTTGACAAAATTTCCCATTATGAATAGCACATTCGAAGAAACCGAAGAAACACTATATTATAAGGTTTTATTTAGGAATATTTTAAAAATATATATATAACACACAAAGTAATTTGAGGCCGTGCCCTGAACCCTCTTATTTTTTGAAACTTATTTCTGTTGAGACCAATCTATTTAGATTCTGAACTAGGTATATAGTTATGTTTAACGGCTCCATTTTTAAAAAACGGCTGTCATTTTAGCCAAAAGATATCACGCAAGATTGTAAAGGTTTGGGCATCTATTTATCAATTATCTTGGCGCTCATGGTAATCTTTTGGCTAAATTGAACTGTTTAACAACACTAACTTGTATCCCCCCCCCATACTATTTTAGTCTAAGCTGGTTATATTTTGAAAATGGGGGGAAAACGGCAATAAAAAAACCAATGTAACTATTAGTTACTTTTCAAGTAACTTAACAACAATATTTAGGATAAAATATAAATATTGGATCAAGGAATTATTTTTAAAATAAATATATGGCAATTATTATTTTTTTTTATTGTAACATTTATTGGTTTATTCTATTCCTCTATCTATAGAGAAATTTTTATTCCTCATAATATTATTAAAAATTGGATCAGCTGATAATGGTGATCGGTCGATATTTAATTTATATCGCAAAATCGGATCAATCCGACCCGCCGAATCTAAAAACACCCCGGGTTCGATGGGTTACCCATAAATCGGTCCCTGTTTGGCCTGTGCTCTCAAAATGTCCAGCGAAACAATTTAAAATTTTCTGAACCCAAATTCGGCTTAATTATATAAAATTATTAAATCGGCCTCCGCATTTTAAGAATCCTTCCAACAAATAATTTTTTGGAAATTTTGTTAGAAAATTTAGCATTTTCTAAGAAATGATTCCTTTAATAAATTACTTTTATGAAGTCATCTTATTTTTTTTTTCTTTCAGGAAATAATTATAGGAAGTAAAAGAGTATTTTATATATATATATTTTTTTTAAACAAAAATTTATAAAGAGTGATCATAACATAGGCGTGGCTATAGACACTGACTGCCTTGATCTGGGCCTTATAGTGCCTAACATAAAAAAGGTGCAAGATCTATCCATTATCCAAATAGGCCAAGATTTGGATCGATTAATCCAGCAATGCAAAATGGAAAAAAAACCTAAAATGGAGGATTTGAAGGGGGGAACCTTCACCATTTCTAATATTGGAGCGGTTATTTTATTATTTTTTTTTATATAATATACGCTACTTATATTTTATAAGAACATGGAAATAAAAGGATATAAAATGAGAAGGTGAATAAAGGAAAGATAGATAGCTAGAAAAAAGGAAATCTATTTATTTTACGATAGAGTTTTTTTAATGGTTTTTTTTGGTGACTAACATAATTTAGTCACTTTCTCCACACCTTTTATTCATTAATTTTCATGAGTACTATTAATTTCTTTTCATTCTTTCTTCTATTCTCTATTTTTTCCATCTATACTCATTTCTTTCTTATTCTCTTTCCATTCTTCCCTCATTTTCCCTTTTATTTTATATTAGATAGGCGGACTCCACTCCATGCCCTTGATCCTATGGCCGGAAGTTGCCATAGTAGCTATAGGCAAAATTACGGTAAATAATATATTTTTTTATAACAAAATATAAAAACACACGCAGAACTTAGAAGTTAATTTTTATTAGAAAATAATAATTGTAATTTTTACGTTATTTAATACTAACACAATAAAATTGTTAAATGCCACAGAAGAGGAATTATGAGCCAACTCAAGGAAATAGCCGTTACAACAGCTGATGTATTTAAATTTTTATTCATATTTATAATCACATGACATGTCGGTTTGTCAGGTTATTAATGTAGAGCATTAAATTTAATTTAAAAAACCCAAATCTAAACCCTAAACCATATCCTTCTACCATATTTCATCAAATTGAAAAATTTTCTTCAGCTGAGCTCTCCTAAAGTTGAGCAATTATAACAATGGAAATACTCCTTATTATTATCAAGGTAAGATGCTGTAGAGGGAGCTGGAAAGGCGGAAAAGTTTATTTATGACGTCAATTTAATCAAGATTTATAGTGGTTTTGTTACTCATTATATTTGTCCAGAAATATTTTGCCTTTATTAAACTTTTTTTAATATTAATGTGTTGCTATTAATTATATATTTTTTGGTAAAAGGATACCATTCACATTTCAGAACCGAGTATCCACAAATTGGATTCATCTGAAGGTGGCTCGAAAGAAAAAATACGAGGAATATTGGAAAGATTCAACTCGGAAATACGCCAAAATAACCCAGAGTCACTATTAGCGTATAACGATCGCTCTAACATGAAATCAGCATTACTCGGAGAAAATTCTGAAAGTGATCGGAAACTCAAAACTCTGTTAGCGAAATTGCAATCGGCTATAAGCGAGGATTCCTTGATTTCGAGGTTCAAAGTGAGCAAAACTTTCCATTTCAGTGTCAGCGCCGATCACAGAATTATAGATGGCGCTACCGTAGCCAAATTTTTAACCTATTGGAAATCGCTCTTGGAGAACCCTCAATTTATGATCGCCCAACTCAAATGAAATTAATTTATTAGGATATAATTAAGGGACCAACCAAAAAGACGTATAAATTATTTTGATAAAATATCATATTTGTGAAGTATTGAAAAAAAAACTCGCTCAATTTTCCGTTTTATTTATTTGAAAATTATTAGGTAATTTGAATACAAAATCATACATCACTTATAACTATTTTATTTTAAAAGAAAAAAATATATATATTTTGGATTATTACATATTATAATATTTAATATAATATTATCATTTTGTATTCCTTTTTGTCATCGGTTGAAAATGTCAAAATTGTTAGATTTCCGGTTCACTTAATTAAAAAAAAATATTCGGAGAGGTTGTATCTTAAAAAAAAATTCGATTTCGAATATACAGAAATTTTAAAATCTTTTCCTCGTCCCCACTCCACAGATTCATATAAAAATTTGAGTTGCTGAGTGCTTGCTTTAGATTAATTTATAATTATATAAGAGATTAAAAATCACGTACCAGATCAAATGTCACTTGTCTTTCATGATTTTTATTATTGAAATAATGGCATTGAGTTTACTTTAGAATAATTTATAAGTAAATAACGCATTACCAATGACTTATAGATATAAATAAGGGGTTACGTGACTTTCATTATTTTCCTTATTCAAATAACGGCACTGAAGTTTACTTCAGTATAATTTATAAGTAAATAACAGATTCACCAATTACATACCAGACAAATAAATAAGTCACGTGACCTTCATTATTTTTTATTTAAAAGAGGGATTGTGAATATATCTTAATTCTTTATAAATTTATATGGTAAAAGATCTGGTACAGCCCACCCCCCACCTACATTCCCCTTCCCCGAGCCAATGACGCTGAAGCTAGTGTTGTTAATTTGCTTGGTCGTAAAATTTTCGACACTTTCATGTGCTCAGGCCGACCCGGGGTCCAGACCCACCTAAGAATTACACCTGGGGCTCGGATGAATGTAAAGTAAAAAAAAATAAATCTCATTTTCTAATATTAAATCTTATACATTCTAAATAAGCTTTTAATCTCATTTTCTAACCATTTAAATATTTTTTTAAATTTGGGGACTTTTTTTTTGATCAAAATGTTTTCGGGTAAAATAAAACATCAGTAAATATTAAAATAATAAAGTAACCCATGACTGGAAATATAAACAAAAAATAAAAATTAAACGTCATTCATGCATGTATAAATAATAAAAAGAAATGTAAATTTATAATTTAATTTGTGATGAAATGGCCAAGTCTCATGATGCGTTTTTAAAATATTTTTGAAGTTGTTTATTAATTATTATTTATTAGTTATTTTCTATACAAAATTAAAATTTTATTTATTTTTATATTCAATAATTATCCAATAATGTTTCGTGAATGGTGCCCTGCGTTTTGGCCAGTTTAATTTGCTTAACGTCTTCCTTAGATATTCTCAGTTTTCTGTCTTGAAAAATTTGGAACTTTTGCCTTTATTAAATTAAAGAAATAATAATTTAAATTGTAACTTCATTTTTTTTTTACCATACATAAGATTATATATAATTTATATTACACATGTATGCATTTTTGTTTTTAAAAAAATGTAATATAATATATATTAAAAATTGACACCACCTTAAAACTCATGAGGATGACGATTGAATCAATAAAAAAAACATCCCATCCCATATAAAAATATTTTGTTTGAAAATAAAATATATTTTTAATCTAATCAAGTAAATAACTTAAATTTTTTCTTTAAATCATATTACTAAAGAAAAAAAAATTATAATATGATATTAGAATTTTTTTTCTTCTATTTTTTAAATTTATAAATTTAACTCTTCACTGCAAAGGTGGAAAAAACTCCCTTAACTACAAAGGTGGGATTTATTTTACCCCAAATTTTGATTAGCTATATCTCAGAACATATTAAAGTTTAAGATCTAAATTTTTGAATATATATTAAGAAATTATTGGAGATAATAAATAAAAAATCTTAGATTAATAGTTACTTCTAAAAAAAAGTTTTGCAGATTTTCCTAAAGTTGCTGAAATAAAAATTTTTTTGAGACCTTCCTTTAATCATAGTGTTATCATCAAAAAAAATTTAAAAAATGCAAATTTTATTATATATTTTATTAATTCAATGTTGAATAATGATAATTACATAAATTTTATAAAAAAATATCAAATATAAAAAAAAATATTAATCATCAAATATCATGTAAATTTTTATAACAACATTCACGACAATAAGTATTCATATGATCTTTACAAATAAATTTAGAACAATTTTAAAAAATTAAGGTTGTTTTTTTGTCCTTTACCCTTGGGCAATCATAGCATTCCTTTTTTATTTGATGAAGTAGGTTTTTCATCAGTAATATTGAGAACATCCCCAATAATAAAATAAATTTAGAACTTTTTATTATCACTAAAAATTTCTCTAATATGTGTTGCTTTATCATTTGCTTTCCTCGTATCCCTTGTATTCATATCATCAAATCTTAAAACTTTCAATAGAAATTGGAATCTATCATGGTGTATCTAAATATATTTACACCAAATCCATCCTTATTCCATAAATCTCTTATATTTTGATAGTTTGATTTATAAACACCAGCTATCATTAGTAAACCAACCAGAGCATTAAATTTATTTTCATCCATTTTACTATCATAAATAGAGTCATCTTTTTGAAGAGCCTAAATCTTTTGATTTGTGTATTTTAAAATTAAATCGGTAATAATTGCTGAGATGAATAGTTTAAAGCTTTCTAGGGGGGGATATTGCATTTTTTGCATGTGATTTAACAATGGGATCTAGTTCTTTTTTGAGGCAGGCATTCTTTATTCCACTTGATTTTGCCATCTATACCTTAATTTTTTTAGAATAACTTATTAAAAGATAGCATATTTTACTGTAACAATATTTATAATTATCTTCATACTTTTCACTATCTATATCATCTTCCTCTGTTTCTGAGTTGTGATTGCTGTCATATAAATAATCATCACTTGACTCAGAATCTACTTCACCTATGTAAAATGTTATAAATATTAAATAGAAAATACTTCCAGAACTTGATGATATTAAACTATCCATATGCTCCTTTTATAGTATTTAGCTCCACAAGAAAAAAATTAGTATAAAATTTTAAAATTTTGGGTCACAATATAACAATGAAAAATTTAAAAATAAATTTTTTTTTTTCAATTTTATATATTAGTTTGTAATATACAATAATATTAATTAATAAAAAAAAATTTGGAAAAAAAAATTTCGTAAGTACAAAAGTGGGACCTATACTACTCCAAGCTCAACAAATTGCAAATATTTTATATCAAATCAATTATCTTGAAATTTGGTAGATATGTTCTTTATAACAAAATATTAAACTACTATAAAAACCAGGTCAAATTATCTTCAGGATTTTTAATTACCATGATTATAAAAGCAGTGGGGTATTATTTACCCCACCTTTGTAGTTAAGGGTTAAATATAATAAATCTTCTATTTTTTGAGTTTTAAAATATATTCCGGTATTAAAAAAAGAGGATTCAAAACAACAGACCGGTCATGAAACCTTCTTTAAATGTGTCAGTATATCTAGATTTAATAGTATCGTTATGCCCCATCATAGTTCAGAATCAAGTACGAACTTTCTTGTCAGATTTGTTTGATTTCATCGCTATTTTTTAATCACGTATATTTATTTTTTTCTTCTAATTTTATATATGTATCTTGGACAAGTACTTTTATTTTTAAAATATTTTAAAAGTTATTAACCATTAATGACCAAATAAAATAATTACCTAAAAGAGGGACTAATAAAAAAATATTTTAATTACCTTTAATTTGATACCCATATCAAAAAATATTATTTTTTACACCCCACCCCTCTCCCATCTACCCCCCAGACCAAGTCATACCCATCATGCCAAAAAATGAATACTTTTAATCTAAAGATGTTAAATTTTATTTGATACCCATATCGATATTTTGTGTTGATAAAAATATTCCTAACCCCCCAAGACCCTAGATCCGCCTTTTATGAGTGATTATTATTATTACAATAAAAAAATATTTTAATTACCTTTAATTTGATACTTATATCAAAAAATATTATTTTTTACACCCCCCCCCCAGACCAAGTCATACCCATCATGACAAAAAAATGAATACTTTTAATCTAAAAATATTAGATTTTATTTGATACCCATCATATCGATATTTTGTGTTGATAAAAATATTCCTGACCCCACAAGACCTCCGCCTCACCTTCTATCAGTGTATTACAATAAAAAAATATTTTAATTATCAACATGTTTATTAAATCGTCACAACACAACACGACCCGGGTCTGAACCCCGGGTCTATGCTCGGGGTTCGTGCTCAGAGCTGGTTTGGTCGATTTTTTAGACCCAAACCCTGGGTCTGGGTTTTACACAACCAACCAATTAACAACACTAGCTGAAGCCCCCTTGATGACTAGAATATAAAATGGATACTGATTATTATGTTGATTAAACCCCCTTCCCGCAAGTTTTTATGACATAAATAATTATTAGACGAAGGTCTTGCGATTAATATGCTATCAAATTGTAGTAATCTCTAATATTGAGTGGCATTCAAAAGTAAATTTATGAAAAATACTGTCACTTTTCTCTTTCCTGATTCATACACTCCTCCGGACACAAAATTAACTCATCATCAATAATATTTGTTATACGACAGCATTTATTAATTTTACACATTTCTTATATACAAATCTTATAAATTCCAAAAATTAAATAAAATTCAAAACATATTTCGGTCATCCTAAAATAAATCATTCGCTAAAAAAATGCATCTTCGCTTAAAAAAAATTTTTCTGGTAACTTGCGCGCGAAATATTTATTCATGCAAGAAAAAAGTAATACAAAATCAGCTGTTTTTGATGATAATCTTTTGTATCCAGTGGGAAAATTTAGCCACGTCACTATACACCCCAGGGAAATTCGACTCACCGCACCCTTTACCAAAGGAAATAATCCCCTTTAAGACCCACCTCACCATTATATCGTCTTCGTCCAACTGATTCATATCGATCACTCCATTTTCTATCTCGGTCTTGAAATATTTCTTAAAAGATTCCTTATCTATCAGCTCGTGCCTTTCCCTATTTTTCTCTCTCCATAACCATTTTTTATTCATTTTTTTCTTGGTGGATACCAATGTCTTATTTCCCGGTTTTTTAATAACAACTTTTGCGCACATTAAGGGGCCACCAGAATCACCTTGACAAGCATCTAGACCTCCGTGATACGAGCCTGTATGTTTGTAAAATTAGTATATATTACGTAAAGATCTATGATTTAAAAACGTTAGTGTTTATTATAATATTTTTTTTTACATAACAATAAAACAATTTATTTAATTTAAAAAAAAATATTTAACAAAAGAAAGAAAATTCACAATTATAGACCCGACGGTCTGACCACTATCCCATGGGCTAATCTCTTATTTTGGATTATATACGTGTGAGTCATTCTTCCCCATTAATATTAATAGTAACTTGCTTACTCAAGCAAAGACCGAAAAAATAAACAAATACGAAAGCCTCAGTAATTAGACATTTTGCTCCTATAACTTTATTAATTAGCTCACAAAATTAAATGGCAAATACTTGAACCTGGGGAATCCCTATTCCTTACACAGAACATACAAATCAATATTTTTAAATGTAACTATTGTTCATTTTTAGGAACCCAATTATGTTTTTCCTTACATTTTTTTTTAAAGTTTATTATTTTTGGTTTTTGCATTTTTATAGATATTATATTATAATAGTTTTAATAAGAAATAGAAATTATATAAAGGAATTATAAAATTAAAAATAATATACCCTACGAAAATATATAACAGGTTATATATAAATACAAATATATTTTGAAAAAATTGTAGAAATGATATAGAGTTACAACATAAAAATTTGTTTTATTTAAATTTAAAAAAAAAACTCCAATCAATTAATTAGTAGATAATCATCTTTTAGGATAGTGCAACCCACGAAGCTGATTTAATTAGCTTTAAGCCTGGCCTTTGTCTCAAGAAGAAGCTTTCATTGGTTTTATCCGTGAGTTTGGAGATGTGGGATGGGATCCTAGTTCCTTAAAAAACTATAAGGTGAGATTTCCAAAAGTTGTTAGGATGGTGGAAATAATCGAGATGAAGATTTTGGTCATCCAAGAAGATATGGAAAAGGAATTATGGTCGAATAAGGAAATCTTTTCAAAAAAAATGTAGCCCCTCCCCCAACCCTTAAGAAAAAAAATTAAGAATGAAAGATATGGAACTTATTTAATACATGTATATATATTTTTAATGTGTATAATATCGGTGGTATTAAATTTGTGGCATTATTTTAAAAATATAATATAAACAGAATTTATTAATATTTCGCAATGAAAAAAATTCGATTTTATACAAGTTAAAATATAAATTTCATACTTTTTTGATAATATAATATAAAAAATAAAGACCTATCCTTCCCCCCCCCACCCCTCCAATCCTGAACAAACTTTAAAGGAATGCATCATTGAATACTATAATGCTAAAACATATTTTGAAATGCAAAAAATTTTACGCAGAAAAAAAATACTATTAAATGCCAAGGATGACACAAAATCTAACTGTCAATAATGTAAAAATTTTATCAACTCATAATTACATATGTGACAAAATAAATATAATAAAACCTGCGCATAACTGTTTAAGATTGAGATCCACATATTGTTTGTACAACATCCCGCATATCCTATTGTCCAGCAGTGTGATACACGCTTGTTTTAACATGGGTGGGTAAATTATACTCTCGAACGGATCATATTTAAACGTTTTCGTGGGCTTATAGATCTTTTCGGTGAATACCTTAGTCACGAACGGAATTCTATCTACTTTAGATGCTCCGACCCCTTTGTAAATACTACCACTTTTTTCGTTGAAGCCAGAGCTTCCATTATAGGTCACTTTATTAGTGGTCTCTATAATTACCTTTGGCAAGTCTCTGACTTTTCTTTTCGAGTCAAAATTATTCATAATCCTAACCCTCGATTTAGGTTTATTATCATAAATACTACTATTAGCCACCTTTTTCACCAATTTGTGTTGACCCGTCAAAGGTTTTCCCGTTTTCTGGTCATTAACGATTTTTAAAACATAAGACCCGGTTGAAGCTTTATTAGTCGGAGCTATAGGTAGTTCCCGTAATTCGTTCTCTGAACCCCAGCCAGCGACGACGCAAAAAGACGTGTATTTAGTGTAAGCTTCATTCCAACTATTTGGGTCATTTTTAATTTCTTGTTTTTTGTTCTTATTCATTTTTATAGGTATGGCTGTCTTAAAAGGCATACAAATCGGTTTAATTTGTGGACTATAAATGACAGGAGAATTTAATTTGATCAAGCTTATATCGTTGTAATAGAAATCCGCGTTAAATTCAGGGTGTTTCACGAAAAGGCTCATATACCTAACCTGCACTGTTCTCCTACGGTTTAGAAAACGTGTAGAGTTCCTTGCGGCGTTATTTGTTTTCCTGTTTTTTTTGAACTCAGGGTTGTTATTGGTAGATAACCAATCTTCGAACTCGGTGCCATTAACCCCTACAGTCCAGAAGTATCTGGGCACTGCATCGTAAGCCCCTAAAACAATAATAAAATCTTTTGGGTCTAATTCTTCATTGGGGTCTTTTTCCTCCCTTCCATTTTTTCCTTTCTGACTTTTATTTGTGCCATTTTTGTCACCTGAAGATAAATTATTAGGCTCGTTACCACCATGCTTAGTCGTAGCGTTTGGCAAACTAGTGGACCGTCCAAGAACCACATATGGTTTATATATCAGCGGATTAAAACAATGGGCTGCAGATAACACCCATTCGGATGATACTAGAGTTCCTGCGCAAAGCAAACGGTACCTCATAAGATTCGGATGTACGACATCCTGAAAAATTTGGATTATCATAACTATCCAAGGCCAACTGCCTTCAGTAGCAAAGTCTCCGCCTAATATTCTGCCTTCCTTCTCCTCTAATCTTGTTTTACTATTGATCTTTTTGTAATCGTTTGCCAATGTATTTGACCCAGACATGAAAGATCTATTTTCTTTTTTTAAAAAAAAACATTTATAGTATTACCCTAATTAATTTTGTTTGCTGTTGTTAACACTCATTTTGACATATTCCCTTTTTATATTTTTTTAAAATCAAAAACTGTCATTAAAACGGAACAATGAGTTAAGAATCACCATAATAAAACATGCTAATTTAAGTGAAAAACTATTTGAGTTAAAATGATATTAGCTTATTGTAAAATATCTAGGGTTCTGTCACAAAAACTTCTTTTTTTCTTTAATATTCAAAACAAGGAAAAATATAAACCAAAAACAAAAATTTATTTTACATTTTAAAAAGTAATCATTGATAAAATATTAAATTTTGAAACCGATATTGTTCGTAATAAAATTTAAAGGGACTTCCAGAGGTCAAGGTTTAGCCTAGCTCGATTTAAATTTCCCATCATTTTACAGCTTGGTTTGGCTTGGAATGTTTAAATTTTGTCATTTTGACAAAATTTGACTGTATTTTAGTAATTATTTTATATGGAAATTGATAGGTTAAAATATAAGCAATTAGATGAATATTCAACACTCCATTATATGTTCCAATATTTTTTAGCTAATAAATTATCTGCCCGATCCGATATTTTTTTAAAAAATAATATTTGTGATCTCCGCCCAATTACATTAATATACTGAGATTTTAGAAGACTTTTTATGATTTTCAGATTTAGAATTAATTTGAAAGAAAAAGAAAGAAATTTAGAGTTCATAATTTTTCAATAAATAAATGAATAAGCAAAACAGAATGAATCCAACGTTAATTGGTATGACATGTCTCAAAATTTTCTCAGAGATTTTCTCTGCTAATTTTTTTATTTTTTTTTAAAATATATAAGTTTTAATCCTATACATTATCGTTTTTTTTGCTAAAAAAAGATTGAATTTGTTAACAATTCTTTTTTGGAAGATACCCCCCTTAACCTTAATCTAATCCTACCTGGATGAATAATAGAAATAATGGCGTTATAATAATAATATATAAATGTTTGATTTATAAACAGACCATTATTTTTTTTTAGTAAAAACCAATATTATATTTGCGATACTTAGCAAGCAGGATAATCGAAGTGATGTTATGAAAATAAAATTTAAAAAAAAAACGTACCCACTTCTGCCATTTTCATACAATTCGGGCTATCAATAGAAGGGGCATGTAATATATCCTGAACTCCACAATTACAATCATCATCGCTCTCGATATCCACCTTACCAGGCTTATATGAATTTTTGTTTGACTTCCTTTTTGCGCACATTTGATATCTCTCGTTGATAGAGTGCCTGAATCTTTTACTGACTATTGTATAATCGGGGAAAACCATGTAATCGCGGGGAGTTTCTGCATTTATATCATTATTAATATAAAATTCAAATTATTTTTTTGTTTCGTTCATTAAGTTGGTTAGCGCCCATCTCTTATTTAAAGGCACTTCTCTATTATCATTTTAAACCTTATTGATGCCCATATTAAGGTAATGAATAAAATTCATTAAAACATAATAAACACCATTTTTAATTTTTATCTCTTTAAACCTGGTACAACTGGGGGCACAAGCAACGCGACAGAGATTCTAAAATTATTATGCAGAAAAAAGAAGCTAGTTTAAAGTTTGACCTGTTTTTTTTAAAATTAGCCTCCTGTTTTTATGCTAAACAAAATTACTGCAAAATTTCTTACAAATATTATTTTAGAGGCAGAAACGTCAATTATTTTTTATTATTAAAAGAATGAATGTTATTTGAAAAAAAAAGTTTGCTTCCAGACCTGCCCCAAAGCCTGGACGCTCTATCCATGAGGGGCAAAAAGATTTTCTGCCCGGGCCGGAAAAGATTTTCTGCTCGGGCCGGATAAATTGTTACAAAATAATTTTACTAACCAGGCCGAGATTTGAAAAATGTTTTTTAAAGCTACTGAATAGGCAAATTTATGCCGTTTTTCTTCATAAAAAATAATCGAAATATTTTAAGGGCCGAGCTGGGTAAAAAAAGATTTTGGACCGGGTCGGACATGGTTTGGCCTATAAAAATCTATGGTTTTTGTGAGAATGGGGCCTACCTCTCTATCTAATCTTCCAATATTTAAATTAAATAAATACATTATTATTGCATGTTTTAAATGAAATCTCGGAACTTTATTCCCCGGGAAAAAATAATTCCTCTAATTTAAGAATAAAAAAATTAATAAATAACTTTTTCCCCTTGCTTAGAAGAAAAATAAAATTATTGAGTAGAATATTTTTTTTTTCGTGGTCATTAAAATTATCTTTCGCTTACCTATTTTTAAAATAGATTTTTATAGGAAAAACATAAAATGTAGTATTTTAAGATTAATTGTTTATATTTTATTTAAAATATTATTTTTACGAAAATTATTAATAAAATTTTCAATATTATCTTTAAAAAATTTTTTCCATTATTTTTGACAGTCCATCTGCAAGTTCGACTCAAACCGGGCCGAAAAATTCTGTGATTTTTAAAAATCTGTGTCGGGTTTAAAATTTTTGAAAAAGATTAAAAATCCGGGTGTTGGGCTGATTTCATAAATAAACTTGAAATATATCATTAATCAGTTGGA